TTTTAAAAAACAACAAAACAAAACCAGCCACAGGGAAATTGAAATTATTCTTATTGGTTGTGTGTGTGTTTCATTAAAGCATTAGTGCTACTAGCTAAAGTTTTGTAGTGTTCCCATTCTGAAATCCATTTGGAGCCTGATGACAAACCATATCCAGTTTCATTCCCCCAGATTTGAACATTTATTTAAACAGTTCATTCATTTTATGTTTGCTAGGGGCCTTTTTGTTTACTAGGAGCTGTAGGATGTCAAGTTTTATAGCACAGAAGAAAATCACAAAAAATTCATAGATTGAACAACTAAAGCAACTAAATTGGGAGAACAATAGCATGATTCTTTAAAAAATAGGTGACATAAGTCATTTTTTTTTATGCTAACTGATCACTTTGCAATTGTTTTTCTTAATGGTGAAAGGTGATTGCATTGCAGCGCTCTGCTGTATGAATGATTGACTGTACATTAGAACTGTAACTCATGTCTACGTTTTGTTGGAGACCTGGATCATAATCCTTGCCTAAGTGCATTCATGTGACAGAAGGCAGGGAAATGACTTTGCTGTGTACTTACTTACCTCAGGGCGGAACTTTGAAACAGACACAATACAAAGTGTCATTTCTGTGCCCTTTTAAATAATTTCATTCTTACAAAGATTGTCCAGTTTGTGCCATTTTATAGGAAGCTAGAAGCATGCATTGTTTTATGGGCACTTCAAAGAAAGTTTTGAAGTTTAACAACTTAGCACCTCTGGTGAATTATGGTAGTGGTTTCCAGTTCTTTTAAATACAGAGATTTTCCCAACGGAACTTTGGCCCTGTTCAGTATTATCCAAGTAATTTTACCACTTCACTGAACAAAGGAAAAATATTCTCTTGTCATTTGTCTCTTGGTGATGCACCATCTCCATCACTTCCGGAATGACCCCAGTATGCAGAGAGTGTGAAGGTACATTTGCTCTTAAATGCTATATAATCTGGAACTACCTCATGCATTTGGCAACTGGGGGATTCTGTAGGGCAGGGGGCTTGTCCCTTTTCCTGTGTGGGCCACAAGCACAGTGTAATGGATGCTACATCATACATGCATCTCATACATGTATGTTTACAGATGTATGACTTGAGTATATATTATATGGCATAAAAGATTCCTGGATCAGTAAATGTTGAAGCCAAATTCCCTGGACTTTTCTCACATAATTCTCATGTAATTGAAAGTTTTCTCACATAATTAGGCTTGAAGCCAATAGACTGAGTGCACCCCTCCCCCGTTTTTATGCTTCTGTAGCAAAAGATCTCTATCATTTTGCCATTAGTAAGTTTTTACACTTCATTAACTTATTCTTATAAGTTTATTAATAGTCTGCTCACATTTTAGGGATCCCATTGTGTCTAGCCATTAGAAGCAGATGGTTCAGTTACCCTGGGCTCCTCCAAAAAGTGACAATTGCTCCACTCTAATATTCAGTTGCCAACAGAAAGAGAAGATAGAATAACTGATGCCTCTTATAATACACATCCTGCTTTTCCTGGAAACACAAAGTGAGGAGGAAAAAGAAAGAAAGAGGTGTTCTTTGTTTTTAAAAAGTTGTATACCTTGGCCAGGTTCTTCTAAAATGTGGATGTAATTGTCTAACCAATTCCTCTTTATTGGAGTAGCTGATAAAGCTAATACAGTTGTGAGTGTATAAAGAGTGACATTTAAGTTTTAAAAACTTTATAGCAATTGGGTCTTCTTAACCCTTGGAGTACTCAATGATGGGATTCCATTTCATGTAAGCATTGCATATCAAATAGTCTCCCACAGGTGATTATGGTTAAGCCTATTTGGGACAACATGCTTATTTTTAAGGTATTGGCTGTTGCAGCTTTATGCTCCTGGTAGGAGCCAGACAGCTGTAGCGGCTCTTCTTCCGACAGCTAGTCGTGTCTGAATACCATATAATTGTAGACCACCTACACAGTCACAATCCTAATGGCCTTTTGCAACCTACAATCCCACAAAAAAGCTTTTATATTGTGTAATCCTTTAATAAACAGGCTTAATCTCACCTTTGGAATGATAAATTAAAGTTAACACTCTTAAAGCAATTTAACTCTACAAGTAACAACTTCAAGAGAAGTTGTTAATCCATTTTAAGCTGTAGCAGCAAAACACACACACAAAAAAAAAATGAGAAAGAGGCTTGTGGCATAAAGTAAACTTTGTTGGACTCTAGGTGCCACAAACCTCTGCTGCTTTTGAGGTAACTTTAGTGATAAGCGTTATGAATGAACATTTTACAGTGGTACCTCCTCAGGTTACGCTGAGGTGGTAATGCCTCAGGTTACAAACTCTTCAGGTTACAAACTCCGCTGACCTGGAAGAGTTACCTCGAATTGAGAACTTTGCCCCAGGATGAGAACGGAAATTGTGTGCTGGTGGCGCAGTGGCAGCAAGAGGCCCCATTAGCGAAAGCACACCTCTAGTTAAGAACAGTTTCAGATTAAGAATGGACCTCTGGAACAAATTAAGTTCATAACTATATGTATAAAGTGCATACACAAGGTTTCCACTGTATAAAATGCATAGACAAGGTTTCCAATGGCACACATAGAAATAATCATAAAATTTAATTTATCGGCGTCAACTACACAAAAAAGGGCAAGTGACAATAATTGACTTAGATATCTGAGATGCAATAGCTGTGCAAAGCCTGCAAAGGAAAGCAAGGAAAGAAGCAAAGGACACATAGCAAGACACCAGCAGCTTCAGTTCCATAATTCATGGGGTCCTTATAGACATGCCAGGGATGAGCGTTAGGATCACCATATTCCAGAGGTTCCTCTCCAATCTCAGCAGCTGTTTTAAAAGAGAACTATGAGTCTGCCCCGTGCCAGTTATGGCACATGTGTGTTCCAGGGCTCTGCTTTGTTTAATATTTACATGAAATAGTTGAGTGGGGTCATCCAGAGATTTGAGTGAGGAGTCATCTATCAATACACAGATGATAAACTCTATTTTTCCTTTTCATCAAAGTCAGGTAAGGCAGTGCTAATTTATTGCCTGGATATGATGTGATGAGGGCCAATAAACATAAGTTAAGCCCAGGCATAATGGAGATTTAGGGCAGGATTCAAGTAATGTGCCCTGCCAGTGGAAACCCATGCAAGGACTTCCACTACCACTACAGGGCTTTACCTGGGACAGTGCATGAGGTAGAAGAGCCAACTCGCATCAAAGATTGTGGGGTGGGGTGGGGTGGCGGCAGTGACATGTGTGTGATGTCAGGACATCAGGAGGAGCCAGAGGGTGGAGCCAAATGCAGCGGCAGCACAGCTTCAATGGCTGGTGGCTCCTCGTCTCTTGCGCTCCCCAAACCGCCACCCCTGGCCAGGGCTGCTTTTCTCCTGCTTCCTCTCCACACTCAGCTTACTCCATCCTTGATTGTTCAGAACATGGGGGGGGCTGTCTCCCAAAAATTATTGGGGGCAAAAGAGCTGTGCTTCTAGGAGTTGGTGCCCCTGGCATGGGGAGAGAAGAGAGTAGATTATTCCCTCAGGCAAGCAGAATTGTCTGTTGCTACAATGAATTCCATTCGTCTGAATGGGTGGTCTTCAGCTTTTTCTGGATCCACCCCTCCTAAATGGATCAGGTTTGCAACTTTGGGATACTCTTACTTCTTTGGAGGCTTTTGTCTTTCATAATGCAAAGCACCTTTCACTAGTTAAGGCAGGTGACAAGTTCTGTCATCTCCTGGACAGAAAGAGAATGGTCACAGTTGTCCATACTGTAGTAGTAACTCATTTGTTGTATGTTGTATGTATGACTTTCTTTAGAGACTTCTCAGAAACTCCAGTTCCTGCTGCTTGACTGGGGTTGATCACAGGGAGCATAATGAACCACTTTTGGAATAGCTGGATATCTATCCAGTGCAATACAAAGCGCAACCTTCTAGGGGGCAGAATGCAAGTGGTGGGCGAGGCCAGGGGGAAACGGGGGCTGAACAACAGTTGCAACTGTATGTACAGAAGGCTGCATTCCGCTCATGCAAAAAACAGATACTTCAACACACATACATTCAGGCAAGTAAGAGGCATTGTCACAATTCAAGGACACATTCCAGCAAAAAATGCTCAAGGACTGCCTGGAGCACAGCTGGGGGAAAGGGGTGTGGCCTGGGAAGAGCACTGAGGGACAGAAAGAAATGCCTGAAGGGCCACATTTGGGTCCCAGGCCTGAGATCCCCTACACCCACCTTTGGGATCTGAGTCCCCTCCTGTATTAACCTAACTTAATTAAGATCTTTACTAGAGGTCTTCTTCTATGTCCTCACCCCAGACTTCAGAACTGAAGCAGATGGTGAAGTCCTTCTCAGTGTTGGCACTCTGTCCTTGGAACACACTCCTGAGGGAGAATCACCTGATGCTGAATCTTCTGCTAGCTGAAGCCACTTTGATTGGCCCAGGTGTTATAAAAGGTTGTAGGTAGAGCTGACTTTTCGTCCTCTCCTGAATTTGTATGATTGATTCAGCTGCCATATATATATATATATATATATATATATATATATATATATATATGTTAATGATTTGAATGATTTATGGATTAAACCACACAAGCCACTCTGAAAGCAATTTGCTTGCCATGAATTCAGAAGGAAATATCCTAGTGGCTAACACCTAATTCAAAACCAGCCAGATGGCACATTAGGTGAAGAAAACAATGATGGATTCATCCTGGCATAACTCCTGAAGGCCAGGAATGTATGTTTGTGTGTTTGTATGTGTGTTTGATTGTTTCTTAGTATGTGTGTCAGCTTTATCAATTTTTTTCCTGCCACATGCCTCTTTTCTAATGGATTGTATCAGCTTCAGCATATTTATTGTAAACAGCATATTTTCAGACCAGAAGTGTTGTGCATAGTTGATTAACACATGAAGTAATAATAGATGAAAAGTATTCAACCTCTTCACCAGTGTTCAGAGACTGTAAAATGGATGCTTCAGTGAGTGAAAGGAAAAACATCAGTGGCGTTCATTCTGCTCTTCCGACTTCTGGTTCTGGTACACTGTGGGATGGAAAGTAAGGTTCACAGATAATCTCCAAAGCTCTCAGAACCATGTTAGATACTTGTGCCTTGGATCCTAATTAGCCCTCCAGAAATGGAAGGACTTCTTTCATTAATTGAGGAAACTGGGATCTCCAATTGGAGTACACGGTGGAGGGTAGGGGGACATTTCTGGTGGTTTGGCCCCTTTCCCCTACACTACGTCTCATCCTATTCAGGAGGGTCTCCCAATCCTTAAAGACAGATTTTCAAGGGTCGAAAGGGCTGCTGGGAGATGGGGAGATAAACTAAAAATGCTTTTGCTAGCGAGGCCATCCTCCTAGTGGGAAGCCATTAACAGGATGCTTTCCTCAGCAGAACCCTAACCCTAAGCCTGTGTTTTTCCTGTTGTCTCTGAGAAGCTCAAACAAGGTTTTTGTTGTTTGTTTTGCTCTAAAGAGGGATTATAATGTCAGGGTGCCAGTTAAATTGCAATGCAGTTTAAATTCAATGCATGAAAGGATCTCATGGGGGGGGGGGTGATGACCACCGATTCTTTAACTTCCGGTATCTTGTTCAAGATTTGTATAGATCAGGGATCAAATGCAGGTCTCCAGGCCTCTCTGTGCTCTTGGGATTCACTCCAGGCTACATCTTCCCAACTCAAACCACTCACCAGCCCTGATTTGCACTCTCCTTGGGTGCTGTTGCTTGGTTCAAACTCAGATAATGCTTCTTGCTCACCTGGATTGAGGATAGAGATGGATGTTAGGGCATGAAGAAATTTGCCTTCAGTACAAAGGGGAAATTCATATTGAATGCTTTGTCAATTTTTGCCTCTGGCCTCAACCACTACTGGATTGTGACCCCTGGAAGGTTGCCCAGAAAAGAATGTGGCCCTTGAGTTCTGCACCACTGAAATTGGAGATTTTGCATAAAAGACCTTGTAAGGCTAATTATGACTGAAGCAAGATGAAATTGTACAATGTATTTTTTTTTAATGTGTGTGTGTGTGTGTATAACACACCCACCCGCCCACCCACCCACACACTACATTTTCTTCCTGCTTCAGTCTTAAAACTGTTGCAATGGAATTGCTTTTGCTATTTTCTTGTTCTGAGTTCTGAGCTTGTTTGAATAAAGAAAATCTCAAAGCATAGGAGTTGCTTACCTATGGCTGCTTTGAGCATACAACTCTGAATGCTTTCTTCATGTTGCAAGTGCTGAAACAGGAAGCAGGAGCGAGCTGTACTTCCTGCTTTTGTGCTGCTTCTGTAACACGAGAAAATGGAGGGTGAGCATCTTTCATCTTCTGGGGAATGGGTAATGATTCTTGTGCTTCTTGTGCAAGGACAGAACCCGCAGTGCTCAACCTTTCATCCTGGAACTTACCAGGGCTCTTTTTTTGGCTGGAACTCAGTTCTGGCCCCACTCAGGTGGGCACCATTGCCATTATAAGAGAACAAGGAAGGCATTCATGGTGAGTTCTGGCACCTCTTTTTAAAAAGAAAAATAGTGTTGGAAGTTACATGTTTTGTTTTGTTTATTCCTCTGTATTTCACTGAGTGGCATGGACCGTTTGGGTCTTTGTATCAGGGGGAATGAAACATGACCATCCCACATTTCTCAGGCTAGTATCTACTGCTTCTGCAACAATGTTTGGAACAATATTATCTGGATTATGGTTCCTTTGTGTGGTTTACTTGTATTGCTATTTGGAGAATGAAATATCAACCAGGGATAAACACAGTAAACTGTGTTAAATATGTTGCATCTTGTGTGCACTGTATGAATGCATTTGGCACCTGAACAACTATCCATGACCTTACTGCTAAATCAATTTTCTTCTTCCACTTTCTGAATGGATATATAAGTTTGGAAAATTAAAATGAAGGAAACAGCCACCAGTAAAGAATTTGTCTTGTGAAGAGGCTGACAGATTTATGTGAATAGGTCTATTGAAAATAATGAATATAAAATAGTTCAGCTGATATAAACGTATTCATTCCCCTTCCAATTATTTGGTAGCATTTTACATTAAATTAGTACAAAGTTCTTTGTAAAAACGAGATTCAGTAACAGAATATCTAATAATATTAGTTCAGAGAAAAAGTGTATCCTACTGTATCCTTCTAAAAGGAAGGCAATTATAACTAAACCCATGGATAAATAGATAAGCTTCTTCAAGAATAAAATGACGAGGGATGTTGTTTGAAATGCTGCATGTACCCACTCTCAAACATAAGAATGTTTGAGGTTTCTTAGTGAGAAATAACCAGCACTTCCATGTGATGTCATCATAAGATCATAGGAAAAATATTGTTCCTTACTGCATCCTAGAGGTGCCTCCCAATCATAAGTTTTATCGATTGCTCATATTTTGGGAGGTCTGTTCATGATATGTAGGAAATATATTGTGGATGGAATCTGTCCATCTCTCTCTGTGTGTAAAATGTCCAAAGTTCAGATAGACATCTGTTTAGTGTTTGATGAACATAGGAAGCTCATTATACCAAGTCAGATGGTTGGTCCATCTATCTCAATATTCTTTACACAGGACTAATCTACACTGGTCAATTTAAAACATTATAAACGCGTTATAAGCATGTGACAACAGAGGGTGCTATAGAGCAATGTAAAATTGCCAGTGTAAAATTACATTGAATTACATTACTTTTTAAAGCGTTTTTACAATCAGTGTAGATCCAGCCTCACTGCCAGCAGCTCTCCAGGGTTTCAGGCAGGTTTTTCTCCCAGTCCTATCAGGAGATTCCAGGGATTGAACCTGGGACATGATTCATATGAAGCATGTGCTACAGTGCTTCCGAATGAGAGCAGGAGAGATTTCTGGAGACAGCAAAGAACAGTTAAATGGCACAATCTTGAAATTTTGTTTGTCACATCCACTCGAAAAAGTGAAGTTGTCATATAGGAAAATGCTAGAAACATGCTTGCAATCCCATATTTGGTAAGTAAAATAATGAAAACAATGTGATTGGATACTCGTGAGTGCATTATTCTTATTCAATGTGCTCCTTGATGTCATTACATTTTGCCATTTGGCTGGGCTGTGTTTCATATGGCCGTTTAACAGTTTGCTGCCCTTTTAAGAAGTCAGGGTGTAATTCACCCCTTCATGGGTGCACCTTGTTGGACAGAAAGGGCTCTGAATAGAGTCCTCATTCCTTTTATCTGGCTAGCCATGTAAAGTTGCATTTGTGGGCCTGCAGAAGTGACTGTCTGACTGGCTGCATGAATGGAAGGTGTGTAGAAGGACCTTCTATTGAATATAACGGTTTGTGTTGTTATACACATCTGTACCTGCATGGGTATGGATCATGCCCTAACTTATTAAGACACATACTTCCTTATGGATCAGCATTTAGGATGCCCTGTTATATTCACGCCTCCAATTAAACTGATTGCTCTCCAAGAATATAGAAAAGCACTGTTGGATCAGGCCACTGGTCCATTTAGTACAGCAGATGCCCATGAGAAGCCTGAAAGCAAGACCAAAATGCAACATTGCTCTCCTCACTTGTGATCCCCAGAATCTGGCATACTACCTTTGACAGTGGAGATAGTCTTTGTGGCTAGTAGCCATTTATAACCTTATCTGCCATTAATCTGTCTAATCCCTTTTTGAAACCATCCAAGTTGATGGCCATCATTCCATCTTAAGCAAGTGGATTCCTTTAATACAGAGACAGGTAACAGGAGATGATATTTCACTCTATATTACACAGAAGGAAATGCCATTAGACTAGCATCTGAGAAGTCCTATAGTATTTGATTCAAGTTGATGCTGGTTGATTGTTCAGCTTTTCAAAAACTGCAACCTAAGCAAATTTCTCCATCTTCTTAGGAGTTCAACAGCTTTAAAAATATGTATGGTACTCAGATTCCCAGCAAGTGATCAACTAGTTTATTCTTCATACCTCAATATATTACAAGGACGATCCATCATTTTAAATAAGTAATTTGATATCTTTACTCCTCCGTTCTTGGCTCAATTAATAAAAAGGTTTCTGAATAAAAATGACTTTATGTTTAAAATGTTTTCTCCTATTACTCTTTTTGGAAAACCAATTATTTTTAGAGCCAGCACAATTTTAAATGTGGCAATTACACCACCAGTCAGGGCATATATTCTAAGATATATGCCCACAGAGCTCAAACTGAATTATTCTCAAATTGTTTTTCTCTCCAAATATTATCGGTAATACTTTTCTCTCTTTCCAGTAATAATAGAACCCCAGGTCAGCCAATGAAACTGGTGGGCAGTCAATTCAGGGAAAAGAAAAGAAAGTACTTCTTCACACAATACATAATCAATTTATGAAATTCCCAGCCAGAAGAGGTGGGGTGATGACCACTTGAAGTTAGATTGCTTTGAAAGGAAATTAGACAAATATGTGAAGGTTGCAAGTCTTTCAACAGAAACAGAAAAGGCAGATTTTGCAAGGCCTTTATTTATGTATATGGATTTGACATCCTCAGCCCCCATGTTATTTGTTATATTGTTTTTTGTCTAACATCAGAACAATTTTAATGCTGTCATGGACCCATTGTAGAATACAGTGTTACGTGCATAATCAAGCGTAATAATAATAATAATAATAATTTATTTATACCCCACCCATCTGGCTGGGTTTCCCCAGCCACTCTGGGTGGCTTCCAACAAAATATTAAAAAACAATAGTCTGTAAAACATTAAAAGCTTCCCTAAACAGGGCTGCCTTCAGATGTCTTCTAAAAGTTTGACATCTGGTGGGAGGGCGTTCCACAGGGCAGGCGCCACTACCGAGAAGGCCCTCTGCCTGGTTCCCTGTAACTTGGCTTCTCGCAGTGAGGGAACTGCCAGATGCACCTTCTGGATTAGGCCCATCATGTGCAGCAACCTGTTCTCACAGTGGCCAACCAGATGTCTGTGCAAAGCCTGCAAGCTGGACATAATGGCAACAACACTCTGCTCACCTTCAGATTCTAGCAACTAGAATTCAGAGGCACAATGCCCCTGAAAGTGGAGGTAGAACAGAAAGCGGAGCCGGAAAATAATGCAAACAAGACATATACAACTTCACATTTATCCAAAATTCATTCTAAGATCATCTGAGTTCTTAATCTTGATTATCATTTTTTAAAGGTGACCCTTCTAGTAATATACTCATTCTCCCCCCACCATAAAAAATTCTAACATCACACCCGGGTACATGCTTTAAAAGTGGGTCCTTCTTAACCCCATGAAAATATTCATGAGTCACCCAAATTCAATCAAGTGAGTCTGCTCTGGAATCTGAGTTTAATGGAGTGCTCCTCCTTCCCCATTGCTGGTAGCCTTCTTCACAAGTCACACTCTTGATTCCCAAAGAACCTGGTTAAATTGACCCTCTATTAATATTGCTGGAAGAGATTAGAGAATTATGGAGCACCAACATCAAACCTCTTTGAAGTATGGAAAATATAAGATACTTTAAATACTTGCTCATCTGATAACATTTCCAATTATCCAAAGTGTATATCAGTGAACACGATCCTGCAGAATAGGCCTTCTACTCTTAAAAATCCATGTCCCTAATTATTTGCAAGATGCATGCTTTAGCTTTCTTATAATGTCAAGTATTGTTCACCAAGAAGGCCCTTTTCCAATAAATGTATACCACTTCTTTTTCAACAGAAAAACATAAAGAACCCCACCCCATCAGACTCTGCGACGACAGAAAAGTAGACAATCTGATTTACTTAGGGAATTGATAGTGGTTTCTGTGGAGGCAAAGAAGGATTTTCATAAATTATCGATTCTCTTGGTTTATGTAATCAGAAGAAATGTGATGTGCTTGAGATGCTGGGATTTTCCATATCTGTCCTGTGACCGAGAGCTTTGGGAAGGGTAAAAGCACAAAGAACAATTCCGCATAAATGAGCACTTCATACTTAACTCCCAAGCGTGCCCTTTAAAAGCTCCCACTGTAAAAATACAATTAAAAGTGTCTGCTTTAATCATCCATTAACTGATGGGCAATCTCTGTTGGTGCGTGATAACATTTGATATGCTCAAATGGCCCAGGTTTTGTCACATGTGGGAGACACCAACATACCTTTGGAATGAGGAACTACTGAACATAAATCTACATTTAGGGGAGGTGATATTGCTGCAGCTGTTGCTAGACATTTCATAAATAGAAATCAATACCTTAGCAGACTATGATTCATGGAGACTGAACACATACCCCCCACACTCCAAGCAGATACCAAAAAAGCAGACTTGGCAGATTAAATAAGATTTTCAAAAAGTACTGTAAAGTGCTTAGTCTCTGCTCCTCTTCTTCATTGTATATGTTCTAGTCAGTCTTTTTGACTCTCCAGATGAAAGATTAAAAGCAGTAAGATTGTGGAGAGAAGGGAAAGAATGTTTTGCATGTTGTTGAATTCAATATGTTGTTGAATTCAATTTTCAATATGTTGTTGAATTCATATGTACTGCCATTTAGGATTTGTTTCCCAAGACAGACAGATGCCAACTGGGTCAGGACAAATGGGACAAACAACTAATGGGAATCCAAAGGTTAGAACACATTCATAGCTTTTGATATTTGTACTAGAGCTGTGTTGAAAATTTCTTCTGTATGTATTTGACCATGTTATGTTAATTAATGAGAAAAGAAATTGCATTTGAAAATTATCAAAAGGGAGAGCCTTTTTTGTGGAATTCTTCTGGCTATGGTGTGGGTTTTGTTGTTGTTGCACTCACCTTACTTTTGAGGGAGCCGAAGACTTTACAACTATACTTTCTTTCATTCCACAAATCATATGATCAGTGTTCTGAATTCTGCAGCCTTCGTGGATGCTGCCCTTCTTCAAAACCCCATTATACTACATTGTTGTTGTTGTTGTTTTATAAGGGAAGTCTTTTTACTTTTACAGAAATTAATGTGGAAATATAACCAAGGAAAGGCACACTATAGGGGCAATAACTGTTTTAAGGACACCTTTGCACTGCAGATTTTGAGGTCTACACATCCAAGGCCAAAAATTTGGCTGATGCCATGTATTCACTGATAAACTGAAACAATCATGGTGGTCAAGTAAGCAGCCTGACTGGCAGAAGATCTCAACACAATAAATCAAGATTTATATTTTGTGCCGTGTGGCAACATCTTCAGAGTGCCTTTCTTGAGCAAATACCTCTTGTGGCTCTCTCATAACTGATTTGAAGCAGGCCTGGTATTCATAAAGGTGTCTTGCCATGAGAAAAAGTAGAAGTCAAGGTAAATACCTGGAGATAATTCTACTTTGGGAAAAAAGGGTATACAAAGATGAATGACTCTGCATTGTTCAATCAACCATGAGAACAGGCGAGAGATGTTAATCCTTCTTCATTTATATTAGATAAAATTCTGGCTCCGCTGGAGGCACTGGGAATTCTTTCAATATATTTATTTATTACAGTCAGGACTGTTAAATTCCTCCAGATAAAACTCTATATTAAAAACATCCTGAACATCTGCTTTAAAAAAGCTCCAACTCATGAAAAGTCACCTATTCAAGTGGGAGCAGTCTTTGGATAGAATATGATAAACACCCTGTTAGCCTCGTAATTAGCACCTATTACACTGCAAAAAACTGCCAAAGAGTGCAACAGAGCATCTTCTATCATCTAGCACTTAATAATGCAGTGACTCTGCACGTCTAGTCCTCTGTCTGAACTTGCCTGTTTTTTATACAACTAGGGTATGCTTTGTCACTGTTAGCTCCATTTGAATTGCAATATATTTCTTATTTAGGTCTGTGTGGAATGTTTTTGTGTATGTACACATACATTTGCATCAAGATGTACACTTTTATGGAGCATGTTCTTGCAATGAAGCTGTTGGCAAATTGTGCAAAACAGTTTTACCCTCAAAATTGTAGTGCGTAGAACTTGTGCAATCTCTTAACCAGCCTGAAAAGACTAAGGAAAAAATTGCTGCTTCTTGGTATGAGGTTTAGGAAGCACACATCAAATGTAAGTCAAAGGAAAGATATCATAAGCTGAGTTCTGTGAGATGGTAGGCAGCCATTGTCAAATACAGACTAAGAGGGTGTGTTCCCTAACCCAGGATTGTTGGAATAAAAAAAAATGAAAAGAGTAGCTGGTGCCTGAAATATAGCAAGCAGACTGCATTGCTCTGCTGACCAGAGGCCAGTGCAGGGGCCAGACTGCCTGCAGAAAAGTAGGAGCTAAAGTTGTATACTCCTATTCCTTAATTCTTTCCTTTGAGGCCAAAACACTCTTAAGTCCCCAGTAGCTCTCTTGGCTAGGTTCCAGCTGTAGATCAAGATATCTCTCCTTCAAGCCTTGCAGTTATCAGGACAGCCACTGATATTTTGCAATGTCTCACTGTGAGCTGTCACAGATTTAGTAAAGGTATTTGAGCTAGCAGAGAGGTGGGACAGGTTTAGAGTGTGAAACTTAAGGTATGTAGCAGTCACGATATCTCTCATATCTACTCTACTACATATGCATTCATGAAAGAAGGACCCACTTAGCTTAATCGGTTGGCATAGTGAAGTTTCTAAGCCAAATTCTACTCATGCAATCGGGATATTTCCTGTCCAAACCTCTTCACTTCAACTCCCCATGAGCCCCTTGAAAATCTGCTCTCAGGTGTGTGTGTGTGTGTGTGTGTGTGTGTGTGTGAGAGAGAGAGAGAGAGAGAGAGAGAGAGACTGTTTATTTGATGATGTTTCAACTACTATTGTTAGCTGCTTTAGGAAGGTTTTACCCTGCATGCAAAGCTCTTAAATTATCAGTAAATATAGAACAGCATGGGGTGGATGGTGTGTAAGAGCTGCAGCAGGAAAGAGAGAATATTCAGAATTTGCAGTGGCCCCCACCTCCCATAAGCCAGAGTGCTTTTTTCTGCCCATCCAAGACACCTTTGGGTGACCCAAAGATGTTGGGAGATGTGAAAACAGACATCAAATCAATTGGAAAGGAAGCAGATATTCTGGAGGTCTCACCACAGCAGTGGACCTTGGGGTCTCAAATTTCAGTGGTGCCCTGTGCAACACCAAAATTTTGCACCCCAACTCTCACCTTCCATTTTACAGCATAGTTGAGGCGCCCCCTGCAGCTCCCCAAAGGCTCTGCACCCAGTGCAGCTAAATGGGTTGTGGTCTCTGAAATTTGCCTCTGCTCACAGGATAGGGATGTTTGCTAAGAAGAAATCTCACCTTTTGCTTCTTCAAATATTTATGTCTTGTTGAAGCTACTACAATCCAAGGGGAGCAGCAGCCTGTATATATTTAGGCCCTGTCTGCTCCGTATGTTTAAGTCAGCAGGTTTTATTTGACTCCTGCTGTGACCATGCGGTTTCCTCATTTGTGTGTGTGCATGTTGTCTGCCTGTGTAAATAGCAAGAGCATAAACAGTTCTACCTCGCAATGCAAATCAGTGTTTGCCTTGGATTCTCTGACTCCGCAGGCTGGCAGCCTTTTAGCTAAAATTAGCCACTTTCCATTCAAGAGTGGGAAGAACAGTTTTTGACTCTTTTTTAAGGTTTACGATGGGCACTGGAGGACAGAACAAAATGCTAGAGCATTAATAGTTAAAAAGCCTCTTAGTAAATAGCATGATGGCAAAGCAATGTGACTTTTTCCCAAGCTATATATTAATGTTCTCTGGCTCATTAATACCAGGGAGGTGTGGAGATTGCTCTGAGCTGAGTAATGTAATATCATGTCAGTCCAGCAAGGCGTCAAGTGTAAACAAATTAGGAAAATTCAAAGCTGCTTATCTGGATTCAAAACAACAGCTTATATTGAATATGGGCTATTTTCAATTTGGTTACGTATTAAATAAACAAAGTTAAGTAAATTTGTACCGTGTCTAACAAATATACATTATTATTTTTTAAGTATACACTCTCTTTTAAAAACTAAATATTTACTTGGTTAAATAGCTGAAAATTGCTTTACTCTGTCCTTTTTTAAAATAAAAATAAAACTTTAGAGTTGACAGAATAATAATTTACATGAAAAGAGCAGCCGTCCCCACAGTTGATGCATCTTTCATTTCTTTGGCTGCCTTGACCTTTAGCTTTCAGTCCTCAGTCTGGCACACACATGCACACCCATTCCAGCCTCCATTATAGCCTGGAGCTGTTTTCCTGGAGAGCCATTTACACATCCTTACTTTCACTGAGCCTGTAACTGGAAGACCAAAGGCAACTCCCTTTCAAAATGGAGATTTGCAGCCAAGGACATGGGTGGTGCTGTGGGTTAAACCACAGAGCCTAGGGCTTGCCGATCAGAAGGTCGGTGGTTCAAATTCCCACAACGGGGTGAGCTCCCGTTGCTCGGTCCCTACTCCTGCCAACCTAGCAGTTCGAAAGCACATCGAAGTGCAAGTAGATAAATATGTACTGCTCTGGCGGGAAGGTAAACGGCGTTTCCGTGCGCTGCTCTGGTTCGCCAGAAGCGGCTTAGTCATGCTGGCCACATGACCCAGAAGCTGTACGCCGGCTCCCTCGGCCAATAAAGTGAGATGCGTGCCGCAACCCCAGAGTCATCCGCGACAGGACCTAATGGTCGGGGTCCCTTTACCTTTACCATTGTCACCTGATCTAAGGCTAAACACTCACATGTTAGCTAGCAGAAAAACAACAATAGTTAATTATCAGCCCATCAAGGAGCTCAGAGACCACTTCCTGCTGTTATTTAGCATTGATGGAATCTCCCAGTTAAACCCTTTCAGCAATACACATAGGTATTCTTCATTTCCGTGTCAATTAAATAAGTATACTTAACAGGTGCTAGAGGAGACGCTTGAGAGTCCCATGGACTGCAAGAGGATCAAACCTATCCATTCTTAAGGAAATCAGCCCTGAGTGCTCACTGGAAGGACAGATCCTGAAGCTGAGGCTCCAATACTTTGGTCATCTCATGAAAAGAGAAGACTCCCTGGAAAAGACCCCGATGTTGGGAAAGATTGAGGGCACAAGGAGAAGGGGATGACAGAGGACGAGATGGTTGGACAGTGTTCTCGAAGCTACTAACATGAGTTTGACCAAACTGCGGGAGGCGGTGGAAGACAGGAGTGCCTGGTGTGCTTTGGTCTATGGCGTCACAAAGAGTCGGACACCACTAAACAACAACAACTTAACAGATACTCTAACGTGGACCTACAGCCTCCCTGGAAGCAGTGAGCTACCCAGCTGAAAGCAACAAATTCAGGCAGTATATAAGAACCTAAGAACAAAATGAGAGTTTTGTTGGACCACACAAAAGGTTTGTCTAGTCCAGCCTGCTGCTTCCTGGAATGGCCATCCAGATGCCTATGGAAAGCCCACAAGCAGGACATGAGGGCAATACCTTTCTCCCTTTGTTTGTTTCTTAGTGACTGATATTCAGAAGCATGTGGACACGTGACCTCTGTTCCTACAGGTAGTATATAGCCATCATGACCACTCACCACTGGTAGGCAGCTCTAAGTAGATACTGTGCACTGTCATCTTTGACAGCCTTGTCTTTGAGAACTCAGACACACCACCTCTTTTGGGGCAAGGTGTTACCCAGCCATTATCAGTCTTCTTTCAGAAGCCTGTCCTGAAACTCAGCCATTTTCAGCTGATGAGGGCCAAATGAGCTATCAAGAAAACAATTTCCCTCAAAGATAGGACACCATTTTTCAGGTTTTGCAAACTAATTGCGCAAAATAATGAGATGTTGTCTAGTAAGAGTACATTTTAGTAGAATGACTCCAATTAACTGATAAAGACTTCAGGCCATGAAAACAGAGGAAAGCTGGTACCAGGGACTCTCAAAACCTCTTTTATCTGCCAACCTATCCCCAGAAGGTAGAAAGGTGATGAAATCTTTCTTCCAATATTATTTTTCATTGCTGGGGAGTATCAGTAGCCCAAAGGTGGGGCTGGAGAGGTGGGGGAAGTGTGAGTAAAATAAAACATTACAGTGGTACCTTGAGTTACAAACGCCTCATGTTACAAACGCTTCAGGTTACAAACTCCGCTAACCTGGAAGAGTTCCCTTGAGTTGAAAACTTTGCCCCAGGATGAGAACAGAAATTGTGTACTGGCGGCACAGTGGCAGCAAGAAGCTCCATTAGCGAAAGCACGCCTCTGGTTAAGAACAGTTTCAGGTTAAGAATGGACCTCCGGAATGAATTCAGTTCGTAACAAGAGGTACCACTGTACAAGTGTAGACTAATAGAATTTTGCATTCATTTATCTGATGGATAAGCCAAGACAAACAGCTGCCTTGATGCTGCCTTTTACTTCTGTGAAATAGATTTTTATTCTCACATTGGATTTTTTCACCCATGATCACTACATTTTTAAGGGATCATTGATGTGCATTTGATTTGGAATGCATTTTATTATTATTTTTCTTGAGGAGTAGTCCAACACTGTAGCAACACAAAATGAAAACAAGCAAACAATGAAAACCTATTTTGGCTCATCTAATTCTTTCTCTTTCTTATTTCTAGTGTTCTCTGTAGGGTCTTAACTTCTGCATTTATCTGAAATCACAGTGACTGGCATCAGCATTTTAAAAATCAAAGAAGGCACACTGGCATATAAAAAAGAATTATTATGTTTTGTAAAAGCTTCCCAAATGCAGATATTTTGTTTTTAAAGAGAGAGAGTAGATGTGGCAGTATCCTGCAATTAATGGTTGCATTACATTGGGATGATAGCAGGCAACCTGAGACTATCTAACAGCCAATACCTGTATCCTGAAATGTGACCAGATGCTTGGAATAGCCCCACTTGTAGCATCTTAATTCTAACTTTGCTGTAAAAAAAATATCTGTATTGATTCTCATGCATTTATTCTTTATTTATGGCATTATCAGCTGGCATCGCCTTCATATTGTTACAAACCACCCCCAATCTATGCTGAGTGGTAGCAAGACTCCAGAGGGTCCCATGATTATGTTTCTTTCTGGAAAATTTATGAAATATGGTTTGTTTGAACATATTTACAACCTGTGGATAGATGGAGAGAGTTTCCAGCATCTACATCACAAGAGAATCCTTTGCTGCCCCGCTAAGAGCAGCCAGCTCAGATCCACAAGCAGATAAATCAGCCATACTGCCTGCGCCCCATGATGATGGCTTCTTCTTCTTCAGCCCAGGACAGCATTTATGGAGCCTCAGTGGAGCCAAAATTTTCCCCATTTTGTCAGAGTAAAAGGCTGCTGGGGGAGGGTGGGACCCTTTCTGTGAAGGTGAAGCTTGTAATCGGGACATAACTGCTGCTCCAATCTGAGGTTGACTGTGTATCAGAGGTCTCTCCTCTTATAGCTTTCAGCATTAGCCCTGCATAGTACAGTCTTGCCTTGCTTTGCCTCTGAGGTCAGTGCTCACTGCAGGACAGCCACCATTACTGCCACTGCAGAAAGGCAAGGCCTCCCACTCCTAAAAGAGTAATAAACAAATAGTAAAAGTAAAGTAAAAAGTAAAGTAAAGGACCCCTGGGCGGTTAAATCCAGTCAAAGGCGACTATAGGGTTGGGGCACTCATCTCGCTTTCAGGCCGAGGGAGCCGCCGTTTGTCCACAGACAATTTTCTGGGTCATGTGGCCAGCATGACTAAACCGCTACTGGCTCACGGAGGACCGTGACGAGTGCCAGAGCGCATGGAAATGCCGCTCACCTTCCCTCCGCAGCGGTACCTATTTATCTACTTGCATTGGTGTGCTTTCGAACTGCTAGGTTGGCAGAAGCTGGGACAGAGCAACGGGAGCTCACCCCATTGCGGGGATTCAAATTGCTGACATTCTGATCAGCAAGCCCAAGAGGCTCAGTGGTTTAGACCGCAACGCCACCCGCGTCCCAATAATGAACAGATATAAGTGGGGAAACCACAATAGCCTCCATTTGTTGTACATTTTGGAATTAATTAACGAAAAGGGAATGGAATGGGCAACATTCAGGTTTTTTTCATTCTTTACACTTCTAGAGTCATGAAATAAAGCAACAGTTCACAAAGTACACTATTTATTTTAGTCCAGATTTAATGCATCAAGAAAAACCTGTCTTCATCTGTCTTCAACCCCTATGACTTTTCTACGAAGCCTTAGGTTTTATTTCCCCCATCCTCTTCCCTCATTGAAATCAAACCTAAATGCAGCTGAATTAAAGGGCAAAGACCTGCCTTTTTGTAGTTTTATATCCTCTAAAGCACCATGTACCTTGACAGCATAATCTAAATAATGATGGTAATGATAATAATTTTCAAACACCTTAAGAGTTATTCTTTCGAACCGAGCAATTCATGGGAATGCAGGAGGTGTAAACATTAATGCAGTTTTTCTTCTTGCTTTTGTCAGGTTTTTTTTACACTTCTGCTCCACACTGCAAAAGAAAGGCCTCGAGCGGCTCAAGTCCCCAATAGTGGTGGCACATCAGTGTCAGCTTGCTGTTGTTGTTTTTTAAAAAGATCCAGGCGCTTATACCAGCTTGAGCTAACTTCCCCCTTTCTTCAACTTTAGTTTAAAGCAGACAGCTGCAGCAGCCCAATGACCTGCTTTGATTTCTTACCTGCCTATCACTATAAGGTTCCATGGCAAGCTACAACAATATTGAATCCAAGCTTAAAATCATGTAAAACAATTTGCAATCAGAGGAATAACACACACACACACACACACACACACACACATACACACAGGCTGCTTACCTACATAAAAATAAATTGAAATGTAGACCAAAGGCCTATCTAGACCATGTTGTGTGCCAAGGCTCCATGACCTGTGGTCCTCTGGCGGACAAATAAAGCACACGAACAAGCGGATTTTGGTTTATGGGTTCAAATAGGCCACAACTTTATTGGTTACAGATGTGAACAGTTTGACTTAGGCATCTTGACTCCCGTCTATCTGCAGTGAGTCCAACTAAGAGTAAACCACCAGTAGGGGGAGACCTATGAATTACATCAAATAGGGGCACCCTGAGGGGTGCCCGTTGAGGTAGGGTAAGGCCCTGGCCCATGTCTGGGCATGAGACAGAATCCAAACCCCCAGATCCCTTTAATAGGATACCCTTAATGAGGAGGTGCAGGTGGAGGCTACAACCTCCCCTCCATCCAAATAAAGGCTTACCCAATGCCTGACCACCAGTTGAACCCACGGCCTCCCCGCCGTGCCGGAGTTTAAATTCTGTCGGCACTGATTGGTCAGCAAGGCCCGCCCCTTGAGCAGGGCCCCGCCCAGCGCTGATGCCGTAGGGAAGCGATGGCGGGGAGGGCACCGTTCTCTGACCCTCAGTCGGGTCATGCAGGGCCTGGGGCCCGGCTTCAACGCTGCCTACCAAATAAGGTAAGTGGACTTCTCACAGTGGCCAACAAGATGTCTATGGGAAGCTTGCAAACAGGAAACGAGCTCAGCGGCATTCTCCAACTTGCTCTGTGTTGCCTTTGCTGACTGGCTGTGTTGTTCTCTAGGGTTCTGAAAGCAGGATATTCCAAATGATCTTCAGTTATAAGTTGTGTGATAAGATATCGCATTCTCAGGAAGAGTTCCCAAAGAGACACATTGGAGGCTAAACAATTCCAATATATGTGCACATCTCAGAGTGAAGACCATGTACAGAAACATTAAGTTAGTGTGATGTGAAGGAACAGCTTTTGCTCATGTTCTGGCCATGTCCTGATAATGCCCACAGTGTTGGTGTGATGTGACCTAGCATGCACTGATAATGCTCCAATCATGTTATAGTGACAGCAACCCTGATTTATGAGATATTCATTTCCCCACCCCCTTTGTACCAGCCAGAAGCCTAGCAGCTGTATTCAGAAGCCGTTGAAATTTCTGTATAGACTACAGAATCTAACCTGGATATTATCAGGGGATGAATATATGAAGCCAGCCATGCTGCACAAGTGCAATATATTTCCTGACTTCCATACTCTGATATAAATATGATTGGTACATTAAGATGCAAATAACTTTCTGCCTCCTCCCAACAGGGCATATTTGTGAGCTAAACCAGAGATAAATGTGGAAATTAACACTCTGAGACCTCAGGGGTATTCATGATAATCCTAGATGTCCATGAATCCTCAAAACAACACATGGATTATACTAACTCATAGACTGTTCGCTTTCGTTTTTCATCATGATCGCTGATGTGGGATATAGCTTTAATTGCATTAAGTGATTTACATTTTATTGTAATGCACAAACAATAACTGGGCAGAAATGAATTAGAACAACGGGGAGAGACTTAAGTTTTTTGTGGTGCATTGTACTCCTACTAGCAATGTCACTATCTATTCTAGACTGTTCACTAAGGTAATTGCAGACGACAATTGCACAGCCAGTTTGGGATAAGCCTTTTAGCACACAGAAAGGAAATCTGCATTACATGAAGAACTAAATCCATACTTGACTTTTTTCTCCGTCTGTAACTTTTTAATAGACATAGTACCTATATTTGGTTTATTAGATGTGTCTGGATTTGCATCTAATAATACTGGCGGACATCCATCAAAAAGCATCTTTATGGCAATTCAAAGTACAATGTCATAGCTATTCTTTGATACCAGGACTAAAATATATGTTAATATTTTCTGTTCTTGAAAATTTTGAAATCGTAGTATCAGGGCACTGAATATCTGTGGTATGCTGAAAAACCATTTTCAAAGGTGCAATAAAATGTGTTTTCTCAGTCATGGTGCAACTAAGGATGGAGGGCAGTTTTGTTCGGTCTGCAGTTTTAAGTGAACTGATCCAATTTGCACCTCCTGGACTGAAATACAAATCAGAATGCAAATATACTCGAGGTTTTGCACTTCTCCAAATTTTGTAACACAGTTCTCAAAACAAAAAAGTACCAAAATGAGATACATTGAGATAAAAAAAAATGTATTTCAATATGTATTTTGAGATGAAATACATATTTAAATGTAAATGTTCATACTGTTCTTTAAACCAACTGCAGATTCATGCAGCAATGGGACAGCATTGACGTATGAACACATGCGAGATGGGCAGAGATGGGAAGCAGGCAGTTCTGTCCACCCCTGTGCAACACAAAGCTTGCAGTCAAAGCTCCTGACATTCCTTAGAATGTGTCCTAGTACGAAGATCCTGTGAGAACAGTTTGGTCACATCTCCTGTTTGCTGCTGAGTACAATGACTTTTTCCCTCAACAAAAACCATGTATTTACTAGGCCCATTGCCCAGAATGGAGAAAAGATAGAATTGGTAAAAGACTATATTTATTAAAATATAACAAGGAAGAACTTGCACCAGTTTCACATATCAAGTGTGGGCATGTATAACATACACAGGCAGGTAGAATATCTCTTGCCTGCTGCTATAGGCTAAGCCACCCCAGACTAACTCCATCACCCAGGTTGGCATGATGGAAGGCGAATACCACATTCCCATAAAGGGAAGCTGCGTGTGTATGTGACCTTAATGGTGCCAACACCCTTCTGTTCAGCAAGTGGCCCATGCCAGGACCAAAGAGACCAAATCAAGCAGCCTTCCAAGCCAATCAGCCTAAACAGGACTTATCATTCCCCACCCCCGAGTCCTGAAATCCTCTGAGATATTTGGGGTCTTCCCAGACAGAATGGGAGCTAGGGGAATAGGAGATAGGGTTGCAGAGGAGGGGCAAAAGGGAATATTGCCCTAGCTCATGAGTGTCTCCCTGCCCACATTTATATGTAGAGCCCAGACCCATTGATTTCAACAGAATCTTCTCCCTTTTTGCAAATTGTTAAGAAAATATTCAAACACGGGCTTGAATATTATTTGGTAAATACAAGTTCAAAGGAGGATATGGGGGGGAAATTCAGTTAGGAAATACCCCAGCCCTTCTAGGAAAGGATAAGCAATTTTGGTATCTGGACCAACTCTCCTGGTTTGGGTGCAGTTTCTGCTGACACGCTGACCGTTTAAAAGAAGTGGGTTGAAATGGTTGGATGGTTTCTAAAATAAGATTCTGGACTCTGTGCAGCTGGGTCATGTTATTATCAGTTGGCCTAGCAGCCATCAATGCTGTAGAAAAGAAAAGAAAAGAAAAAGAAAATGTTTGTAACCCCGGTGATTAAGGACCCATCAATATATCTTTCTATATGACAAGCCTGTACAGCTTGTGATCTGCCAAGCTGAACACATCTAGCCACAAGTGTGTGGTAAAAACCTATCAGGCAGCTCAATGTCCTCATGAGTTTAGCTACTTGATGGGTAAAGCAAAATGGAGAGGGGAGTTCGTCCAGAACTTAGATGGCCACAGCATCTGGCTTAGTGGATCACGAGCTGCGAAATCCTATTTAAAGGGATTTGAGTAGCGAGTTGAGTCAGTTGAGTCAGAGTTCATTTCTGACTCATGATAGAATTGGAAGGTTAGAAGGGAGCCCAAGGGTCATCTAATCTATCCCCCTGCAATGCAGGAGTCACAGCTAAAGAATCCTTGAGAGATGACCATCTAACCTCTGTTAAGAAACCTCCAATGAAGGAGAGTCTGAGGCAGTCTGTTCTACACATGTTGCTTAGTAGAGGCATCACAATGTGTGTTTCATCACAAGGTTCTTTTATTTACTTACGCTGTAAAGGCTGGCTGCCATATCAGCAATAAGAGCATGTGCAAGCAGCAACAGTGATCAAACCCTTTGCTCAAGGGGAGAGACAAATGTACATGGGTTCTTCCAGAAGTCTAGCTCGGGTATGATCACAGGACAAGCGACGACCGCTCTCAGAAATTTGGTAGTTTCCCATTTTCCTGTAGCTCATAACATGAATTTCCAGCATTCAAGTAGAAAATATGTGAAACATTATTACTGGAGATGCACAGCAGGTGCCTTTTAAAGCTAAAGGCCTTGGCATTTTCGAAAATAATAATAATAGCCTTAAAAATATCAGAGATATCAGCCTTCCATAAAGAGCGAATGATACACTCTAGGTAAAATGCAAAAGGTCACTGTTAAGAAGCAAAACTTTTGCAGTTAAAGAAATAAAATCACACTCTGAAAGATTGCTACCTGGACAGTAAATAGCTAGCTTTAATTACTTCTTTGCAGCCAGGCTTTCATCAAGGCTGCCCTCAACTAAGAACAGAAGCTGGACCACAACAAGGAAAGGTCAATCTAGTCCAGCATCCTATTTCTAAGAGTGAGCCCAGTCAAAAGAACAACCACCAGAAACAGGCCATGAAAGCAGCATCTCTCCTATTGTTGCCCTTGCCAACTGGCCTTCTGTGGTGAACTGTGTTTGATCTGGAGTTTCCATCCAGCCATTATGGTGTGCAAATATTAATAGATGCATCCTCTGTGACTCTATTCCCCTTTTAAAGGCATCTAATCTAGTAGCCATCAACCCCAGCTTGTGGCTTCATTAACATGCAGCACAATCCTATGCAAGTTTACTCAGAAATTATGTCCACCCTAAAAGAGGGCACGTGTTGCAGTGAGTCCTGGAGACTGACCTCCTGTGTTGTGGGTGAGTTGGATTGGTTTGTCACAACACTCGATTGGTAGGTCCCTCGATGTTGGGTTCAATCTGACCAATAGAGTACAGTCCAAACGGATTGAGGGACCTATTTATACCCATGCACGTGACCCAGAGCTTCTACTTTCAGCTTGTGCATTTGGAACACCCACCCACCTCTGCCTAATTTTAGGGCTTTGTGCGATTGACCTTGCTATGCTGTTGTGTGTTGTCTGTTGTTGGGACAGGGGCACTGTAGGAATTTCCCCACTTGGCTGATTGGCTGTTGCCATTTGGGTTTTGCCTGCCGCGTAGCAAATCATCACTACTTGTAAGGTTGCGGATAGGCACTGGTTCAGGTGATAGGGATGGGGGAGCGGTCTTGCCATCCCTATGTGAAGGGTATTCCGTTAAAGGAATCCAGAGACTCATCTGATCAACCCCTGAGAGGGGGTTGTGCCCGTACCTGAGTCCAGGGGGGCATCTGGGTGGTGAACATAGTCTGTTCCCGGCTTTTCACCTTCCCAGGTGTTCACCCTTGGCTGACCTATGCTGGTGCCCTGAGTCAGCACTGCCTGCAAGGGTGCAGGGAGCTAGTCGAACCAGAGCCTATGCAACCACTCACCATCTGTATTCAATAAAGTTGTGGCCTAAATTTTGCCAAAAACCAAAACTAAAATTTGAGTCACATGTGAATTTATTTAGGGGGGAGGTCTCTGGGTCTGAACACGTAAGTCCTACAGAGTTCAGTTGGATTACTTTCCTGGAAAGTGGGCATAAGGATGCAGAATTAATTTTGTGTTATATGCAGTGCTTTTTTTTCTAAAAAAAATGTTTAGGAGTACTCTCAATTTCCTACTTATATTGAAATACTGCCCCTCAATGAGGCTAAACTTAGATTCACAAAATGTCTAGGGGTATGCGTACCCCTGAGTCCCCCCAGAAAAAAAGCACTGGTTCTATGGAAAAGTACTTTTGTCTATCTTTCCTGAATCTCCTGTCAGCCAGTTTCACGGGACTTCTTGAGTTGTAGTATTGCGAGATTGTAAGAAAAAACAAAAAACTTCCATTCCTCCACTTTCTCTATTTTATTTCAATAACCTCAAAGCAGTTTACAAAAAGAATGAAGTAATGAACTTATTAGTAAAAACAGTTAAAAACAAAAAGAAGTAAAATCAACAATAAGCTAAAAACCTGATTAAAGCACACCACTATATCCTGGTAGGGTTACTTAAACAAAAATGTTTTTAGCAGGCACCAAAAAAAGTACAGTGATGATCTCTGCCTGAAATCCTGGAGAGCCTTTGTTAGTTAGTGAAGACAATGTTGAGCTAGATGGACCAAATGATCTGACTCTGTATAAGGCAACTTCCTGTTTCTATGTTACTTGCTTTTACAGTATCTCTTCCTCACATAATTCCCCACTTTCTACACTATATTCCACCATTGTAAAACATTACACAACAGGAATTTGATGCAACCACACACACAATCACATGAAGATTGCTTTTTTACAGTTTCATAAAAGTGCACATGTGAATTGGTAGTATACAGAGTGGGAAGGGGGAGGAAACATGCCCATGGACCAAAAGAATGGGAAAGCTGTGGCAATCCATGCATGCTCCAATGCCAGAACTTGTGTTTTTAAAAAATTGTTAGTTCTTTTTTTAAAAAAATAGTATTTATTATTTTTCCAAAAACTTAAACACTAAAAAGAAAAAAGACAATACAATACAACACATCAAATTAACAAAACAAGACCAAGACAATAAAATAAATCAAACAATTTCATTATCCCATCTTTCATTCACTTATTTCCACGACCTCCTCACACCTCCCTTTTTGTATTCCACTTCTGTTAATTATTTCAGCAATTCCTTTCCATCTTCCTCTGTTTTCTATCCTATAATTATCTTAACTCATTCTAACCTTATTTTTTCCTTTAATGCTCTATTAACCTATCTGTACTTAATTCCTTATAATATTTCTACTAAAGCCATATAACTTCATTCCAACATTTTTCTAGCATTCATTAATTTTACAATATTTCTGTAGATAGTCTTTAAACTTTTTCCAATCTTCTTCCACCGACTTTTCTCCCTGGTCTCGGATTCTGCCAGTCATTTCTGCCAGTTCCATGTAGTCCATCAACTTCATCTGCCATTCTTCCCGGGTGGGCAAATATTGTGTCTTCCAATACTTCGTGATGAGTATTCTTGCTGCTGTTGTTGCATACATAAAAAAAGTTCTATCCTTCTTTAACACCAATTGGCCGACCATGCCCAGGAGAAAGGCCTCTGGTTTCTTCAGGAAGGTATATTTAAATACCTTTTTCATTTCATTATAAATCATCTCCCAGAATGTCTTAATCCTTGGGCATGTCCACCAAAGGTGAAAGAATGTACCTTCAGTCTCATTACATTTCCAACATTTATTGTCGGGCAAATAGTAAATTTTTGCTTATAATTGTTAGTTCAACCAGAACTCAGGAAGGGTAAAACACAGAGGAGAGTAAATTCACAGAACAAAGCAACAAAAGAAAGGACATCTATTCATCCTTACTGTGCATCTCTGGGATTGCAATGTCTGACAAATGTGCAGCCCCGTTTATGCAAATGGCTGCTGCCTCCCCACATGGACAGCCTCGTTTATACTAATCTTTTTCCAGGAGGGCTGTGTGCCTCTGGCCGTGACTGCATAGAGAAATTGGGCAGCATGAACCAGGCGATGGCTTGCAGGCTTCTCCATTTAGAAATTAAGTGTTGGCCACTGGGGACTAATTCAGCAAACTACTCCACCTTAACTGATTTGTACATTGGATTGTTGGTGAACAAGAGCCTCCAGTGGAGCATTCAACCCGTCTCCTCTCTTTCCCTAATTCACATGTTTAATAAAAGCTGCCAGCAGCTAGCATTTAAGTTACTGCTCCAGTGAAACCCTCTGGATATGTTATAAAATATGAACACCAGTATTTGTGCAATTTTCTAAGCACGACTAAGCTGAAATTAATGGGTACCTTTGGAATGACTGTATGTCTGCAACATATGCTTCAGGGGGTATTGACATTTGCCAGCTAACAATTAATCACCCTGAAATATCTCATTCTGGACATATGGGTAGGCAATCTGCTAGCTGCAAAACCACCAAGCAGACCTGTTGTTATCCATGCCACTCTGAATTATAGGTGATGTGAAACGAGCAGTTCGTCTGGAATATTTTTTTCCCCTTGCAAAAGGATACTATTAAATGACCCAGATCTGAAATAGGAGGGGCCTCATACTCTTTCCCCCCAGCTCATTTCTATTTAATCAATAGTATTTTGTCCCAGTTAATAGGATCCAATCTTCTGCAGGAGGTGTTGGTATCAATCTTGCCAGTGGACACAACCTTCCACCCATTTCCATAAATTCAAAATGGTTGAAATTGGCTGGATGGAGAGAATTGTCTGAAATTGTGGAAATGTGGAAAAATGGTTGAGTGTATTGTGTAGGAAAAATGGGTGGAATTCAAAGTCAATGTTCTGTCTGCATGAGCATTGCCACTTGCTAGATGGAACAGTTCCCCCTCTCCTTCCCTCATGTGCTGTTCTGGGGGTTCTCTTGACCCCCCCAAGCCAATTTTTGGGGTGTATTTCAGTTTCTGGAAAACTTATGCAAGGACCTCTTCAGGAGAGAGTTTGAGGTGAGGAGTAATTTCTCAGTGCCAGCCATATTATTGGGAAGAGTGAGGTGATTGCTCAAATGGCAGATTCTGTGGGGGCCAAAGGCATCTCCCTGCCCTGGCTATTCCCCTTGAGGCTCCTGCCACTGCCCATTCCCATCTTCCTGAGTTGGTTCCAGGGTAGCTGAAATTCCTCCTCATTTCTGACCTAGCCTGACTCATTTCTTGCCTGGTTGGCATCTCTCAATGTGTCTGAAACACAGGGACAAATAGAACAAGACGCCTTCCCCCCTTTATTACACACACAGCCCAACAAGACAACGACAAGAATCCACCAACAGCATACAAATCAATATGGCTAACCTGATTCAAAGACACACCCAGACCCCACTCACACCTGAAAACAAAGTTCACCACAGCCAATCACAAACAAACAACCACACCCTAGGCCAACCCCAACCTCTCTCACCATCAAAGGAACACAAGCTAATAGTAAAGAGAACCCACACAAGTGATGCTGACACAAAACCCCACACATACATTAAGTAGAATAGAAGCATTGCCCCTGACCCCACCCCCACTCACCATGCCCCCTCCACCTCTTTCCCTCTTTTCTTCCTAAAGTAACACTAATGTCTCAACAAATGAAACTGATCTGTAGAAAATGTAACTTGAAAAAAGAGACATTGCACATACTTTTGTAAACCAAGAGATCTTTAATAAAAAAAATATGTTAAAAAGAAAAAAGAAAAACAGAGTGCTGTGGCTGGAAGGATCTGCCAATTTCGGTCCAGTTGCTCATTTCCCCAATCTTAAATTCAGTTCCCATTTCTGTAGCAATCTGCAAAATTCATCTGCATTTTAGCATGAATTTCTCCTAATAACTATCTTGGCTGAGAGTCTGGAAATATCTGTTCTCTGCCCTGCAGCCCTTTTCCCACCTGGCCTGAGAGGGTGGGGCCCTGACTGACTCCAGCATCAAAAGGTGAGGCTGCTGAACAAACTCTTAGGTTGGGGTATTGTTTAGGGGTTTTTGTCAGGGCAGGGGTTGCTACTGTTATTGATATTACATTTTTGTATCTTTATTTTATCTTATTATGATTTATGTGGAAATGGTTTAATTTGGTTGTGTGCTTTTTGATGCTTTATTTATTGTTTGTGACAACTTTTGCTGTGCTTGTAATTATGTATTTTTATGTTGTAAGCTGCCTTGAGCATGGTTTTAACTATGGAAAGGCAGCATACAAATAAAATTATGTATGTAATTATGTATTTTCCCATCCATTTTTGGCTAATGTACATGCCTTCCTTTTCTTGTTCCAGGAAGCATGAAAAAGAAAGTGGGGGGAAAGTGGGAAAAGTGGGAAAAGATGCTGCTGAGTCCCTGCTAAGCCATACCCACATTGGTAACTTGAGCTCAGGTTAACTCTTTCATTCATGCAAGTGTGGGTCAGTAACTGTAAATTACAACAGCAAAATAGTTTGGGGTGTCCTTGGGAGACTTCAGAGGACTCTGCCTCTCTAGTGAGTAATCTTTGAAAGGTCCAATTTTTGTCAGTGAATGCTGCTGTAGCAGCAATGTTGTTGGTCTGTTCATTTTTGCCATTTGCTTTGCACAATGTGACACTTCCCTCACCTCCTATGTCAGCTTTCTAGTCAAGCTTCTCTCTTCCATTTATTCCCGCCACTTCCTGTTTACCAGACTAGAGCAATGGAAAAGCGTTTCCCATCTTTCTAATAAGGGAGCATTAAAAACGGAGAGGTGAAAGTTCCAAATACCCACCCAGCTGCACAGTTAAAATTCTATTTCTCCCTTGAAACTTCAGCTACAATCTAATAGCCAATCATTCTTGAACTGAATATGAGTTTTTAAACCCGATTGAGAGGGAAATTAGTTTTATGGGAATCCCTAATACTTTCCCTTCCAAATAAATGTGAGTTTTGCAGTCTATTAGGGAAGTAGGTGACAGCTTTTAGATGCAGAAGTACTATGCTGCATTTCCAAAAGGACTTATTCAGAGATACTGGTGCTTCCTATTTGAGATAGCATTTTGAGGCTGGATTTTGTGAAGCTGTGCCTGTTCTCTCTGTCTATGACTCACTAGATATCTATAGAAAGGGTCTGGGCTTAGAATATAATTTAAATGGGGAAGCAGCAAGGAACTTGGCTCTAAAGACTCTCCAACATATATTTTAAATATTTCTCATGGTTCCAAGTAACTTTCTCTTCTACAATGGTGCTACTAAGGCACCATTTAAACTAGTTCCCTGGGAAGAGGGGTTGGATTGTTAAACCACTCTACAAATTGTAGCTCTCTGAGGGGAATATGGGTTTCTTAACACCTCTCAGTATCCTTAGCAAGCTACACTTCCCAGAATTCTTTGGGGGGTAGTGTTTAAAGTGGCATGATACTGCTTTAAATGTGTAGTGCAGAAAATGGGGCCACACATGACTCCAGCTTTCTCTAGTACACTCCTCAGCAGTAGCTGTGACTTCACTCATTAGCTAAACACACAAAATGGTGCAAGTGGGCTCACTTCTCACAATGCAATTGGCTAGAAGGATGCCTGCACATTTTGCTTCATAACTCTTTTTTTACTGGGTTGAGCCCTCTGCTGGCTTTGTATTCCCACCATATGTCTTGGAGGCCCTGGTGCTTCCAAACGTAAAATTTAGCATCCACTGATTTCATAGTAAGGACCTGAGTAAATTGCTCGTCTCACATGGCTGCAATTTTTTAAACATTACAGTAGCCGATCTGCCCTGCCCGCCCCAGATTTCAGAGGGCTGGCAGAAACCCCTTTTAAGGGACACATATGCACAGGGAAATGAGAGGAAAGGAAAGTTACATTGTGCATCCATTCTCGAGCCAATGCAACAACTTTGTTGGATATCGCCCACTGAATTTCAATAGTATTCAAACACATATCTTAAATGTATTTTTTTAATCTCAAAATTAACATTTCTAAACATATGTGATATGTTTTTTTCCAGCCAAGAACTGTGTTGGAACATTCTGTTACTGCAAAAGCTGGCAGACGGGTATGAACAGATCTGCGTGATAGTCCAGAAGATGCAGACCAGGTCCACTTATATTGGAATCTGCAAATATCCAATTCCCTCAGCATCCTCAGTGTTGGACAGATGATCCTGCCTGTGCAATTTTAATTTGTAGAACTTGTGGACTCTGAAAATAACAGTATCTGATTTCTTTTCTTTTGTGTGATACACACACACACACACACACACACACCACACCTGAAACTGAGTCACAGTTGCACGGCAATTATTCTCTGCCTCAGCCGCAATATGATACAAATCTGTAGTGCAAGACAGCTAGAGACTTTGAAACTGTCTCAGAAAGCTCACCCATCTCTGCAGTAATTCATTCCTGGAACAGATGACTTCACCCAAGGCTTTTATTTTGAAGATCCAAGGCCTTGGTATCATCCCCCCTTCTTTCTCTGAATGATGTAGGTGGTGAGCAGTAAAGCAAAAGTTCACTTGACTATATGATGAATCACATGGCAGCTCCCCCCCCCTCCAAATGTTGTCGCTATTTCACTCCTCTATGGTGCAATTCATGTAGAGCAGAGTTCTATAAAGGTGTTCTGTGCCCTGTTTGGCTCCTTGGCCATCACATGAACAGATACTCCAATTTTTGAAGAATAATTGAGTCTCAAAAAGCACTGGATCTGTACTTTTATATACATGGTGTGGGGCCATAAGTGTAAAAGAAGTTTTTGTAAAGAAATTAATCTTGCAATTTCAGAGATACGGTCCCATCAATAAAGTATATCAAATCAATCAAACTGAACAATCATGTTTGGCTTCTTTCATCACGCTGTTACATTCAGTTTATGCTGGTTTTGCAGCTGCTAATCCCTTTTTAAAACATGATATTGTTTGAGACATACGGCTAGATTCTGTGTTCTCTAGTACCGAGTACCGAACGATACCTTGTCTCTGAAATATTAGTGGCTGTCATTGTATTGAAAAACATGGGCTGACTAGCTACAAAATTGCCATGCAGTGTGCAGGTGTGGGCGTCTTAATTTCATAAGATACACGCATGCAAAAATAAAAAAAGCCTGGACACATTTGGTAATTATTGTGTTAATAACAGAGTAATTGCGTGGTTGTTTCTTGCCTACAAATTACATGGTAGTCATCCTTGGAATTACCATTAAAATGAAAAATGTCTTCACTAGATGCCAATGAGCGATTAGCTTATAATTACAATATAATGGGCATGCTTATTGGTGTCTGGCAAGATAAAGCACTGCACAAAATGTGTATACTATGAGGTATTGTCGGAGCTGACAAAAGTCCAAGGATATTTGTCTCTTTGAACAATAGCTGTATAGATGCTAAAATCCATGAATTTGTTCTTGGCAGCAACTGGATATCTGATGGCACTTGGGAGATCAATGTGGTGCTCCTCATTAAACAAGCAGTTTACCTACTGACAGCTAGATGCTATTTTAGTAAAATTGAGCCCAGCTGCACAGGTAGGATGGTAGTTTTGAAATAGCCATCAGCCATGAGCATACTGGACAGCCTTGAGCAAGCTGCCGTCTCTTAGTCCCCCTTCACATTGCCATGCCTTATGTAGGTAGCCTAGAGTCCTAGCTGCATCGGGTTGTGATGAATTTTGGGAGGTCAGAGACAGATGTATTGCTTTGTATGAGAAGGGATAGGAAAATCTAGCTCCACTTATTTTTATACTTGGGGGAGAGCTTCCCATTTAGAGATCTCACCAGGCAAATAAATACATAACTCTACTCAGTTAATCATCAGGCCTTTACAACCCATGCTATGCAGAAACAGATAGCCTTTCGTCTCAATTTTTTAAGGACATGCTGTACTGTTCCTCAGTCTCCAAATAATAATAAGAATTGTGCCAGTGGAATCAGCACTGGTATGTGCTGGGTGCGGGGAGGGAGTGCCAGTACACATTGTTGAAGCCAAGCCACTGTTTTGACTTTCAAATGCAGCGGGGGTGGGGGGAATATTATGGGGGAAAACCTGTTCCTTGGATGGCATTTTCCCTAGCGGCTACCTTCACACATCACTTATGCACATACATTGGCATTTCAAATAACTCTCTGATAGGAAAATAATGGGAAAAACCCTCTCCCCTCTTTTTCATTTCAAATTTCAACTCAAATTAAATATTTAGTATAGAAATAGATGATGAAATGCAAGAGAAACACAGAGATTTCAGCTAATAAGGATGACTGACAAAAAATACTTTCCTATTAGCATTCCGCTGCTCTTTCCTGAACTCCTTTCTTTTGCATCTGCTTTATTTACAATCTTTTCTCTATGTGTATATTTTGTTTGGTGCACTAACTGTGGTTCTTTTGGAGTGAAAAGCTTGGATCCGTATAGGCAGGACAAGTGCTGTTTTTCTTTAAATACACAGATTTAAAGATCCAGATATCTCTGGGGCTTCTTTGCTTACATACAACTTACCTACAACCCCATAGGAACTTGAGTGCTCTTGTCCTATTTGGGGGCATCTCATAGGCATCCGGTTGGCCACTAGGGGAGCAGAATGCTGTACTAGATGAGTCAACCTTCCTCAACCTGTATCCTCCAGATGTTTTGAACCATAGCCACCCTCACCAGTGGCCATGCTTTCTGGGGCTGATGTGAGCTGTGGTGCACAACATGCAGAGAGCATCGGCTCAGGGAATTCTGAGATAGGCCTTTGGCCTAATCCAACAGGGCTTTTCTTCTGTTCTTGTGGCAGGAAATATTCCAGCCACTAACCATCACCCAACAATGGGGGGAAGTGGCTCCCTCAGAGCCCTACATTATAACACCTGCAGAATGGGTTGGGGGTGAAGGGTTAGGGTCAACACATGCAATGTTTTTGCAAAAAAAATCAAAAAATCTTTAGGAAATATTATATATTTTGTGGGTGGGGGGAAGAGGCAGGCTATTTGGCCTTCTTGGCTTTGACATGAATGATTCCCACAGCCTCTTGGTAGTAAAGAATGGTCATTGTACAACTGTGAATCTTTCTTTTCTTCTCATACACTCTTTTTAATTGCAGATGATTGGTACCAAATCCAGAGCACTGGCAAAGGTCACCACAGTCTACAGTAAGGCATTTCTTTGCACTTAGCTAATAATCCATCATGTCTGTGGCCAGCACTTTAAAAGGCTGTTTCTGAGCACAGAAGACAGAGAAGAGCTCTTCATTTCAAATCCTCCTTTCACAATATAAAATATAGCACCTTTTAAAAAAAAGTCACTTGCTACTGTGAAGAAAAGACTGCAGAACACTATTACCAATGATTTAAAGTGAAAGCCTCAGACTGAGTATCATTTACTAATATTTGCTAGCGGTCCGTGAAGGAGGCACAGCTGCTATTTCGTTCAAGCTGTGGAATGCATTCAATGAAAGAGCATAAAAGCATGTAAATATTTCTTTACCCAAATGTGTTAAATATTATAATACTTTACACTGTTGTTTGATTATCATATCAGCCACCTTTGCATCACAGTCATGCTACGATTGGTGCAGAAAGGCATCAGTTTGTGTTCATTGCACGCAGCCCTGTGCCCATTCCACCACACTCTGGCCTGCATCAAAAACTATGTCCTATGCCTGCTATGGCAGAATTTTACATAATTAAATAAATTATTATGTTATTCCACACCATTCATTTCAACGCAGATGAAATGCAATTCTAATGGCATGGGAAGTTCGTCATTTATATATTGTTTGTGGACTGAAAACGGCAGCAATGAATGCTGATCATATTTACTGGATTGATTTCTGTTCTGGATATTGGATAAATAAACCAACATTGGCAATTTATGCTCTCATTTCCATCAGAGTTCTCTGACATCCCTGCTCACTACTGTTCATTGTAAATGCCTTACATGATCACCACTGCTGGAATTGCATCTAGCTGTGTGGTTCATGTGTCCAGTGGAGATCCACTGAAGGATGAGACATCTAGAGGTTGCTGTGGTGATTTTGCATGGATTTTTGCTGATGAAGCCACTCAGAACTCATCTGACTTTTTTGCAATAGTTGTAAAAAAAGGGAGAGGTAACTGGTGCTAGAAGATTGCAATTTATTATTATTTGAAGATTGCCTGAGTCCATTTGTAAACAATCTTGTTCAGAAACACTACAAGAAAATAAATAACGAGTATAAAATAGATGTTAAAATGAATGTATCTAAGAAAATCAATCTATGTTTGTCTTAAGTGTAAAGATGGGTAAACTCTGTAAACTCTTGATAAGAACATCACGAAAATAATAATGGGAAAAACAGAAAACTGAACTTACCCTGGAAATTAATAAAATACAACAAAACAAAGTAACATCAATGATAATAAAAATAACATTTGCAAAAAACACCCACAATTAGAAGTTTAAGAAACACACAAATTATGCCTGTCAATTAACTTAAATAGACAAAGGACATTTGAATTGTATACCAATTAAAGAAACAGAACAGATGAAGCAAATTCCCCAATAATGAGGGGTGTGTGTGTGTGAGAGAGAGATATTTCTAAATTTCCTGAGGAGATTACAGAAGACTTTTAAAAACCCTATTCTAAATTATATAAATCAACCCACAAATAGAAAAAATAACAAAGCATTTATATGAAATGAAAATTCTGAAACTGAGGAAGGCAAGCAATTATTGGAAAAACTTGTTTCAGGCAATGAAATATTGGAAGCTATTTAGGCTTTAATGGAAAACTATGCACCAGGTCCTGATGGCTTAACATCAATGCACTATAAAAACTTCAAACTTTTTAGTAACTCCCTTCAATGAAAGTTAGTGAGATCCAGACTGAAAAATAGTTGCTGCAATCATGGCAGGAGGCAACAATAGTAGTGATCCTTAAAGGAGGTGAAGATTCGACATTAGCATCTTCTTATAGACCCATATCACTTTTAAATACTTGTTACAATATATTTACTAGTGTCATAACAAGGAAGTTAAAGAGTGTCTTGAATAAAGAGATATACCAAGATCAAACATGGGTTTATTATAAAGGAGAAAAAGAGATGATAGAAGAAAAGTGTTACATACCACAAATTAAAAATTCAGAATTTTAGAGGAGACCTTATTGATAGTTATAGATACAGAAAAGGCCTTTGATAATTTAGAAGGACCTTTTGTTTTGGAAACACTTACAACTTACTTTTGAAGTGGCTAATAGACAATGGATTCAGGCCATTTATTTATATTTGGAAGCAAGAATTCACACCAATTGGAATTTATCTAAAATGTTGATAACAAAAGGCATGTGACAGTGATGTATATTGTCAGCCAAATTGTTTGTCTTAGCATTAGATCCCCGAGCACTTAAAATAAGAAAGAAAGAAAAAATGAAAAAAGTATGTTGTTTTTCTCACTTAGAAGTTGTCTGGATTGCATTCTCAGCAAGAGATGCCACAAACCTAAATGAAGAGAAAAGCACATGAAAAGAACTTCTGTCCACATTAGATGCAATCTGAATCCCACTGGAATGATAAGAAAAATCCTATGTACTGGTCTTGAATTGATTACGTTATCCAAAAAATTAAGGAGTTCTAGATTCTGTGTTCCGTGCCTAATGTCAATTACCTGAATGAAAGCTACCTGCCTATTATTACTTCTTCTTCTTCATCATCTCCTGTGGTCATTTTAGGAATGGGCATATCAGTCTATTTCCAGTCTATATTAGTTTCACATATGTTCATTGCATTCTGTTTCTGAATTAACCTATTTTTTCAAAGACGAACTTAATGAAAACTGTATTTAACTATTCATTTAAACACATATTTTAAATATCTTTTCTCTCAAAATGCACTTTTCAAAATGTAATTTCGTTCACATACACATTTAAAAACAAAAATATGCTCTTTTTTAAAAGCCAAGAACTTCACTGGAACATTCAGAAGTGCAGAAGCCAGCGGACAACTGCTTTTCAAGCCACATATTAGTCCCAGGGCTGCAGATCAGTTCAATCCATTTTAGCATTCTCAAAAATTGCATCCCTCAAGCATCCCCAGGACTGCATACAGACATGGAGTTTCTTCTTTTAACTTTATTGTATACAATACTATCACTTTAGTGTCAATTTCTAACATTTGTTTTACACAGCAGAACCCTTTGCATTATGGAACTCTAGCCCTTTGATTTATACAGCAGCATGCGGCAGTAAAATTCATTCACACTAGTGGCTGTGGTGTGACACAATGTTTGTACATGTCACCACTCCCCCCACCCTTTCTGCACATGCATGCTTCTTCTGTTGATCACACAGTAACATGCCAAAATCCCACCCAAAACTATGTGAGTAGTGGAGGTGCAATCCATGACAACTTGAAAGAAAGGTGGGATATAAATACATCAAATAATTAAATAAGCTACAGGAAACTTACAACACACATCACCCACAATGTTCCAGGTTTCCAGGGTTGGAAAGGGATTATTTTCTGGAAATGGTTAACATGGAAATGAGTTATAAACTTCTAGTAGATACCGTGTAAAGGTGGTGTCTCCCCTTCGCATTAACACCCCGGCAGAGTCAGCTCTGTATTTACAGTCTTTATTACATATGTACAAGAAACAGGTACAGTTCAGGATTACGCGTCCAAACCTGTAGGGTCAGATTCGGGGAGTGGCTTCCTTCGATTCCCGTGCCAACAAAGTAGGCATGGGAATCGAGTGAGACGTCTTTGATCCTTATGTTTCATTTCCCTCCTTGTCTGTGCTGATTTGAAAGCCCCCTCTCTTCCAGAGTCTGAGCTCCCTTCCTGAGCCTCTGGGCAGTTGAAGGGCTCCACAGCATCCCCGAGTCCTGCTCCGCCTCTTCTATCACTTGCTCCTCCGAATTCTCCCTGACATACCGCTAGGTTTCCAGAAGTGGATTTTACATTGGAAAATATGGAAATTTATATGTCAGGAAGACAGGATAAAGTGCCATCTGAATGCAGCCTTGATCATTATATACCTATGTAACAGGACTGAGGCAGGCCAATCTTAGTTGCTGGCATCCGAGACAATGGTGTGTGCCTCTGGGGGTAGTCAAACTGCTGGAGAATTGCTCCCTCTCATGTAGTTTTTGCTGCATTAGCAACACTGAAGTGCCCTCCCTGGGGCATAAGCTTGGGCAGTGTGTATGGAGGTCCTGGGCTGCCCAGACGACAAGACCCCTATATCAGCCTCCCTGATGTGGTACAAAGGAAAGCAGAGCAATATGGTTGGCACCAGCATGGCTGCAGGAATTGCTGTAAAGAGGCATACAAGACACATGTTGTTGGGCTATTAACTCCCATTCTCCGTGGCCATTGACCATGTTGCCTGGGGCTGATGTGTGTTCGAATCCTACAACAAATGGAGAGCTACAAATTCTCAATTCCTGGCATAAAGTGGATGTGTGTGCTGGTTTGGATGGAGCTATTAATAAGCTGCTCTAATATTATTGTGGTTTGCCTATATGAAAAGAAAAAAATCTGTAGAAAGCTGAACAAAGTTGTCTCAAACTGCACCTGCTATGTTATATACAGTACGTTTTTTGTGGGGGGGTTTTTTGATGAAAAAATAATTCTACCCAGCTTTGTTATAATTTTTCCATGTGCAAAGATCAACCACTCACTGTATTGTAAGCTGAATGGCCTTTATTGCATATTCATTTAACAATAAACGAGCAAAGGTCTTCATAAAAGAGAATTATCTGTAAAATGTACCACAACATGTACTTCTCCAGCATCGAGGAGAATGACATTGTAAGGTTTGAAGTAAGGAGTAAAACAAACAATGACAAACCCGTGTGGTGCATACAATGACAATCAAGCTTTTGTTCACTTCAAGGGGGGGGGGGAGAGGCAAAGGCTTATTGTAAATTACAGTGTAAATGAATCTTATTTGCTTCACTGTTACTCATTTAGTAATGTACAAAATATTTCTCTCTGTGTGTGGCCCGATGTCAACAGAATGCATACCATTTTGAGCAGCAGGGAGCTAAGAGTACAGAAAAGAAGAAATAAACCTATGAAGTTGGGGAGAAATGCTTGTTTCAGGGTTGGCCTAACATGCATCAATACTTTTCCATCATGGGAAGCTTCCTTATATGAAGTTTGACCATTGGTCACGATGCTGTTCGCTGTGAAAACAGTCCATCTATCTCACCATGAGCTGCACTGAATGACAGTCACTTTCCAGGATTTTAGGCACCCTCTACCAGCCCTAGGATGCGAGTGACACTGTGGTCTAAACCACAGAGCCTAGGGCTTGCCGATCAGAAGGTTGGCGGTTCAAATCCTCATGATGGGGTGAGCTCCCATTGTTGGGTCCCTGCTCCTGCCCACCTAGCAGTTCGAAAGCACATCAAAGTGCAAGTAGATAAATAGGTACCGCTCAGGCGAGAAGGTAAATGGCGTTTCCATGCGCTGCTCTGGTTCGCCAGAAGTGGCTTAGTCATGTTGGCCACATGACCCGGAAGCTGTACGCCGGCTGTTATGTACTGAGTTGAATAGGATCCAAAATGCAGCAGTCTGATTGGTCCTAGAACAATGCAGCAGTATGATTGGTTGGCAGGAACCACCCAATCATGCTCCAGATAGAAGTGAATCCACAACCTGATTGGCTTACAGTAGAATTCCGGAATTAGCCAATCATGTGCAGCCCATTGTGTAAATAATGTATATAAAGCAGATACTTTGAGGGGACTTTCATTCATTCCTCCTCACCACTATGAGCTGAATAAAGAGCATGAAATCACTTTGCGACTCTGAGTATATTTCACCGGCTCTCTCAGCCAGTAAAGTGAGATGAGCGCCACAACCCCAGAGTTGTCCGTGATTGGACCTAACGGTCAGGTGTCCCTTTACCTTTACGAGCCCTACCCAGAGATGACAGGGATTGAATCTGGCACCTTCTGCCTGCCAGGGCCATGTGTCCATTTCCCACAACTTTCTTGTCTCACACAAATGGCCACAATCACTAGGATGTAAGGGCTACAACATCTAACACCCAACAGAAACATCTCCCTGAGTGTTAAGGCAGCTTCCCTAGATTAGGATTTAGGACCATCACCCTCTGAAGAGTCAGCCAGTTGCCCCACTCAAAAGCACATTGGTACCAAGTCCAACAGTTTTCTGCCTGGCAGCCTTCCTTGGTGCTTGAGTGCAGAAGGAGGAAAAAACAAAACCCTCTTGCTCTTAACTTGCTCTTCTACAGTCTCACCTTCCTGGGAGGTTGAGGCCTCCTTTGTGTAAGTAATACACCAAGTAGTCAAAAGAAAGAGAGAGATATACATGTTTTTGTTTCCAAGCGAGAAGTGGGCATAGCTGAAGCACTACATATACCATGTATACAAAGTCTTCATTAGAAGCAGCCATATCCATGGCTCCCCCTTTGGGAGAAATGATTTTCAAGAGCATTTCTGTGGCTTGAAAATGTAACAGGAAAAAACACCCTCCAGGTAAAGAGAAAGCAATTTTAATTTGATGGTTAGCACTGAAGAAGATGGGTAGGCAACACATGCTTGCATTTGATGTGACACTTGTATTGTTGGTTTTGATCAGCTTGGCCAGATTTAAAATAAAGCTGTGCTAACTGAATACCAAACTCTCTCTTTGTAACACAAATGCTAATTTGCAGCGTCCAACCCCTGTTTTTCCCTTGGTTATTTTATACACTGACAATTCCCTCTGTAGGTGGTTTTATAACATAGTGCTTTAAGGACACTCTGTTTAAAAAGATCTATTGCATTGAGGCTTTCTGCAATAAATACAGTGTTGCAAACCTCCCTTTGCACAGAAGCTGTGAATCATACACAAGGGAATGCCATGTCTGGTAGCATAATTTTGACTTTAACTTTAATTCACAGCTATAATGGGATAGAACATATATGAATAGTTAATATTTATTTTTCTGAATCGGTGGACTTAGGTGAGGCAGATGAAAAGAAAATCTTCACTCAGCTAACAAATCACTTTTACATTAGCAGAACCAAAATCTTCTCAGTGAATATATGTAAATCACTAACTTTCAGGCACCCAAGGGAATGTGCTTCATGCTATAACTTAAATACTAATGAAATCAACTGAAAATGATACTCATTAGTCAGCTGTGCCTTGATAGGGTTCCCTGTGGACTGATATAAATTCACCATTAGAAATGGATTCTCTCCTAGTCCACAGTGAGCATTTAATCCTTCTGCAAAGCAGATTCAAATTTAATGTGGAATGTGTGTTCTCTCTGTACTCCCACCCCCATTTCAGACTCTTTATGTTTCCATATTTGCAGTGCTTTGTTTCTAATCCTTTTAAAGCTGTCATGTTCCCTCCCTGCTGCCTCTCATTCTTTCAGTTGTCTGCACATATTTTGCTCATCCCTGTGTGACACAGAAATAAAAAATTAGCAAAAATAATTTGAAGGGCACCAAGTGGCATAGAGCTCAAACTAATGGCTTCCCTTTCAAGCCAAGTGCCCCCTCACCCTGTGTAAAGAGAATGGGCCAGGGTAAATTTCAAACATCCAGGGAATGGTTGTGCTTGCCAGGCCCTGAGCATAAAAGGGTTCTGGTATTCATGAACACCAGGAGGCTTTTCAGACATTGTTGGACTACAACTTCAATAATCCTTGAACATTAACTATGCTGGCTGGGACTGATGGGAGTTGCAGTTCAAAAACATCTGGAGAGCCAAAGGTTTCTCATCCCGGATGCAAAGCTCCTTTAACTAGGGCCAGGTGAAAAAGCAGATAGAGCACCTCTAATAGTTGATTAGTAGAAGACACTTCAGGTGTGGCTTGCATGACACTCCCAGGACACCTGGCCTGGAGGGGAGGGCAGGACCCAGACTGACTCCAGCTACGGTTGAAATATGGGTTGCCATATTTCAAAAAGTGAAAATCCGGACAGAAAAGCTGTTGAAAAATGAAATGTCCGGGAAATTCCGGATGTATGGTGGCTGAACAGACTCTTTGGCAGGAGCAGGTTGGTGGCTTCTGTTGCTATTATTATTGCTCTAATTGTTTAAAATGTTTTTTTTTAACTTTTTAACTTGTGCATTTTAAATTTGGCTTTTTTATTGTTTTATAAATTAAGGGATATATGATGTGCCTGGAAAGAGAGGAGCTGGGGAGAGCAGGGAAGTGGGACTACAATTGCAGTGATTCTGGGCAAGGCAAGGTATGCAGGATGGGCAGGCTGGGTAAGAGGAACATGGCACAGCCAGTTAGGAACTGCTCTGTGTGCCAGCCCCTCATTCAACCTGGGAATTGTGGTTTTCCAAGACCTGGATGTGTGAGCAGAGTAGGTCACCTATGTACTGGGTGCAGCATCAGGGCAGACTTGAAGTGCGGGTGGGGGGCAGCCGTGATGGGCACCACGCCCCTGCAGGTGGCGTGATCCGCCCCCAGGACACGTGCCAGCCCTGGCCCTGCCTGCTCTCTGCCCCCCGGTGCCAGAGCATGAAGCTCCACCACTGCTCCTAGGCTGCTTGTTCTGGGGAACTTCAACATGCCACTATAAACTCCAAACAATAATAGATCACCTATAAGACGTTTGTCTTTACAAAAAGTCTTTCTACAAAGTTTCTACAAAAAATGATGGCTTCTATTTTTTTTGGGGGGGGGTGTCTTTGTCAGATTCCAATTTGAACCAGCAATGAGCACTTCTTCTTACAAACAAGTTATATGATAGGTGCACCCATGTGTTGATTTGAGTGCATGATAGAAGCTTCTGTGAATGTCCTGCTCCTCCTCGTTTAGTGAAAGGCTTTGTGAAAGGGGTTCCATTTGAGAAAACTGTATACTTTTGTTGTACAAATATACAAATAACTTAAATGTACTTAAGAATATAAGAAGAGGCTGGTTCATCAGGCCGATAGCCCATTAAGTCTAGCATTCTTTTTTCACAGTGATCAACCAGATGCCTAGGGAAAGCCCGAAAGCAAGACCTGAGTGCAACAGTATTATAGTAAAAATTATTTACATTATGTTTATAAGCTGCTTTGTGAGAGCTTTGTCCTGGAAGGTGACATATTAATTTTTAAGCAAAGACAAAATATCTTCCCTTTACCATATTAAACCAAAGTACATTTTCACACAGCCCAAACAATCCAGTTTAGAGAAAGCAGGCTTTGAGAAAATATGCCATTTTCTTTCTTCTTCCAGAAATATATAGTGTTTGATGATGTAACCTTTCTGTGAAAATTTCACGAATTAATTTTGTGTGTCGGTGTGATGTTTCACTGTAGGATATCTGTTTTGGACATGGAGCTGTGAAAATTCTACCATGAGACAAATGAATGCATGCTAGGAATAAAACAAAGCAGAAAAAATAAAAATAAAAATAACCTTATTTATATGCAGGCAGTGGGACGAAGCCTTCAAGGCCACACTGAATATATTCTGACTATTTAGACTAACATGTATTGTATATTCTGCTGCCACAGACTAACTATTGTGGAGCAAAACAATGTGTTTTGGAAAATCCATTAATCAGGATTCCTGCCTCCTTAAGTCAAAACCAGTACTTCTGAGGATGATGATGACTGGTACAAATGGATTCAGTCTTCATTAGCCCATTCAACAATCTTACCCCATTCAGCTGTCCAAAAGTTACGTTGCAAAATGTTCACAATAAATCTCTACTTTTTATGTGGAAATAAGTGTTAGGACCAGTGAGTAATCAAAATAATTGTCTTCACTATATAATCCTAATGCCTAACCCTTCCACAACCATTTTTATTAGCTGGGATTCCACTGGCAACAAAATACATTGGGTGAAGAGGAGGGAGGAGACAACTTTCACTGATCACCCCTCCCTTCCTACAGAACCTTTTGCCTCCTGAAAATCTGATTTGGAGAACTAGGAGATTCTTTGGAACAGTAGAGAAAACTGTAGTGGGAGTGGGAATTGCCAAAAATTGCCCTGCTCATTCTGCCAATAGGGTCCTCAACTGGATCTTCAACCCATCAGTGAATGGAAGGAACCCTTCAGTTTACAACAGCCTAGTTAGAATCCATGCCATTATGATTCTTTGTCCAGGACATTGGCTGGAAGGAAACTCAGGGTTTCCTGATCTATACTCAGTGCATTACCCAGCAGTTCAGAGACTTTATCTTTCACTTAAGTGATTGCTAACTACAGAAAACCATCTATTTATTAAAACATCAATTCACCAATCTACTTAGATTCCATGCTCATTCTTCTCTTTTTCTTTTTCCAAGTTTCCATTCTCTTGCTCCATGTCAGAGAGGTTTTTTAAATATTTGGAAAGGCATCACTAAATCCCTGTGCTTAGATCAAGTAATCTTTAAATCTATTTAATTGTGTCTCTTTTTGTATTAGCTCTGCTTAAAAATTCAATTCAAGCATGCATGCCATCATTATGGCCTTTTCAGGGTGATAGAAGTGGCAGTAGTTATTTCCAACCTGTAATTAGGACATGCAGAAATCTTCACTAAAAACAGAATTTTAATACCTCTGACATCATCAGAAGAAAGATTTTGTCTTATCCTATTTGAGCCTCAAGCATGAGCTAGAATTTATTGTAAAAAACAACAACAGTGTAACAAAGACAGAATCATGTCAGCTAGCACCCAAATTCATTAGATCCAAATTTTCAGCCACTTCAATTAGTTCTTGAATGTTATAGAAGATCAGTAGACAAACCAGTACAATATATGCAAGATTTACTAAGCTACTCAGTTCTCTATTCATCTTCAATAAGCTTCAATAATTAGATTATCTCCATTTGTTTGTAACATTTTTAAAAATAGTCATGAAGAAAATCTTAATTTTGTTTTGAAACATGGAAATTCAGCACCTGACTGCTCTGTGTATTTATTTTACTTTGTAAGTATGGCAATAACATAGAGAAAAACCACATCCTCATGCTCATTTGCTGTTCACACTAGACCAGAGGGATGTCAAATACTATCAGGTATTAAATTAAGCAAGGACGTTTTCAGCAAAATTGATTTTTTGAGTCTTTGGAATCCTTGAAATCACTCAGAGTCCTTGTTGCTTGGCAGGTACCCCATTAATCTTTATAGGGTCCTATTGACATTGCTGGTTGCAACTTTCCTACTCTGCTTTCAGGGCAGATATGAATAGACCACAAAGGGGAAGAGGATTCAATTTTAATTCAGCAGAATCCACAGATAGCTCCTTAAAGTGAACAGAAAATGATATTGAAAGGATTTTTAAAGACAAGGTGTAAATCATAAAGAGGGCTACTTCCTGATAAAAGCCAGCACTAGAGACAGTTTTGTCACTGAATTAATTTTGCTTGCCAGTAAGAGCAGTTTGAAACGTAACAAAGATCTGTTTCAGAGCTAAATGAGAAGACTTCACTGAATTAGAAGACTTCACTGAATTACATTTGGGGGGGATTTGGAGTAGGGATTTTGATAGGATGGTGTTCTGTCTTCTCCCACTTTAGGGTATCAGGGGAGGCTAGATTTATATTGGGGCATTTACAGGTGGGGTGGAGGTTGCATTCTGAAGAGTAGAGTCATGGCAAGGCAAGTCCATTAGTCCAGTCATGTCCAGTAGATCAAGGCAGGGCAAAAAGCATTTTGTCAGCACCATGGAGAGCTCACAGCAAACAGTGTTTGTTAGGACTCATTCAGGGAAAGCTGGAGGGAGTCAGTAAGACCACATCCTCTGACCTGAATGATCTGGGAGTAGAACAGTGATGCCTCACCAGGTGAGCAGAGATTTGTGACTAGAGAACCAGGAAAGAAATCGTCAACTGTAGACCTCCACCTATAGGGAGACAAAGAGGAATCATAAGTATTACGTGTAAAAAAGGCATAAACTGGACAAAATATTCAGTGGAATATTTTGTCAGTGTTTGAAAAAGAAAAGGTTCTGAACTCCTTTGACTCTTTTGCCTGGTCCTCGGACCCTAGTTGGCACAAAAGAGTCCTTGAGAATGAGTATTTTTGCAGAGTATTGATGCGTTTATTCTTAAAAAGTCTTCTTATCTAACCAAAACCGACAACCAACTTTCTACCATCCAACCAACCCACACTCACACAATCAATGACCACTCTATATATACAGGCATATGCAGGTGAAAGGTTACATGAGTCGTGCAAGTGTTGCCAATTCATTGTAGGCCGCTGACTCAGTTCCTTTTGTATTAAAGAAACAGTGGCCAATTTTAGGCCATGACATATTTTCTTATCTGAGCTCATGGGGCTTAGAAATGAAGTCAGAGAAAGAAGCACACACAAACACACCCAACCCTATGGGATATTTAGAGAATATGAGTTAAATCTAACCCTACCTTTTACCATTTTCCTCCTCTATACCCCTTGCCAGCTGAGGACAATGCTTCCTGCCTATCATGAAGTGGCCTCTAATGCTTGCCTAAGACATGTGTTAGTCTTTAAGGTGCTATGAGACTCTTTGCTGGTTTTGGTGCAACAGACAAAGATAGCTACCCATCTGGAAGTTAACTATCTGTAGCATTTCACAGGCAAAAGCAGGCAGTAGGACTCTTTCCAACATACTGTCATTTCCTTCACGGATATATGCACATGAAAAATGTTTCATTCAAATTCCAGGTGGGCTTTGAAATACACACAGAGAAGAAGAAGAAGAAGAAGAAGAAGAAGAAGAAGAAGAAGGCAGCAGAAAGATGGGCTAAAAATACATTACATTATCAACATGATTAGGACTCATGTTATGAAAAAAAAGCAAACATGGGAAAGTGGTGATTGTCTTCAGCTACACAGCATGTGAGGGGGCAGGTGTTAAGCCTTCCCTCTTTAGCTGTGGTATTGGTGGGGGGAAATTGCCCATCCCCAAGTGTAAATTAGTATTCAGAAGAAAAGGTCTTATTGGTGCCAATTGCTCATCATGGCATTAAGAGGAATGTATAGCAAGGCTCCTTGTTTTCCCTGCAAATCCTATTTTGTCGTGTGCAGAAAGAGCTATGTGTGTGAAAACCATTTCATTGGTTTCAGCAGTATCTCTACTATAGTGAGAAGAAGTTGACAGGTAGTTAAATTATGTTGTTAGGAATTCCACAGATCTTTGAGCTTCCATCCCCACCCCACCCCCACCCTCTTTCCCCTAGTCCTTATACTAGTCAGCTAAAGAACATCTGACAGCTGCACAAAATGGTGCTGGCCACATTTTCTCATCCTGGTGCCAAATACTGACCCTGTTATGCACAATTAGCAGGGATGACAGAAAATCCAGACAGGCACATTCATGAGCACTGACATTTAGACTGAACTAAGATCATTTGGAGGCCAACCATGAGAGCACTTTCCCTGTTGCAAAACAATGAAATAAAACACAGCCCCCCTTTTTTTCTTGAATGAGGCATATACTTTTCATGTGAAATGCAAAAAAATTAAAGCCAGCCCCTCAGAGTAAAGAGGTGGGGAAGGGGGGGAAGAACGGTTTATTACCTCTTCATGTTAATTTATGATTGGAGCAGTGCCTCTCTCACTTTTTACTTGGATTTCAACCTTGTAAAAACTCTTGTGATTAAGCCACTGAATCACGTCTCCCAGTTTTTGACCCTGAAGGTTTGGGTAGGTTTGGTAACAAAGGCTACTTTCTTCCTTAAATAGAAGAGGTGGGGGTGGGGGGAGCCGTGAAGAGAAGGAAATCTCACACAACAAAAATAATGGAAAATCCACAAAAGAGCCCAAAATGAGAGCGGCATTTATAATGGAATAACTGCCAGAGAATGAATCAGAGACACCCTGCCTTCCAAATTAAATGCTGTTTGGAAATGTGCATACCTCTCACTTAGTCAGTGGGAGACATTAATAAAATAGAGGTTTAATTGGAATGTATTCGTTTACTCTTCTGTTTTGACCAAAAACTGAGCCAATAACATCGCTTTAGTTAATTGTGGAAGATAGTGTGATTTGTAACACCTCACAATAGGAAAAGCTTCTATTAAACATTGTAAATTGAAAATGTTCAGAGTTTTGAGAATGGGGGGGGGAGAACTCATCTTCGGTCTCAGCCAATTAGCATACGTTAGACTCTTTCAATTAGAGTGAGTCATGCACTTTATTTAGGTCGCCAGTGGGATCAAATGAAAGGAAAAATGGAGGCACTACAGTTTTCTAGGCTGGGATTTCAGGGACTGCACACTGAAGTCTGTGCCCATAAAGGGACATTGGGTTTGCATTTCTCAAACTTTTGATGCCACAGGGCAAACTGCTGTCAAAACTGAATAGACTACCAGAAGCTGTTTGTGATCTGGAAGTGAAAAAAAGTCAAGCATCACACTGGACAAGCATCCATCTGCTCTAGGCTGAACCTAAAATTTCCTGAATCCCAATGGAATATTGTGATAAGAAGGAATAAGTTGTAGGGCCACTATCAGCACCCAAAAACCTTTGGCAACTGTCTGAATCTTGGTATCTATGCCCTTGGGCAGAATCCACCTGTCGTTGGCCCCTCACGCTGGGTGGCTAGGTCTCAAAAGCAGCATCTCTCCACAGCATTATGCAGAATTTAAAATGGCCAATTCCTAATTATGTGCCACCAGTTAAGCTGCATCTGGGGTAGGACTGGGGAGACGAGGGCCACTTCAAACCTGAAGCCAGCCTCGGAAAATCCCCCACATGACTTGCCCTGTTTTCATATTTATATTTCTGGATGCCAGAAAGATAATGGATGCTTCAGGGGTAATCTGTCAGAGGCCACATGCTGGTTGTGGGTAAGGATGGACCCTGTAATGGGTAGGGCCAGGGCCAAAAGTGGGTTGGAAATCACCCCCTCTACCACCCGCTTTCCCCCTTTCCCTCCTCCTCACCACCCAGATGGAAACAGGCTGAGTCTGGAGGTTGACAACCCCAAGTGTAAATATTTGCTCAGTGTGCTAGTTTTCAAACAGTGACATGTCCATAAGCAAACATGTTTTGTAGCTTCTATATCAGACCCTCCAAGTGTCCCTACTTTCCAGGGACAGTCCTGGATTTACCAAAGTCATTCCAGTTTCTGATTCTTATCCCAGAATGTTCCGCTTTTCCTTAGGATGCCCCTATTTTCATCAGAGAAATGTTGGAGGGTATGGAGTTATCCAACCCCTGAGCCATCTGAAGGCAGCCCTGTATAGGGAAGGGTTTTTTTTAAAAAAAAGTTTAATATTTTATTATGTTTTTATATATGTTGGAAGCCGCCCAGAGTGGCTGAGGCAACACAGTCAGATGGGCAGAGTATAAATAGTAAAATTGTTATTATGGAATAAGAGGTCCCTATTTCGATTGGAGAAATGTTGGAAGGTATACTATATTACTGGGAATTAAAATGCTGCTATGACAGCAGGATAGAATACAATTAAAGCTATGGGCTGGTAGGGACTGCCAGTAGACCTGGTGTCCCTGGGTGTTTTGGATGCATCCCACAGGAGACTTGGTGAGAAGCATAATTGTGCTTGGAAAGAGTCAATATTTGGCATCTGCTCATATTGATTCAATTTCTCCACACTGCTGGGATTAGCCTCTGTCACTGTGAATCAGGGCCCAGCTGGATTAGCTACACCCAGTGGGCTAAACCTAGAAATCTATTTTATTTACAACTTAATTTAGATTATTTATTTATCTGTTTTGCTAATAATACCTTTCTCTTGGCCTGCAAAGACACACACATACAGCAAATGGTTGATTTCACGTCCAAGAAAGCTAAATCCCCTTTTTGTCCACAAAACATACACTGAACTGTAGAAATGCAAGTCAATGTTCCAACCCTGTGGGACTACCTCAAAGGGTAATGGGGAAGTTCAGTCTCTATGACTCATTTAAGCCACTTCCTTTCAGCTCAGAAAATCAAAAGCGATGCTAATTGGTGCCAGAGGGAATGGAGCTGTGTGTGTGTCTGCTTCTGCCTATGCCTCTAAACAGGACACCTCCCTACGAGAGATTTTATATGTGTAGTATTTTCTCAGAATCCTCTCCATCTCTGCCATTCAAATGTGCGTGTGTGAGAGAGATAGGCTATTGAGCACATGACTAATTAATTAAAAAGTAGTAAAATAAATAATATGAAAGCCACCTGTCAATTAAAAAAAGACAGGTGCTGGTGAACTAGTGAAGTACAGTGGTACCTCAGCTTAAGCACTTAATTCGTTCTGGAGATCCGTTCTTAACATGAAACTGTTCTTAACCTGAAGCACCACTTTAGCTAATGGGGCCTCCTGCTGCTGCTGCGCCGCCGGAGCACGATTTCTGTTCTCATCCTGAAGCAAAGTTCTTAACCCGAGGTACTATTTCTGTGTTAGCGGAGTCTGTAACCTGGAGCGTATGTAACCTGAAGCGTATGTAACCTGAGGTACCACTGTACCTATAGCGAGAAAGGCATTCTACAAAAGAAAGTCTGGATCATTTCATACCCACCCACCCCTGGGTATCTAGAATTCTCTCTTTGAAATAATATTGCCCAGGAAAGCAAATGACATTATTCAAAAAACAAATTACGACCAAGTCTTTAAAGGGTAGTGTTATTTCATCCATGCATCGCATCCCATTATTTCACCTGTGCATCGGAGAGTAGTGTTATTGTATTGTCTGTGTAACATTGCTATATTATTGGGCATTATAACTCTAGGAGGATGACTTTGTGTGCCAAGTTAAAACAGTGATGGCAGGTTTGGGATCGTTCATAAAATATGTCATACATCAATATTTAATTTTTAATTCAGCTTTTTTCATTTGTGTATGTGTTTTCTTTCATTCTTCTAAAGCATAATGCAGATCTCATATTTTCCAGGCTTCAGTCAAACTTTACATTCCCATGGTGCCTGTGCAGGTCACAATCATACAAACATTAGACCTCCAGTTCCTAGTTGATGGGATAACAAATGCCACATTATGCTGAAAGCAAATGTTAGCCAAAACATTTTTTAAAAATATTGGAAACTGGGTGTGATACATAGTATAACTACTTAGGAATTAAGAATGTGCAAACTGAAGACTTGCAAGGAGGTTTTATTTTGTTAGATAACAGCCCCCACTGTGGCTTGTACACTTCCTTACATGGGATGTTGTCCAGAATTTCATTGAAGATGGCTAGAATAATAAGAGCCAAGTGCATCTCACTCTCAGCCCTTTTGTTTTCAAATCAATGCAATACTTTCCCCTGTTCATTTCATTAGTTTTCTAAGAGGATCCCCAAGAGGAATATCTAATCCCTTAACCCTGTCAAGGCGGGGGGGGGGGATTCTTTTATAAGTGTGTTTGTTGCTCTGTTTACCAGAAGCACATAATTATCTGATTCATTGAACAAAGTGATGAACTGAATCCTGGGATAAATCCTAGCCATCAAGCTTGACATTATTAGAGAAAAGCAAATTGAGTCGAGTTTAGACTAGAGGAATTTGAGAGCTACTGTGCTTTTGAAGGACCAATAGGAACAAGAGTGTGAAGGAATGTACGGAGTTTGATCCTTAACAGCAAATCATTGGCCTGGAAGAAATGTGCTCCTAGGAAGAAACATACATTAAGAACACAATCTTGAAAGGAACTGTGAGGAACCCAATCAGAAATGCAAGTTACCTGTGTCCTTCAGATGTAATATCTGCCTACTCTGGCTTCACTTTAGAGAATATCTCATATTTGATATAAATATTATATGTTACTTTCTTCTACAAATGCAATTTCAGCTTAGTTGCCCTTGTGCCATGGACAAGCATTAGGGTTAGGGTTAAGACACAAGAGTGCAGACTTCCAAGACAGTATTAATTATGTAGATAATGTACATGTTCTCTGGGTTGTCCATAGTTTCTGGTATCAATAATGCAGTATTACCAGATCATAAAGGTCAACTGTATGTAAAAGTCACATGTTGGTGGTGGCAACATAACCCTGAATCAAACTCACAGATTGGGACTCTATATTGGTTTGGGATATTGGTGTGATACCCAGACATGTTTCTCATGGTACAACATGGTCACCTCCATAATGTATGGTGGTAGCTTTATAACATACCTTATCAGATTAGTTAATCACACATATACCTTTGCCATTGTTTTAAGACTTTATTTTTTTAAATTATATTTTATTTGATTTATCTTTATAAGCCATCTAGCAAACTATGTTATTGGGTAACCAATGTAAAATGATGATGATGATGATGCAACTCAAAAGTTTGATTTTTTGGTGGGGTTCACAATCTAAAGGACTGTGGGAAATCAGGATTTGTAGGGAAAGCATATTTGAGAATCAGAAAATATAAGTATTCAGGTGCATTGCAGCTACATATTGGAAGTCAAACTGCAGGTTTCAAAGGATAAGAGAGGTGTTTTTTTAGATCAGTGAGAGGGAAAAAAACCCTTCTGAACAATGAATGTCACTTGTAGAAGATCACACACTGAAGTGAAAAAGATGGCAATAGGATCTGTAGGATTCAAACTTTATCCCTCAAGCTAAGAACCTGAGACCCACAAATGTAAGCCAAAGTATTAAAACTGCTTAAATTCATGAAAATCAAGGTTAACCTGATCTTAGTGTAGGCTGAAGTGCCCATCTTGAATGGCAACTATGCTTCCTCTAGGCATTTATCCATCTCTAGCCTCTTCCTGCAGCCATGAAAGCACAAATCTCCTCTAAAATGTTGCTGGGTTTGTGCATTGCCCATAGGCCTCTAAAGTAGATGCTCTAGGCTAGGGCAGACCACTTTTCCCAAGTGACATTGTCTTCTAGAAGTCTAGAACTAGAAAGTCTGCATGTAGTGTTCATGTCTGACACATCTTGAAGCCACTTTAGCCCAGTCTCCAAGGATGGAGGGCAACTAAGTGCAGGGGGCAGTATGATGGCTGTGAGAAAAAGGAAGGGAACAGTTGGATTGGCAGTGGTTGGAAACAACAGACTGGCAATTTTGCTGATGAAAAAGCTGTGGATGGTACCAGAGTCTGGCTCACCCTAGTTAGATGATTTGAAAATATTACACACACAGCTATTTAACTATTTCAGGAGATGCACACGTGAACATTAATAGACCACTTCAGGTGTTAGGCATAGGTAAGATCAGAGCATGAGCTAGGCTTCACTGAATAGTCCCACCTGCCACAAAGCATATATCAACTTGTCTCATTCTCTGGAGTTTGTGCATACAGCACAAATGTGTGCAGGGATGGGATTTCACATGTACAGACAAATACACAACGTCTTGCTCTCTACAGAAATTCATGCTTTATATGCAGATGCTATGCGGAAGGACTGGTGTCTGTGTGGCCCTGGGGCTGAGGCTAATTGGTGTGGCCTAGCTCAAATGTTGGCTTTTCCCATGAGCATAAGGCCTGAGCAGGGCTTATGTTGTGAAGGCAATGTATACCTCAACAACCAATCCTTTGTTGCTGGACCCCCACATAGTTGAGCATTTCTTGTGACTGTGAGCGGAATCTGGTATAATTTGATTGTATGAGTTACACAGGCATCTACTGGATATTGTCCATGACATGCCGCACTTTCCCTGCCATAAGGAACTGTCTACCTTCCATTACACAGAAATAATGGTTCACTCTACTGGTGCTGAACTGATGTTGACACAAATATATTTCTTAACGAAAAACATGTTATTTATTTTTCTCTATACATTTTTGAACATTGCATGTCAAATTCTGGTTTGTTTTTTTTAAAAAGGATTTACCCATTATTAGCCTATATATGAAGCCACTAGATATGAAGTGTTATTGAGCTGCCTTCGTTCCACATGCACACTTCTCTGTTTTAGCAAATTTAACACCTCTTTCCAAGGACTGTTAATGATGATGAAGACTCATATAAGATCGCCAGAAGGGCTAAGGACAGATCTTTAGACTGAGAATTATTATTTTTAATCCTCCTTACAAGGGTGAAGAAAGTGAAATTCTCACTTACTGCTGTAATATTTTTTTTTTTAAGACTCCGAGTTTACTGTATATTTTTAAAGCCCTATTTAAAGTAAAGGTTGTCCATGCAGAAAAGAAAGAAATAATCATAACTCAAAATCTTGGCTATATGTTTCCTTTGTAAGCACTTTTATACCCTGCAGGTTGGATAAACAAAATTGAAACTTCAGTTTTTAGTGATTTCAAATCTTGATCCCACTAAAGTAGAAATTGAACCCTGGGGCATAAGAAATACATATACAATGTTTCTATATGAGGTTTCATGTCACCACAAAGGCATTTCACTGTCTCACAAGAATGGCTATCCTGCTTGCATTAGCCCCATACTCTGAAGGAACAAAATCTCCTTAATTTTCCCTACGCTGAAATACAAATCCATTTGTTGCCAAACGTTTAGCTTGTCATTCCAACAAATTGGTTCTCTGTAGCTTGGATTACACTGAGTTAATAACGTAGCTGCACTTTTCAGGTTTTATTTAATCCTTCCCTCACAATAAAATGTGTTTGGTTTATAATACGAGGGGGAAATACTTAAGTGATACAAAATGTTTGTCTCGATACCTTCAGATGCTTAAAGTTTTTGTTTTGTATACCAAAATAACACTTACCTTCATGAAAATGCTACAGATGATCTGGAGATTTAATTTTCTTTTTGAGCACTTGAACACAAAATGCTTGAAATGTATTTGATTGTGACTATGAGAATGGTTGTCTAGCTGATATAACTGTTTCATGGGAAGTTCTCTTTATATTCATATTTCTGCAAATCTTCACTTTTTTGTTATACATAAGTTATTCTTTAAATAGCAATACAATAGCAAACCCTAATATATGTGTCCAAAAAGTGGTAAGGACCTAACAGAAGCAGAAGACATCAAGAAGAGGTGGCAAGAATACACAGAGGAATTATACCAGAAAGATATGGATGGCTCGTACACCGCAGGTAGTGTGGTTGCTGACCTTGAGCCAGACATCCTGGAGAGTGAACTCAAATGGGCCTTAGAAAGCACTGCTAATAACAAGGCCAGTGGAAGTGATGATATTCCAGCTGAACTATTTAAAATTTTAAAAGATGATGCTGTTAAGGTGCTACACTCAATATGGCAGCAAGTTTGGAAAACTCAGCAGTGGCCAGAAGATTGGAGAAGATCAGTCTACATCCCAATCCCAAAGAAGGGCAGTGCCAAAGAATGTTCCAACTACTGCACAGTTGCATGCTAGCAAGGTTATGCTTAAAATTCTACAGGGCAGGCTTAAGCAGTATGTGGACCTAGAAGTCCCAGAGGTGAAAGCTGGATTTCGAAGGGGCAGAGGAACCAGAGACCAAATTGCAAACATGCGCTGGATTATGGAGAAAGCTAGAGAGTTCCAGAAAAACATCTACTTCTGCTTCATTGACTATGCAAAAGCCTTTGACTGTGTCAACCACAACAAACTATGGCAAGTTCTTAAAGAAATGGGAGTGCCTGATCACCTCATCTGTCTCCTGAGAAATCTCTATGTGGGACAAGAAGCTACAGTTAGAACTGGATATGGAACAACTGATTGGTTCAAAATTGGGAAAGGAGTATGACAAGGTTGTATATTGTCTCCCTGCTTATTTAACTTATATGTAGAATTCATCATGCAAAATGCTGGGCTGGATGAATCCCTAGCCGGAATTAAGATTGCCGGAAGAAATATCAACAACCTCAGATATGCAGATGACACAACCTTGATGGCAGAAAGTGAGGAGGAATTAAAGAACCTTTTAATGAGGGTGAAAGAGGAGAGTGCAAAATATGGTCTGAAGCTCAATATCAAAAAAACTAAGATCATGGCCACTGGGCCCATCACCTCCTGGCAAATGGAAGGGGAAGAAATGGAGGCAGTGAGAGATTTTACTTTCTTGGGCTCCATGATCACTGCAAATGGTGACAGCAGTCACAAAATTAAAAGACGCCTGCTTCTTGGGAGAAAAGCAATGACAAACCTAGACAGCATCTTAAAAAGCAGAGACATCACCTTACCAACAAAGGTCCGTATAGTTAAAGCTATGGTTTTCCCAGTAGTGATGTATGGAAGTGAGAGCTGGACCATGAGGAAGGCTGATCGCTGAAGAATTGATGCTTTTGAATTATGGTGCTGGAGGAGACTCTTGAGAATCCCATGGACTGCAAGAAGATCAAACGTATCCATTCTTAAGGAAATCAGCCCTGAGTGCTCACTGGAAGGACAGATCCTGAACCTGAAGCTCCAATACTTTGGCCACCTCATGAGAAGAGAAGACTCCCTGGAAAAGACCCTGATGTTGGAAAGATTGAGGGCACAAGGAGAAGGGAACAACAGAGGACGAGATAGTTGGACAGTGTTCTCGAAGCTATCAGCATGAGTTTGACCAAACTGCGGAAGGCAGTGGAAGACAGGAGTGCCTGGCGTGCTCTGGTCCATGGGGTCACGAAGAGTCAGACACGACTAAAAGACTAAACAACAACTATATATGTGTCCATTGAATTCAAGCTACACCTTGAGCAGCAGTGCTTAGAAGTTAATGGGTCTTGTGCAACAATTTCTCTTCAGATTACTGTTTAGATCCCAACATACAAAATACAAGTGTAGCCTGTCAAATTTATTGATTGACTGGGTTATATTCTGCCTTTCGCCATAAAATGCTCACAGGGCAAGTCATGTAAAGTTACCACAAACATATTACATAAAAGTAATCTTACACATTCAGATACTGTTCCACAGGGTTCCACAGTTCAGGTGTTGCCACTGAGAAGTCCCTATTCCAAGTTCCAATCACTCAGTCTTTACAAGGCAAAGGCCTTGAAAGTTGGTTGCTTTTACTTTTCAAATTAACGGAAGTATTGCTCTGGAAAGTGTTGTGGCAACACTTCTGCAAATGTTAAAGGGATAGTTGGTGAATTGTATTCAGATGCTCCCTCTACTTGAGGATGAATGTTGTCTGAGAAGGCTGTCTAAGAAGCAGATACAGTGGTACCTTAGTTTACGAACTTAATCCGTTTCTAAAGTCCGTTCTTAAACCAAAGCGTTCTTAAACCAAGGCATGCTTTCCCAAAGCAGCGGGGGACTCAGTTTACAAATGGAACACACTCAACAGGAAGCAGAACATGTTCTGCTTCCAAAGTAAAGTTCACAAACGTTTGCAGCGTTCATAATCCAAATTGTTCATAAACTAAGCTGTTCTTAAACCAAGGTAGCACTGTACTTGAGTTTGGAGCATTTGTTGCAGTTTCCCAGTATGGTTATAGCAAGGCTGTCTGCTGGATTCAAAAGAATCTCTCACATTCTTCACACACAATGATTGACATACATAGAATGTACATAGCTGGTGTTCTTTTTCAGCAAGTTTTGAAGCTGCTAAGAAGTTGTATTAAAAAAAGACCTAAGGCAGGCTGCTGAGGACAACTTCAAGTTCAATATCTAAGGCTGAAAACTATGGCTTATTTTTAATGTGAGACATTTTGTCTCACTTTCACAATATCTAAGGCTGAAACCTATGGCTTATTTTTAAAGTGAGGCATTTTGTGAAGCCAGACTAAGCATCGTGTGAAAATGGCACTGCTTATTCATTTGTTCTGCACTCTGTCCCCTCCACCAATATTTTTCAGAAGGAAACTCTCCCAGGGTTCCATCTTATTCCTAGAGTATAAATGGGTTAATTCCCAACAAAGGATGCTAGAACTGTTGCTTGACATGGGCTGATGGGCTGCCATATATCTGGATTTTCCTGGACATTTAACCGAATTTCGTCCACACACTGCTGCCGACTGCAGTATTCCGGATATGTCCAGGAAAATCTGGACTTATGACAACCCTACAAATAATTTCCACTTTCAATAATACATTGAGGTCTTATTTAGGCAGCATGTTTTGCAAATATAGATGTCATTCAGTGGGTAAACGTAATTGTATTTATCCATTCGTTCCAGGGTGTATATAGTGGAGAGTGATCAGGCATGCATTCAGGGACCCAGTGCATGGATTATTTTTCTTTTGGATCATGACCAACATCTGATCTTGTATTTCCACTTCTTGTAAGGATCCAGCATATGGGCCACAGATTTGCTCCTGTTGCAAGATGATCAGTTAAAAAAATGATTTTAAAATATTGATATCTGTCAGGGAACTGCCATCAGTGCCGGAGGGAGAGAGCAAAATCCAGAGGGATTCCAGAGAGCGTCCCGGGATTGGGAGAGGCAGCCCATCTTCTGGGGAAGAGAATCAGCGTAGCACCAGTGGAGAAGGGGGGCAGATGGGGGAAGCGGCGAGGCGGTCCCATGACTCCTTGCCGGGAACCAGCAGGGAGAGTAGGGGTCCACCGCTGCCTATGCCCTCCTTGCGCAGAAGGCTTTCGCGCAGAGAGAGTAGGAGGAGACTAGGCGTCAAAGAGCTTCTTTGCTGGAAGAAGTTTAAGAAATGCCCACTGACGGATTCTGCCAGCGATTGAGACAGCCACGGGTGAGTGGCTGTCCGGAGAGAAAAGGTTCACTCAGGCAACCCAGCCAGGTGTTTGCACCGGCTTACGCACGAGCAACCCCTAGAACCACTACAATATCATATTGGCAAAAGAATCTTCAATTGCTGAAGATGAGAAAGATAGTTTATTTTCTTTACCTGGAAGGGAATGTAAGTTCCTTTCCCCCAAAGGTTGCATCTCTGACAGTCTTGCTGTATTGGCCTCTATTGATGCAAGCATCCACATAATAAATAATACGTCGAACTGTAAAGATATCCAGATATATTGACTTTAGTGGCAAACCATTAATTCTCTAAGTTTGTTTTACCCTTGTGTATGAGCCTTAGAATTGCTCTTGCATTTTCAAAACATACAATGACTGAATCTAGCTTGATTCTCAATATATGGGGCCAAATCTAAGGGCATTTTCTCAAGTTATACTATGTGAATACGTTGCAGATGTCTTGTGCCTGTCTAGCACTTCTAAATGCTGTTAAAGCCTGACAGAAAGAAGAACGGAGCTATTTTTAACTTGAATGTACTTTTGAGTCATTGTAGTTTTCTCATTCGATTTACAGATGTGGGAAATGCAAAAACCAACTGGTGAAAATAGCCGAAGGTATTCTGTTTCATTGGCTTTTCCTTTATTGTACTAGAGAAAAGGAAGTCAATCAAGCAACTTGCTCCCTCCAAATTGGGGCTCTGATGGAAGCTATTTTGGCAATTTGCCCACCTCCATTGCCACATCAGCGTAGCATAAAACAGAGCAGATTGCAGGAACATTCATCTTTAATGTGGAGGTGCTACCTGTGGAGACTACAGGGGCCAGCATGTGGTGCTCTTTCTTTATCCGTGCGCCAGATCAGCCTAAAGGTGGCTGACATGCTGGGAGAAGCAGCTGTCCAGCGGTGATTAGTGGATGCAAAGCACAATAGCACCATTTTGAGATGCAGGCAGTCAACGTGGAGCACTGTAGGAGATGTAACATCCTAACAGTTTGTTGAAACAAGTTCAGAGGAGAATCTTCTTTGCACAGATTTGGTTAATGCATGTCTCCACACCTAATGGCCAGGTGCGTTTGGGCAAGAGGTCAACAAATAGTTTAGTAGATAGATCAGGGGTGGGAAACATCAGGGTGTAGGCCTCCAAATGTTCTTAGACTTTTAGCTTTTATCAACCCCAGCCAACATGACCAATAGTCAAGGATGGAAACAGCTGTAGTCCAGTGTCCTCTCCCTCACATAGATAATGTGATTATTCTCTCTCTCTCTCTCTCTCTCTCTCTCTCTCTGTGTGTGTGTGTGTGTGTGAATAAAAACAAAGAGAGAGATCCTGAAGTAGCAAATGATTGTCTACCTTTACTGTATTGTTCCTATGGGAGTGAAGTATCTGACAGGGACTTGCATGATGGCTCCAAATGTTCTGCTGGTCATAGACTGTTTGCCATCCAAATTCTGTAAGGAAAGAGAAAGCTATCAGTTTGGCTGGGGTTAAAAACTCACGCAGAACTACTGAAACTGTGGAGACATCCTGGGATACAGGAAAGCTGAGAGATAAGGAGCTAAGAAATAGATACAAAGTAGGCAGCTGACTAAGAAAGTGTAGCCTCACCAGAGTTCATTTTCTGAAGTCTTGGATTGCTTTCCCAGTTGAATATAATGGAAAATCAACGACCAATAACTTTTCATTTTTTTCAGAATTGAAATAATTGTGCAGGCATAGAAGCCGCTTCTTTGTGAAAGATGCAGGAAAAATTCAGGCACTTGACTCTGTCAAGAGCAAAGACTTTCCACTGAGAATGGAAAGCTTTAATGAGAATGGTAGGAGGGGTTCAGCATAGTACTAACATGTCCTTTGCACTGCAAGCAAGTGGGGTAGTGGACCTGCTGAACTATGAACTAACCATGGTGATGGATTGGATGAGGGTCAATAAACAAAAGGTAAACCCAGACTGGATGGAGAAACTGTTGATGAATGTTTCCTCTGCTTGGATATGTCAGAGGTGAGGAACCTATACCACATAAGCCTGCCAGGTTGTTTGGATTCAACTATGCTTATGTTTCCCGTGCCTGGTGTCATATAAAGGCAGGTGTGGGAAAATTCAAGCTTAAGCTGCAATGGAAGAATTTGGAGTGCAGACACAGCTTGATTTTTTTTTGAAAGGTGATGCTCAGTCAATTCCAGTTAGGATCACACTCCTCATGAAGGAGCAGGTTCATAGCTTGCGGGTGCTCCTGGATCCATTAGTGTCACTGGAGACATAAGTGACCTTTTTGGTACAGAGTGTCGTCTGCCAATTTCAGCTGGTGGGACAGCTACTTTCTATCCGAATGTGGATGTTGTCTATGCTCTGATGACTTCGAGGTTAGATTACTGCAGTGCACTAAGCATTGGGTTTCTTTTAGATGTGGTCTTGAAACTGCAGCTGGTATAAGAGTTAGCAGCCATACTCTTGAGTGGCATCAGCCATGCTGAACATATCATGCTCATTCTGACTCAGCTGTACTGGGTTGATTATGTTTACAGTAAAAATAATTTGGAGATTGGGACCCCAAAACCTCATGGGATGCCTGCCTGAAGACCCTTCATCAAATTCCCCCTTCTAGCAGAAGTGTAGAGGGTGACTACAAGAGAGAGAGACTTTTCAGTAGCCCCCTGAATGCTCTTCTGAAGGAGATCTCTCTTGCACTGAGATGCTTTGTACTTTCATTGTTAATTTTTCTGGGGGTATCTGCTGGCTGTATGCTTTAAGATGATCCTGTGATGCTATGGGGTTGGTGAGGTTTTAGAACTTTTTTTATTTTAAAAAAGATATAATTAGTTTTGCTTGTTTGTTTTAATATTAATGGAATATTTTGTACCTGTTTGATATTTTTGCTGTGAGTTGCTATCTGGCCATTAAGGTGATGAATACACAATAACAATAATAATAGCAGCAGCAGCAACATATAATATAGAGATTTGTGGTTAATTCATATATACACTTCATCCTTTGATGGCTGATGTCCCAAGATTTCAATCCACAGCTAGTGTTGAATGTCTTTGAAATGGAGAAACTTCATGAAATGAAAGACTAAAAGGGGCTTATCTGAAATTTCCATCCCCATTCTAATAGTATAATTGCTTTGTTTTCATACTTTTGAGAGCTCAGGCACATGGGAGCCTCAAAGTGGGCTTTCCAAAATGCAGCTTTGAGCGCACTGAATTAGAAAACAGGATGAAGCACACTGGTGCAACGAGCAGATTCTAATGGCTCTACTTTGACAGCCTGCCCTTGTTCTACAAATGGGTATTCGGTGCATTAAAAAGGTCATCCTCTTCCTGATCCCTTCAGCATTGTTGGCAATGCAATTATTTCTGCAGCACTAGAATGATGTGCCATAAACAGGAGGGTTATGACTTCCCTCAGCAGAAAGCAAGTGCAGGTTTTCAAAGAAAAAGCTCTTCAAAAACTAGCATCTTTAATAACATCTGCTGAAATAAAGCACACTTCTAGCTAAGTGAATTGCTTTTAAATAAATGGGTTCCAGGGTGCTGTTTTCTTTCCTTTCAAAACCTGCTAGGTATGTGTGTGAAAGCCTGTCCTTAAGAAAATGCAAACAAAATTCTTCAAGCTATTGGATTCTCTGTGTACAGAATGCCTACTGTTCATGAGGAATTTTTCTACAAATGGAAAGAAAAAATGTCAGAGAAGCGATGGAAGAACTGTTCTTCCCAAGCTTTGCTAACATAGGAATGTTTGTTTATTTCTGCTTTTTGATAAACTGTGGCATTTTGATCAGAGTGAAAAGTATGCAGGCACAATTTTGGTCCATGGGTGGAATGTTTCTGGGTGCAGAAAGGACTGCCCAAATTGGAGAGGTAGCTTTTGAGGGGGAAAGGAGGGTGCATGAATGTAACAAACCATTTTGGTGCTACTTTTCCATTTTGGTTATTTTTTACACTTTGCCACCTTTAGCGGTAGTGGCAAGAGAACCCCTTCTGATTATCCTCCCCTGGAATGTCACTATGTCTTTACATAGTAATGCTCTAAGGAAGGGTTGGGGAACCAATCCCTCCCACTCATTATGTTGATGTACTCCAACTCCCATCATCCCTGACCATTGGCCATGTTGTCTGGGGACAGAAGAAGCTGGAGTCCAACAACATATGCAGAGCCACAGGTTGCCCAGCCCTGTTCTAGTGGGAGAATAACAGCAGTAACTGATGCAGCAAAGAGCTTTCTCTTCACTTTAACCTGCAGTGGAGGCAGAAATGAAAGAGTCTCCTACAGCATCATGGACACAGAGAAAAATAAAAGCAGTAGTTCACTACAATTATCTCTCTTTTCTTCCCTGGCCGCTGCTGAAGCTGGCAGCAAGAAGTTCATTATATTTGTGTCCCCCCCCCCAAAAAAAACCCCTCAAAGAAAAGTGTCTCCCCATTTTGCCACCCTTGAATGGGGCACACAAAAAAGATACAAGAGAGCTTTCTCCCAAGCAGAAATGGATGTGAATAGCACCATTTCATTCCCCAGGGGATTCTGGGGACAGGGCCCTACTCATCTCCTTGTTGAGAACATGTGCTTTGCTGGGGAGGAGGAACATCCATATCAGCCCCATTGCCTTTCCTTCCTTCTCCCAGTAAGTTGCTGGGCCCTCAGAGGGAAGGGAAAGTGGGTAGGTGAGGCAGCAGAAGTGGACTCTGTGAATGACCTTGCACATTTTGTTGGTGCTTAAACTGTGCACTGAGTTTCTCAGGCAAATGAAAAAGCACAACCCATTTGAGGTGGATGCTTTGGGCAGCCTTCCTTGGAAGTAGGTTCCATGTTTCTTACAGGAACGGTGCCATCTATTCAATTGCACAATTATCTCTTTTGGGTAATTGTGCAATAAAGCAGGAAACCTTGTACAGTGGTACCTTGGTTCTCAAATTTAATCCATTCCAGAAGTCCATTCCAAAACCAAAGTGTTCCAAAACCAAGACGCGCTTTCCCGTAGAAAGTAATGCAAAAGGGATTAATCCATTCCAGACTTTTAAAAACAAACCCAAAAACAGCAATTTAACATGAATTATACTATCTAACGAGACCATTGATCTATAAAATGAAAGCAATAATCAATGTACCATATTATAAAATAAACAAGACATTATTGTAGATGATAAAAATAAAAATTATTTTTTTTCCTTACCTGCACTGATGATAGTCATTGTTTGGATGGGGGGCTTTTATCCATTTCCACAGTCACACAATCAGTCAATCAGTAGCTGAACTGGGTTCCACACAGTCACAAAAACAAATTAACCGAAAAAGCCACAAAAACAAAAATGCAAAATGAATAGCAAAAACAAAAGCACCAAATTTAATCCATTCTGGAAGTCCATTTGACTTCTGAAATGTTCGAAAACCAAGGTGTAGCTTCTGATTGGTACAGGCGCCCCAGAAACAATTGCTGACAACCGCATCAGACGTTCAGCTTCCAGAAAACATTTGAAAACAAGAACACTTACTTCCGGGTTTTTGGCATTTGGGAACCAAGGCATTTGAGTACCAAGGTACCACTGTATAAGATAATTAGCCAGCTGCCAATATCTGTCATGTTTAAGATTTTATATACAACTAAGCGTTCCCACCCCTGCTTGCTCCACTCACCAACCCCACTCAGTCACACACCCCTGGGCATCCCTCCCTTTACACCTGACCAAACCTGCACTCCTTACTACCTTGTCCCCCACAGCTCACCCCACCTCATTTAGCTTGCCTTCTACCCCTCCCCTGTGAAGCTCACCCCAAATATGGCACCCCATCCCTCACAGCATGTTAATATTTCAATGGAGGGGTGAGCACAAACTGCTCCAGCAATTTTTAATGTGAGGGATGCTTCAGAGAGTGCCAAACCTACCTCTGAAGTGCCTCCCACCCTCCTTAAAATATGCTCCAGCAACATTTAATTGTTTCTCAGAGAGTGGTTTGCCAATCCGCTGTCTGAAACACTCTCTACTCTCCTTTGAGCATCACTCCTTCCTCATCAGCTCACCTGCACTGCCTGCCACCTATGGCACTTGCTTGCTCACCTGCTTGTTGTTCTGTCGTTATACTGCAGTTGGAGTGGCCACCTACTGGCAGCTATGCAAACTACAGCATGATGACAATTTTTCTTGCAAAAATATAGTATAGAGAGATATGTCGCCTACAACTGAAGAGTCTGCCTTTGTTTCCTCCGCACATTTTCCCTGACTCATCATTTGATTCAAAGAGTTTTATTGCAGTTTCCTTTTAGGGCTCTGATGAAAAGAGTTGACCAAGCTAATCTGGATCTCATTTGAGAATGGTTTGGTAATGCCTTCCCCATTGAACCTGATCCATCTCACTCACTATCCTATTGCATTAGCGGTTGGGGAAATGGTGTGTTTGAGCACATTTCTACCTCACTTTTACAGTGCAGGTTTGAAACCTGTTCCTGTAATAGAGTCCTATAAAAGCTTCCTCCATGCTCTGTGCTCATGGCTCTTTTCCACAGCATTAAGAGAATACTGCTTGTGTGTCATTTCTAAACACTGGAACCACTAAGGAGCATTAAAAAAAGAAAACAGTCTAAGAAATAGATCTTTCCCAGAACACCTTTGAAAATCACTGAAGCATACCTGCATGCCTTCAAAGTGGAGGAAATTGCCGCCACAAACAGCCTACACCCATTTTCTACTACCACAGCTGCAGACCAGTGAGGATGAGAATAAATAACTCTGTTTTTATCCATGAACATAAATAACTAAAATATAATTGCTATGCCCTCACCCCTAAACTCATAAAATGCTAAGAAGAGACTGCAGAAGTTTGGATAAAGTAATTTCTGTGGACAGTTAAGCACTGCAGTCGCTGCATGACTAACTTTTAACTATGTATCTGTGTAGACTGGGGAAAGGGAGACAGCCTGTCACAAGAATTGCAAGAGGGACTCACATTTGGACAGAGATAGAAATGGTCCACCTCTTTAATAACTGTGGGAAGGACTGCTTGACAGCCCTGTATTGCATTTGACACTTGAGAATAAGGCAAAAAAGGTCAGATCAGAATCACTCTACGTAATGCACAGCTCCCTAGAATGCTGCCTCCCACAACCAACTCATCTTTCTCCCAAAGCCCACATTCTGTCATCTCACATTGATTTCAGAGGGGTGTGTGTGTGTGTGTGTGTGTGTGTGTGTGTGTGTGTTGGGGGTGATGGTATAACCAAAGCTATGAATCAATGCAAACCTGGGTTGTATCGAATCCTGTAAACTGATGTAACAAGGAGGAGATAAGCATACATTTAATTACGAAAGTAGTTATTTGCATAAACCAAAGTAAATCGGAGAAGCTGACATACCTATATGTAGTTTCGAAAAGAGAAGTGGGGGAACTCCAGACATTCACCTAACGAAAGGAAAATGTTTGGGCAGAGCTTTTCTGGGTTGAATACTCCCCAACTCCTGTTCTTAAATGCCACAATCATGAGTTTTATCCATGTTATTTAAATTTGCCATGTACAGTGGTACCTCGGGTTAAGAACTTAATTCGTTCTGGAGGTCTGTTCTTAACCTGAAACTGTTCTTAACCTGAGGTACCACTTTAGCTAATGGGGCCTCCCACTGCCACAACACTGCCGCCACGTGATTTCAGTTCTCATCCTGAAGCAAAGTTCTTAACTCAAGGTACTATTTCTGAGTTAGCAGAGTCTGTAACCTGAAGCGTCTGAAACCTGAGGTACCACTGTATTAGGGTTGCCATACGTCTGGAATTTCCCGGACATAGCTGGCAATTGACCTTCGGAAGCAGTGTCTGGGCAGAAATCACTGAAATGTCCGGGGAAATCCAGATGTACGGCAACGGCCGTTGGCAGTGTCATATTTGGCAATTTCCCTTAAAAATCTCTTCACTTTTTTTTTAAAAAAAAACCTCAACAACTTTGGCCAAAAAGTTTCACTTTTTGAAATATGGCAACCCTACCATAGATGGCTTCTGGGACAAAGTTTTTGAATAACTTAAGCCTTCTTAAAAGAGGTGCCAGCTAAAACTATGATTTCACCTCTCCTAGTTAATGGATTGGATGGAAGTTTATTTATTTATTTGCACAAAAAACAACAACACTGTATTGCCAACATTAAAAAAAATCATAGCAATGAAGACTATAAAAGTCAACAATACAATTATATTGATAAAACTGAACAAATACAGAATACTAAATCTATAGATCAGATTAGTACACCAACATAGCTAGATTACTCACCATAGAAAGCCTGGCTTCCTGGTTTATATGGGAATTAGCATATTGTGGAGTAATCTGAACTCACAGTTTGGATGTAAAAGAAATCTATTTAAAGGAAGATACTTATTCTGCTTTTAAAGTTTAGGAAAAATGCCCATGATGGTTAATGTGAAAATTACACATAGTAAAAAAAAATGTTAAAAACAGTGCAAAAACAACAAATGGGGCAGAAGAAAAAATTACAACCATCCACAAAGGATTGTCAGGAGTGATCAACTAGGATAAATGCCTGCTGGAATAAAATGTCTTCAAGGAATGAGGGAATGACAGACCAATCTCCCAGGGCAGGCGGTTATATAACATAGGTTCTGCAATGGAAAATGCCCTTTCATGTTCCCCTGCTAACTACACATGGCAAGTGGGTGAAGGATTCCCAGGACTCTGAGTTGGGCAATCTGACTATAGTGAAAGGAGCAAGCATGCAATTTGGGGGTGCTTCTCAATCTCTCATTGTCACTGGAAGCCTAAGTGCTTAGGGGTGACTTTTACCCATTTGGACGTGTATGCTAGCTGCATCTGCCTGTGGACAAGGGATAGCCTTGCCATTGTGAGTTATGCACGTGTAAACTCAAGACTGGACTATTGTAATACACTCTGCATAAGATTACTGATCTCAGACAAACCCACCACAGTAAAGGTACGTCCTAGTTGCTAAGAAAAAGAGAAGAGAAACTATGGTGATTTCAAGGACAAGAAAATGAGACCGAAGTAGGAAAAAAAGAGCAGTAAAGAAGGGAAAGAAGTAGTTCTTTGGGATCCTAGAGTTTGCCTAGTGTCCAAATAATTCATTCGTCAATCAAAACTCTGACTGCTCTCACTGGCTAAAAACCCTAAAAGGAGGGAGCAACCAATGTGGATCATTCCATGTAAATCACACATTTTGTTTCATAACTTTCTTTCTAGGAGTGACAGAGGTATATCTTATTTGAAAATGAAAGCTCAGAATCTGGGCACTTTCTTGGCTCTGAGTCCAGTACAGTGGTACCTCGTATTACAGATGCTTCAGGTTACAGACACTTCAGGTTACAGACTCTGCTAACCCAGAAATAGTACCTCGGGTTAAGAACTTTGCTTCAGGATGAGAACAGAAATCGCGCAGCGGTTTCAGCGGGAGGCCCCATTAGCTAAAGTGGTACCTCTGGTTAAGAACAGTTTCAGGTTCAGAATGGACCTCCAGAATGAATTAAGTTCTTAACCTGAGGTACCACTGTACATCAGTGCCCTCTGATTCCACTTCTCAGCAGTTTCAGATCTGTAGCCTACTGCCACAATATCATTACTTTTTCTTGTCTCCTATCCTCACCTAGGTGCTTCCAATAGAACTTCTATTTTCTGATCCTGTGCAGGTATGTACACATTCTTTACATGTAATACTTGTTGAATGGTTTCTTTAAATGTAAAGGTTCATCATTGTTCCACCCGATGTGTATGTCTTTAAGGGGCCAGAGCAAAATAACGAGACCCAGCTTTACAGCTGTGAAACATAGCAGGTGCTGCTGAGTTGTATTGATTAAGCTGTGTCAGCAATTGGGTAGAGTATATAAGGAGCAGCACCTAGCTCTCCCATTACCCTGGGGGGATGGGTTGGTGGTTGGGTCTGGTTTGGTTGTTGATGTATTTAGTGTAAATGGAGTTTTTGTTTTTGTAATTAAAACCTTGTTTAAGTTATTTTTGAGTCCCTTTTTAATGCATGGTCTCCCCAGCAAGCTCTCTGCAGTGCTACCACACTGCAAATAGCCAACAATACTACCCCTCTCTTTCTGCTGTGTTTATCCTTTATCAAACAGCCAAATCTCACGGCAACTAATATGACCGGATCTGCCCTCTGGAAAATGGGTGTGCTTGGCTAGGGAAGGGAGCACCTGGTTACAGTCCTGTCTGAGAATCCAGGAGCAAAGCCAGGTCCAGGGGCTCCCCCAAACTGCAAGCCTGGTTAGGAGAACAATGCAGATCCAAAAGTCAAAGCCCTTTGCAGAGGAACTGAGAGTGCATCCACATAAACTTTTGCTCTAGGCAACAGGCTGGATTTATAGTGAAACAACATATTTCTCAGGTATTATAGGCACTTTGGGAGTGCTTTGTTTATATAGTAGCATTTCATTGTGCAGCCATCTAGGAAAGGTCCCATTATTTGCTATGGTGATATATTGCAATAAAAGTGTTTGGATTTAACCTTGATTTCTGGGTGGGTCTGCAGAACACTGATCACCTAACCTTGTTTCCCGGAGAGCCAATGTGGCGCAGTAGATTAAATGTGGAGCAGCTTCGTCACGCTGGCCACGTGACCCGGAAGTGTCTGCGGACAGCGTTGGCTCCCGGCCTCTTAAGTGAGATGAGTGCACAACCCTAGAGTCGGACACGACTGGCCTGTACGGGCAGGGGTACCTTTACCTTTACCTATGGGTACAAATTCTCACTCAGCTGCAGATGACCACTTTTTAGGAGGATAATGAGTGCTTCTAGGTGAAGGCATATTGTAAATTTGTTGTTGAGATGTAACAAATGTGTTACTGGCAACTTGTTTTTTGAACTTATCAAATTAAACAACTCATTTATGCAGGGGGAAAAGCAGGTGCATGTATATACACACACATGCATGGACACAAATGAGATTTTAAAGCATTCTGCTGTGACATGGAATTAGGGTGTCTGCTGTGCACAAGCTCTTGGACAGCTGTTCTCAACCTGCTTCCCTCCAGCTGTTTTGATGAGAGGCCGTCACAGTGGCAGGGCAACTGCATTAGATACAGGTCCCAGGTTTAATCCCTGACACTTCCAGGTAAGGCTAGGATGAGGCCCTAGTGGTCAGTTTACTAGGGGTCAGCAATTTTTTCCAACAGGGGGCCAGTCCACTGTTCCTCAGACCTTGTGGGGGGCTGGACTGTATTTTGAAAAAAAATATGAATGAATTCCTGTGCCTCACAAATAACCCAGAGATACATTTTAAATAAAAGGACACATTCTACTCATGTAAAAACACGCTGATTCCTGGACCATCCATGGGCCGGATTTAGAAGGCGATTTGGCTGGATCCGGCCCCTGGGCCTTAGTTTGCCTACCCATGGTTTAGACAACACTGAGCTGGGCAGACCCAGGGTCTAAATCAGTATAAGGCAACTTCCTATGTTCTGATGACTACAACTCCAATCAGCCCCAGCCAGCTGTTGGGAGTTGCAGTTCAAAAGAATCTGGAGGGCACCTGGATGGGGAAGGTTGATGTTGCTGATGCCAGTCTTTTAAAAGATACACTCTGGTCACAAATGCTTTCATAAGCATCTGTCAAATGTCCATTCAAAAGCTGCAATCGCCTGAATCAAGATGTTCTGTATTGTAGCCTGGCAGAGCAAGTAGTTCACAGGGGAACTATTAGGAATGAATAGAGTGACACACTGTATTAATGGACTCTTGCTATCAAATTGAAACTGGGATAGTCTTGCTCTGAGCTACTGTGATTTTTGATGGGGATGACATATCTAAATATATGCTCCAAGAACCGACTGCTGCATTTTATTTAAGAATGATCTATATTGGGGATACAACCAAGGAGGCCTTGCTTCATCATGTCACTAGAACGATGTTTGTAAACCAGGCTACTCTAGCACATTTATTTATTAGACCACCTTTATTTCCTTGGTTGCTAATATCAAGTCAATTTGTATTACTCAGAGCCATTTTAACACTAGTGACCTTTACCATAGAACATTGCTTATTGTAGACTTCTCTTCCCTTTTCCTCCCAAGTCCCTATGCTAATTTCTGGGCACTGGAAAGCTAGAGTGGTGTCAATTATGGAGAGAACATGTAAGACATTGATTCATACGCTGTGAGTCAGGGGAACATGTTTATATTCATTTTCTTTGTGAGAAAGAGCAAAAATCAAGAGGAATCTGACATTTCACTTTTTTTGTCAGAGACAAAAGCATACTCACTACAGTATCCACCTTTCATGTGAATCACAAAAACCATGTTCTCACCCACAGAGTTTTGCCCACTGTGACAGGAGCAGAGCTATTTAGCAAAGCTGCAGGAAAAGTTCATTACCAAAAACCCAGAGCACAATTCATGACAGTTCAGCCTCTTCTTGGCAAACCTTAACAAAGTCAGAAATTCCCATTTTAAAGCCAAACACAGTTATGGGGATCGAAAAAATGAATCTTTCCTATTCAGCATAGGGGAACATGGGATTTCTGGACAGCTCAGGCCCTATGATTTTCTTCACAACAATAGAGGTGCCACAAGAACAAAGGGCAACACCAAGCTTTCAGGCACGTTGCAGTGCAAGATAACGAATATGTGAATCTAAAATATTAGTTCAGTAATTCAGATAGGACCTCACAATCTGGACTTGCTAGCTGTACAGTAGAACTTCATGAAGTTAGGGCCATATCACATCTTATAATGAAAGATGACTCCCTGTTTCCACAGCCAACCTATCACACACATTTTCTGTAAAGATTAAACAGCAAACACATACTTGATAAGGCACTGCGGCTGAGAGTTGTGTCTACACATCATTTCCTGGTGAGATTGTCACTTAAGTTCACATGTCCTGGTGAAATGAACCCAAAGACCTAGGTTGGCTACCAGCTAAAAGCAAGTGAAATTTTAATGTACACACTCATTCTCAAAAACTAGTTTATAGATACCAAGGAATTGCATGTGCATGGAGAATGGAGTGTCTCCTAAAAACAGTCATTTGTCAATGCTTGGAGAAAAAATTCTGAATGTTCCAAAATAAACAAATGTGTGTATAATCTAAAACAGACAGCAGGATAATGCATTTCATTTGTTCTGCAAGACAACAAAGAATTGCGGCTATAATTTCTGCATCACAGACAGTTTCTTATGTACACTTGCTGGCCCATTCTTTCTGATCCTGCAAAAAGTTCAACTATTTTAAGAATTCAGTGTATGGACCTTCAAGCAACACTTATCATGTAACCAAGTATATTATTTTCTGTTGGTAATTTGAAAGAATTGTTTTGGCTTCATTATGGAGATATAAATCATTTGGCTGAACTCGTTACATGCTTTCATCTGAGAACTTGAAAAATAACATGTTGTTTACAAGCAAAGCTATCCCTTTCTACCTTTATTGTACATAAGAAGAGCCTGTAGGTAGCTGAACCATGAAAAGTCATCTCAAAACCTCATTTCTCAACCAAAGAGCAAGTCCACAAATTTCCTAAGGCCTAATTTATGAAACTAAAGTGCATTTAACTATTCTGGTGGTCAATCAGACTGATGTACTAAGAATGTTGCTTGAGTGGATCACTTTCTTTGGAATAGTTGACACCCATCTCCCTTGCAGTTCAACCCACAGTTGTCCAATCACTGCCAAGCTTTCAAAAACAGATGAAGTCTTGCCATGTTGCTAAAACAATGGTTCAAGACACCTACAAGCATGCCAAATGCCCCAAGTCAGTTCACAAATGTAATGGCTGTTTGGTCATGGTAATTTGCTCAAACTTTATAAAGGTTAGTCAATTCTAGAGCATTTATGAGGATTGTGAAGAGAATATTAAGACCCTATTTAAATACTAAATCCTATTTTCTAAAAATGTTATTAAGACTTAATATTAAGCTCAATAATAATAATAATAATAATAATAATAAGGCATGAATTAACTCTGGTTTTACAACCAATTACTTCTTGTTTAGATTTAAAGCTCATGCTGTCTCTGCTCTTCAGGGTGAATATTTTCTTATCTAATTGATCCATATCACCACCAAATGAAGTATGCCACTATTAGTTTGATATTATAGATGGGAGGGTGAGAGACAGAGACCTGCCACAGAGGTCACTCAATGAGCCCATGAGCATGATGAAATCTGAATCCAAGAAGAGATAGTGATGGCAACCAACTTGGCTTTAAAAAATAACACTGGTCAACAACAAATTTGTTGTCTGCATTTTTTCAGCTGATTTAGGACGAATCTGATGCGCTGAATCCAAAAATCACATTGGTTTTGCTCAATCAGGTCAAGTTTTTGAGCTATGGCCACATGTCTTTTTTACGTTTTTGTTCACATGTACGCTTGTGTGGAGCATTTTAGAAGAGGTTGGTGGGGGTAAAATGCCATGTCGAATAATTGTTTTTATTGGAAATGATTATTTTAATGACAAGAAGTATTCAGGTCCGATAGTTCTGGGTGATTATGTCAAAAAGGGATCAGTTTGAAGTCATAAAACCTCCGTTTTTTCTTGGAAGAGAAGGACTTGGTGTACTGTGCAGATATTGCGCAGCTTCTGCTCAAGCTTGGAGTGCCACAGTACGAACCCAAAGATTGGAGACTGTTCATTGACAGCAGCAAGCGATCACTGAAATGTGTTCTGCTACACAACGGAAACCAGTTTGCCTCTATACCCCTGGCTCACTCGAGTACACTGAAAGAGAACTATGAAGCGGTGAAGTATGTGCTGGAAAAAATTGGTTATGATCAGCATAAGTGGTTTATTTGTGTTGACCTGAAGATGGTGAACTTTTTGTTAGGACAACAGTCTGGCTTCACCAAGTACCCATGTTTTCTGTGCATGTGGGATAGTAGGGACCGTGCTCAGCATTACACGAAGAAGGACTGGCCTGTGCGGGAGGAATTGGTGCCTTGCAAAAAAAGGAACATCATCAACGACCCTCTGGTGGACAGAGACAGAATACTCTTCCCACCGCTGCACATCAGGCTCAGCTTAATCAAGCAGTTCACCAAGGCTCTGGACAAGGATGGTGATTGCTTCACTTACTTGTGCCAGGCTTTTCCAGGATTGACCATGGAGAAGTTGAAAGCTGGCATCTTTGACGGTCCTCAGATCCGTCAGCTCATCAGAGATCCAGAGTTCGGAAACTCAATGAACGAAGTGGAACTGGAAGCGTGGAAGGCATTTGTTCTGGTAGTGAAGAACTTTCTTGGCAACAATAAGGCCAGAAACTATGCAGAACTTGTCAACAACATGCTGACTGCTTTCAGAAACCTGGGCTGCAACATAAGCGTCAAGATGCACTACCTATTTTCACATATGGACCGGTTTCCTGAGAACCTGGGTTCAATGAGTGACGAGCAGGGGGAGAGATTCCATCAGGACATGAAAGAGATGGAGACCAGGTATAAGGGTCGCTGGGACGCAGTCATGATGGCTGACTACTGTTGGACTCTGAAGAGACACCTCCATGCCGCTGAGCGTTCCAGGAGTTCCAAGAAATGGAAGTTCAAGCCCTGAAGTTTGAAAAATGGTGAAGCAACATGCAATTTACGTGTACTTACTTTTATCAATGCCCACCATTCAGTTTACAGTAAACCTGACCTGATGGAGAGAAACGGATGTCATTTCCTGATTCAGCAGTGCAAAAATACCCTAAATCAGTTGTAGAAATCTAGACAACAGTCAAAAAGTAAAAAAAAATTGCCCAGTGTAATCAGACAAATTGATGGAGACTAAAGTTATGCTCTACCTCCACTGTTGGAATTGCTGGGAACTGAAAGTAGGGAGAGTACTATTGCATCCAGCTTCTGCTTCTGGGCTTCCCATAGTTATCTGCTTAGCCAATGTGAGAGCATTGGACTATCAAATGCAAGTCAACCACAGTGATCCATGTTTGAGGCCACAATGCTTTCCTTTCTTGAAAAGGTTTGGTAAAGGACCCCTGACAGTTAAGTCCAGTCGTGAACAACTCTGGGGTTGAGGTGCTCATCTCGCTTTACTGGCTGAAGGAGCCAATGTTTGACCGCAGACAGTTTTTCCAGGTCATGTGGTCAGCATGACTAAGCTGCTTCTGGTGAAACCAGAGCAGCGCACGTAAATGCCATTTATCTTCCCGCCGGAGTGGTACCTATTTATCTACCTGCATTTTGACATGCTTTTGAACTGCTATGTTGGCAGGAGCAGGGACCGAGCAACAGGAGCTCACCCCGTCGCGGGGATTCGAACTGCCGACCTCCTGATCGGCAAGCCCTGGGCTCAGTGGTTTAGACCACAGCGTCACCCGCAACCCACAATGCTTTCCTTTCTTAGGAACACTTTACTGGTTAACGGTGAAATCCTGTGCATGCTTACTCAGAAAGAATTCCCATAGTATTCAGAGGGTCTTATTCGCTAGTGAGCACATGCAGGCTTGCAGCCTGATTTTCTTCCTAAAGTGTATGTGGTGGGAAATCTATTCTTTTGATTACATTTCAGCTGTTTGGACCTTATGCAAAAAAAGGTTAGTTACAATGTGTCACAGGGTAACGAATCTAAATTTAGTGGTTTTGTGAATGTTCCTTTCAAGGCTCCAAGGAGCATTCTACTCTGCATCAGAGAAAACCTTCCCTGGTGATTCAGCTCAGCTATAACCTTTACTAGTGCCAAAGGTTAATGTCCATAATTAGCAACCTTCTTTCCAGTTAGTGTTTGCTGCCACAGCAGCACACATTGATTATTGCTGCATATTTATGCATCTTAGTAAGGAATCAGTTGACATTGATGCTAGCACTGACAGATTCATTTTTCAAAGTCCTGAGTGGTTGATAGAAATAATGTCTGGCTGAAACAATAGCATTGAAAATGATATGTATCACAAATAAAAATATCAATTTGTGAAAACCATTTATCTAACATGAAACATTTCTATTCAGCAGCCAAATACCTACCACTCAGTCCAAATGGAAAGGGATACATTTGGCAATGCATATTATACAGATAAATCCATAATGAAAGTGGTGGGGTGGGGGGAAGCTTATGCAATGGATACGATCAGCAGCAGCAACAACAACATTGGGAAATGTTGGTTACCACAAAGAAAAGAGCAGTCAACATTACCAGACTGAGATTTGCTTCTAACATCGCCAAGACCTGCCTGCTTTGTGAACCACAAGACTATCAAGTACATAGAATCATGGAATCATAGAATCGTAAGTTGGAAGGGATCCCAAGGGTCATCTAGTCCAAACTCCTGCAATGCAGGAATCTCAGCTAAAGCATCCATGGCAGACGGCCACCCAACTCCTGCTTAAAAACCTCCCTGTCAAACAACTCTTACTGTCAGAATGTTTCTGCTGATGGAAAGAGAACGAATGGGAGAAAACCTCTCCTTTTCTCTCACACACATCCACTGCTGCTACTGAATTTTTCAAGGAAGAAACCTGAATTGTTTCTTGGCCTTCCCTCAGGGTGGTCAAGGAGGTTTGTTGAGATGTAAGGGGAAGGGGGTTTGTGAGCCGTAATGTGTGTGGAAGTGTGTGTAGCTTTGGATGAAGTGAAGGGGTAGAGTGGTTTTGGCAAGAAGCAAAGGGAGAGGGTGTCTTTTCAGCAGTAGGTGGGGGTGGTAAGCAAGCGAGCCTGAGTGGTAAGTATGTATACTTTGAGTTAATAGCTTAATTGACACTTTTGTACACCTCCTTGGAATCCTCTGATGAAGGGCAGCTGAGAAATCTTTTAAATAAATAAATAAATAAATAAATAAATAAATAAATAAATATTTATTAGACACCAGTCACATGGAAGATGGGATTCAAGGGCTGGAAAATAGAGCAACATTTGTTTCAAAAATAAATAAATTCAAAGCCAGCTACTGTTGAGGAAATGGCACAGTGCTAGCAACTCAAAACCTACCACTGTTGAATTTCAGGTTGTAATTCAAAATAGGATGGCTCATTCCAGATCCTTGCAACACTTAACGGTCTCTAAATTCAAAATCCCAGGACTTCCCCACTGCTCCTGCAGATATCATATTAACAGAATCCTGCTGCAAGTTGCATCTCATTTACAGGCCATAACAAGCCCTGTCATAGCAGGAAAATCTGCAGCACAGCAGGGCAAAGGAAGTCATCACATAAAAACCAGCTGTTCCCTTGCAGGTTTAAACTTGGGAAGCACCATCTTTGCAAATATATTTTCCCAACCACCCTAGATGCCTAATGAGTATAATCAGATCTGGCAAATGGCGCTCACCATCTCTCAAGGCAACATTTTACTGAGAGATAGAAACTTTTCAGACATTTTGAATACTGTAGTTCATGGAAATATGATTGTAACCTCCCCCCCCCAAAAAAATTAGCCATTTGATTGCATAAGTAAATCCCCTGGCCACTGGCAGTCTTGGGAATGAATATCTTTACATAGTAGGAGTGAATTTAATGCAGTGGAAGGAATTGTGACTCTCCTCCCAAAAGCCTTCTTACTCACAAAAACAAAAGCATTGTGCTATGGAAAGAGAGTGAGAATGCTGGATCTAAGATAGGTGTTTCAGGTCCAGTAAATATGTCAATATGGTCCTAGTGGTAGTTAAAATGCACATTTATTTAATGAAGAAACATTGTCTGGCCAGGCCAATAAATTTATGCTGATGTTAGTTAGGTAACATAATGATTTAGCATTTTATAAACACCTCAATCAATAGATGTAGAGGACTTGGTTAATATCCATAGGCTGTTATTGAAAAGGTCTATAAGATACATAGCAGACTGCATTAGCAACTCATACCGACATCCCATCATATATTTATAGAGGTGGATGATGTAAAACCCAGTTTCATTTTAAAATGAATATTAATTGCTACTATCTCATTAATTTCCACAGGGGTAGTCATGCTAGTCTCCTGCAGCGAAAGCAACAGTCTTATGACATCTTAAAGGCGGACAAATTTATTAAGTCTTTGCAAAATGTGGTCTACTTCATCAGATACATTACACCAAGAGGTTCCATTCTATCACTTGTGGACTGAATTAGCACATTGGATTTTTATCACGCTATATGTGTTGCTTGAGCTCTGAATTATTGGTCATTGTTAAACACATTTTTATCTCTGCCTGTGCTTTTCTGCATTTCATTTACTTCTGTTTCGCTGTTTACAATCCCCCCCTTCCCAATTGCTGCTGTCCCTCTGGGGGGCGGGCTGAGTTTGCCACACACACACCTCCTTGAGAAGCCTTGAGTCGTTTCTCCTGAGCAGAGGGTTCATTTCAGAGCCCCTCTCCTTAAAGTTTAGTATACTCACAGTTCCTGTTTTTATGGTGTTTGTATACATAAATGTGCAGTGCATTCCTTCACTTTCAGAGGGAAGCACCACTGATTTCCACGGGGGTGATTCCTCAGTAACTGGGTATAGGATTACAGTCAGAGGCACAGCAATTATATTGCCCAAAATAGAAGACCATAATGACCAGTGACTAGTAAAATGTGAATTCAAGACTCCACCATCTCTTAAGAGAAATTAGCTATCAATTTTCAAGAGAAGCAATACTAGGGGGGAAAGTGCAAAATGGTGTGGACATATGTGGGGGATGGGGGGGGATCTGTCAGGAAGAAGAATAATCCAATTGCACATGATGGTTAATAAAGGACCAGCAACTGCACATAATGGATAGTAAAGGACCAGCAAATTGCTTCATTACTGAAACTACTATTTGAAGTGAGCCACCACCTCAAGTTGATGGGCTACTGGGAACCAAGCTGCTCTGTGGAAAAGGTGAAATCAAATAGCTCCACATAATAGAACAAAACAGGAACCTGTGGGACAAGACTGGGAGGTAGAAAACAGCTGGCCCAGCCAAGAAGCTAGAGGGTCAGTGGTAGAAGGCAGGTGAAACTGTGCCAGAATTAATTGGGGTGCTAAGGGGTTGAAGCAACTTTGGTATTTGTACAAGTTCCATTAATTTCAAGCTGATTTGCTCTGGAGATTTGTGGTAGAAGTGAGAAGCAATGTATTATTGTTAAGTCTATCCAGTAAATACAGAAAAGTTCAGATGTCTGGAATTTTTATTTCGATTACAAATGCTGGTGTGTTTATGGGGTAATTCATCTATCTCTAGTATGTCTGATAAGGTTCAGCACTGGTCAGACTCAAGGGGCTAGAAGTATATCTTATATCTGTGGAAATAATAAATTTAGCTTCAGACTAATGTTGTCAGCATTTCCCCTCTTTTATTTTGTGGCACGAACCTTTTTAACAAATGCCATTTTTCATTTGATGCAACCATTTCTCCGAGTATATTTGCCAATTTCCCAGCACACTGAAAACACTGTACAGAACATTTATTTATATTCTTTCTGATTTAATCTCTTTTGGTAGTTCTATACTTTTCAGAATATAAAATACTTATCAGCATTTAAAGGTTAGAAAGAAACAGGTTTTGTCAGCACACTGGCTGTTTATTCAACTCATAGATTATATTAGAGGGGAGGGTGTGGGAGTCTTCCCTGCTGCCTAATTTTGATTATGTTTGCAAGCAGCTGATAAAGCCCCCACAGGCAATGACTAGGACTAGACTTCATTTTATTTTATTTTATTTTATTTTATTTTATTATTTTATTATTGGAGATAACAGTCAAAGACATTTCAGCTACTGGGAAGTCACCACAAAAAACAACAACAACCCACAAACCATTCCTAGAATCATAGAATTGTACAGTTGGACGTGACCCCGAGTCCAACCCAATGCAATGTTGGAATCCCAATTAAAGCATTCATGACAGATGGCCATCCACTGTCTGCTTAAAAACGTCCAAGGAAGGATAGGCCACCACTTCTCATGGAAGTCTGTTCCACTGTCGAACAGCTCTTAGTGTCAGAAAGTTCTTCCTGATGTTTAGTCAGAATCATTATTTAGTCAGAACATTAAGGAAGGCAACAACCCTGTTCAGGCATTTTTAAAAGAAAGGCACAATGGCACAAAGTGTGTAGGGGTGTGCATCCATTGGCCTGTCTGTGCCACCCCTGACTTTCCTGGTTGAGTGTAAAGGACTGCAGGACCTTCTCAGCCCATTCAGCTGAATGCAGTTAGAAATCCCCTTCACACTTGCCCTCTCAACTTTGGAAAGTCAGGAGTGGAACAGGTGCCCCTAATGTTTACCAGATGGTTTGCATGCTCACACCTTCCTTGAATGTTATTCCCCGGAAGAGGGGAAATAGCGAGAATAGGAATGGGGGATAAATTTGAGTCAGTTCACATCCAAAGATGAACTTACCTAATTCACTTGAATATGAACCGAAACACAGCTATCCCTCAAACACCACATTATCTGAATTTTGTAATGTAGTTCTCCAACCAGGTAATATGCAAAAAGGGGAAAAGGGAAAGGGGAAAAAAGAAATGTATACTAATGTAAAGTGCACTATATTTATGGCTGTGAATTAGGTTGTTAATGTTTGTTTCCATTCACCAGGAAAAGGCTGAATGCAAAGATAGCTGATTTCCCTTCTTTAAGCAGAGCTCTTGTATCAATTATCCAGCATCCCTAATTTTGCCATTTCTTTGCTTCATGCTATTTTTTGTACTCAGCACATTTGCAAAATACACTGTTTTACACTTGCTTGCTTCACACTATTTTTCAACCAACACTTTTGCAAAACGCACCATTTGCTAGCATGCATCCTTTTCCTAAGGGCAGCCACCCGCCAACTTTGATCTGACAGGAGTTTACTATGTCACCACTAGTTTCACATTTCCCATCTCTCCTCCTGCTTGTGTTACAGTCAGTGTATCATATCCTAAAGGCAACTGGCCTCTGAGGCCTGTTCTGTTCAAATGTAGCATCTGCATAGAGTGGAGAACAGGACTAGGAGCAACAATAACAGCAGCCATTCTAATATGAAGAACTTCAAAACATTGACGCTCATCAAAGTGCCACTGCCAGACATGAGGGCATGGATACTTGCCAGCAGCATCACAAACTGAGCATGGGTGCCTGTTTCAGCCCAGCCAGAGCACTTGAAGATGGCCACACATTTCTCTTGGAGCCATAAGAGCCATGTCGACAGGGACAAACAGACATCCTTGGATCCTGCATCAGTGTGTCTAGGGAATAGTTGGTTCTGGCAAAGCTTATACAGCTGTGGAATCTGGAGGAGGGGAGGGAGAAGGAAAGATTGTTGTACACAAGCATTTTATTGTAACACCCGAAATTGTAGAAGGTAAGGAAAGAAGAAATGCATGAGCAAGACATGGCTTTGCTGATAGATCAGACTAGTGCTGTGCTGAAAATTTCATGACCAGTCTCCATTTATCAGTGAGAACAGAAACTGCACCTGAAAATGAGCAAAGTGGAGTGAAAAGGTCAGTTGTTGTTGTTGTCGTTGAGCTCCTCCTCCTGCTGCTTTGGGCACAGGAGGGAGGAGCTTCTACATATTGGAAGTTCAACGGAGTGCTTGTCCCACAATTCTTTGGATATGGCCATGGCACCTCACTCCAAGTTAACAATCCTTTGGGGCATCTCTGGAGGTGGGTCATGCCAAAGGGGAAGCACCACACAGTTCACTCTAAAATGAGAGAATTCATGGCGGATATAAGAAACACTGTTGGGGATTAGCTGAAGGGAATCATAGAATCATAGAGTTGGAAGAGACCACAAGGGCCATTGAGTCCAACCCCCTGCCAAGCAGGAAACACCATCAGAGCACTCCTGACATATGCTTGTCAAGCCTCTGCTTAAAGACCTCCAAAGAAGTAGACTCCACCACACTCCTTGGCAGCAAATTCCACTGTCGAACAGCTCTTACTGTCAGGAAGTTCTTCCTAATGTTTAGGTAGAATCTTCTTTCTTGTAGTTTGGATCCATTGCTCCGTGTCCGCTTCTCTGGAGCAGCAGAAAACAACCTTTCTCCCTCCTCTATGTGACATCCTTTTATATATTTGAACATGGCTATCATATCACCCCTGAACCTCCTCTTCTCCAGGCTAAACATGCCCAGCTCCCTTAGCCGTTCCTCATAAGGCATCGTTTCCAGGCCTTTGACCATTTTGGTTGCTCTCCTCTGGACACGTTCCAGTTTGTCAGTGTCCTTCTTGAACTGTGGTGCCCAGAACTGGACACAGTACTCCAGGTGAGGTCTGACCAGAGCAGAATACAGTGGCACTATTACTTCCCTTGATCTAGATGCTATACTCCTATTGATGCAGCCCAGAATTGCATTGGCTTTTTAGCTGCCGCGTCACACTGTTGGCTCATGTCAAGTTTGTGGTCAACCAAGACTCCTAGATCCTTTTCACATGTACTGCTCTCAAGCCAGGTGTCACCCATCTTGTATTTGTGCCTCTCATTTTTTTGCCCAAGTGCAATACTTAACATTTCTCCCTGTTAAAATTCATCTTGTTTGTTTTGGCCCAGTTCTCTAATCTGTCAAGGTCGTTTTGAAGTGTGATCCTGTCCTCTGGGGTGTTAGCCACCCTCCCAGTTTGGTGTCATCTGCAAATTTGATCAGGATGCCCTTGAGTCCATCATCCAACTCGTTGATAAAGATGTTGAATAAGACCGGGCCCAAGACAGAACCCTGTGGCACTCCACTAGTCACTCTTCTCCAGGATGAAGAGGAACCATTGATGAGCACCCTTTGGGAAGGAAAATGCAAGGCTATTCCACTGCATACTTTCAATTATACCTTCAAGGAGCTATTTCCTTATACAATTAAAGTGTGGATTAGTTTCCTCTTTTTAGTAGATTGGGAAGCTTTCCTTATCATGTATTAGCTATTGTCCTGCACACGACAGTGGTTTTACTCACCAGAGAGGCTCAGTGGAAGCCCATTTAACTATAATGGCTAATGATTCATACAAATCGGAGTTAGGAGACCAGGACTGATGAAGAACTGTGCAAGCAAGTCAAAATGTGTTGCAGGAGAAAAGACTAAATTATTCTCCAAAGGCGAGAAAGAAAAACATTTCCTTTCCCTGCTCTCCTCCAGATATATGACAAAATCATGAGCTGAAATGTTAAACTATTGTTACAATTTGGAAAGCATAAAAATGGGGTGGGGGGAATAAAATAAAATGGCAAGCTGAAAAATGCTGAAGATCATCACAGTATCGTGGATTTTCACTCCTTCTACTAATAACTGACAACGGATGCTTTGATCAAGCAGATTCTGTTGACAGAGATTTTCTACAGCAGACAGAAACTCTTATCTTCAAGCCATGAAACACAAAAAACGTTCATAAAGACCACTTTGAATGCCATTTTCTCTGCATTATGTAAGTTTAGGGATTACTGAGCACAGAAAGGGATGTGATGAAAGATACAGAGCTTGGAAGGTGCTCCAGCGCACAGCAATTCATTACCATTACATTACATTATTCCATATTCAGGAAATATGTCAGTATTTCCCAGACTTAGGGTAGTCGACACACTTTCCCCCCTTGATAAAATCTGAGACACATTAAAAATAAAAATTAAAAAAAATCCATAGCTTGGTGATACCTTTACTGGGAACAACCAAAATCTCACAATGATGTGACCTTCCAGAACTGCTTATCAGGCAAGTTGTTACATAAAACAGGTAAGGGGGATGAGGAAACATTTAAAAACCAATCTGTTCTATGTGGAGTTGCCCTTGGGCCTGGTTCAGAAACTCCAACTGGTGCAGCCATATTGCTGATGAGGGCACATTATTATCACACACACACACACACACACACACACACACACACCACATTTTCCCCTGATGAGACTCAAGTTGACTTACACAGAACTGCTAAAAACATAGAAAAAACAATAATTTTAAAACAGTTAAACATTGTTAGAAGTAAAACTCTATACATATAAAATCTATTTAAACCATACAAATAATTACAATATAAACAGCATGTGGCACCACTGTTTAAAACATTTGCACTGGTTGCCTATCTACTTCTGAGCCAGGCTGAAGGTCCTTGTCCTAATTTACTAAGTCCTGAATGACTTAGGCTCAGGGTACCTTCAGGACCGCCTGAAACCTTATATCCCAGATGAAACACAGCTGTTGCCCTCTAGAATGGATCCTGTAAAGTCCATTCCTCCAGACAATCCTGTGAAGAGCCCTCTTGGCACCCCATAGCTTATCTTGTCACTGGAACCTGTTGGGCAGCCAGCTGCAGACTGTTTCTGTCTATTAGTCTCCTGCACACTTCAATCTTACCTCAGTTTGGAGCTCTCCAGCTTTGCCTTAAGTGGGCATGTGTCAAGCACACACATGAAGCCAGAGATGCAGCTGCAATTTGCCACAGTGAAGAATTGTGCATGCACTGTAATTTTCCTGCACACTTATAGACTAGCAGTTTCATCCATTTAAGTTCCTCAAACCAAGCTTAAGTGGCCCCATTTCTACAGTTCACTGAAGTAACAGCCCCTTGAGGAAGGACCCTTGTGCCCGATCCAGCGCTGTGTGAGAGACCATAGAAACATGGGTTGTTAAAATCAAAGCCTCCTATATATCATTGGTGCTGGTAATAATAAGAATGTGGAATATCTTCTTATAAAATTGGACACAGTTTACCTTTCAAGGAACCTGAGTTTGCTGATGATGTGCGAGTGGCTCTTCCTTTTGTCTGTTCTGCTGCACAGTTTATTTCATTTCATCTCTGAGCAGAACAATAAAAAATGATACTGATCAGAGAGGCCTTTTTTATTATTGCTTTTCTATCTCACTTTTTCTCCTTTTGGCTCTTGAGCATTTCGGCTTTGTCAATACTGTCATTCGATGGCCACTCCGAAAATGATTAGCTGCTTCAAAGCTTTATTTGATCTGCAGCTAATGTAGTGCCAATACTGTAACCGGCAATTGCTCATATTCATTTCTCTACCAATTCACAGACAATCAGATTCATTCCCACCTTGAGACCCAGATATCAACATTCACCTGAGCCCATCAAAACAGTCAATCTACATAATGGAAAAATGTAAAAATCCAGGGGTCAGGTAAGTGCACTTTCTTCTTTCCAGCTACAAGGAATATTCTATTAGCATAACTTGCAGTCTTCAGTTGCATGTGATTTCAGCAGGTCAAATAAATGTTTGCTATTCCATTTAGTTCTTTTAAAAATAAAACAAAATAAACTTTTTTCTTATTTTAGTTATAGAGTACCTTTTTCTGTAGATTGTGAACAAAATATATAGCGCTTATTTATAGTCAGCGTTATGCAACCTACCCTCCTATTTTTAAGTAGAAATGAAAGACATGCATGAGGTGCATGGGGCGTTAGGGGAAGGGCAGTAATTGGTGGGGGACGTGTTGTGCTCCTTCTTTTTGTCCACCTGTGGTCCACACCCTGCACTCAGCGCTCAGAACCAGTGTGGTGTGGTGATTAAGAGTGGTAGACTCATAATCTGGTGAACCGGGTTCGTGGCCCCACTCCTCCACATGCAGCTGCTGGGTGACCTTGGGCTAGTCACATTTCTCTCAGCTTCACTCACCTCACAGAGTGTTTGTTGTGGGGGAGGAAGGGAAAGGAGATTGTTAGCCGCTTTGAGACTCCTTAGGGTAGTGATAAAAGGTAAAGGTAAAGGACCCCTGACGGTTAAGTCCAATCACAAACGACTGTAGGGTTGCGGCGCTCATCTTGTTTTACTCGCCGAGGGAGCTGACGTTTGTCCACAGACAGTTTTTCTAGCTCATGTGGCCAGCATTACTAAGGTGCTTCTGGCAAAACTAGAGCAGTGCACAGAAACACCGTTTACCTTCCTGCCGGAGCGGTACCTATTTATCTACTTGCACTTTGACATGCTTTCGAATTGCTATGTTGGCAGGAGCTGGGACCGAGCAATGGGAGCTCACTCCATCGAGGGGATTCGAACTGCCGACCTTCCAATTGGCAAGCCCTAGGTTCAGTGGTTTAGACCACAGCACCACCTGCGTTAGTGATAAAGCGGGATATCAAATCCAAACTCCTCCTCCTCCTCCTCCTCTTCTTCACCAAAGGCTCCTAGAAGCTGCCAGTATGTGACAGCAGCCACACTCCAGGAATGACTTTGATTGGCAAGCCAAGGGTCTCAAAGCCTGAGTGAGTTAGGGTCTTCCTCTGTGTACAAAAACAGGTTCCAGCAGATTGAGTGGATGAGACCAATAGTGAGTCCAATGGTTGTAGTGGATAAAACAATAACCACTGAGAGTGCCCATAAAGGTTAACCAGCTAGTGGGGTGTTTAGACTAGAACAGTGAGCAATAATGAACATTTTGCAGAAATTTTGCTTTCTAACCCATTTATTGCTTAAGCCGCTTCTGTTATCCACACTCACTTGCAAATTTCCCACTCATTTCCTTGGTATCTGTTGTCTAGCATCTAGTTAACACCAGTACAAAGCATATGCCTGATGGATTTAGCCTATGTGTTGGCAGAGTCTTTCATTGTGGCCTTTCACACCAAACTAGAGTTAGAGGGGCTGTTGTATTAATTAGCTAATTTGTTCAGCACTTAAAAGGTGTGAGACACTATAGACATGCAATGGATTATTTACGGCAAGCTTGATATTCCTAATACTTTTCAAATCCCAACAGTAGACCATGTAATTAAAAGAATTTCATCTGCCGTAACATAACCTAGCGGTGATCTGTTTGAATCCATTTCAAAATATTTGCAACACTGAATTTCATTTGAAGTATTTACAAATATATCTGATGGTTTCTCTGCAGATTCTACACGGCATACCCTAATTTTAGTGTTCGTGAAGACAAAATACCTAACATTTTAACAGCAAGGAGTAACAGCTTGAAACTGAAAATCAAAAGCTTGCTATTCAACAGAATGAATAGAAGGAACTAGCATCTCAGTTTTATTGGCTAGTTGAAGACATTTTTTTCTTGGCTGGACTTTCAACACTGTCACATGAATCCCGCAAAAATAAAGGAACTGAGAGTGAGTAACATCCTGCTTTTCTTAACTGGTAACATCCTGCAAATACTATGAAGAGGTTCATATTTATGGCCAGTGCTCATGTGCAGGTTCCATGTGGATAGTGGTACCTCCTTGTGAGGTGTATATGCACAGCAGTCATGATTTATAAGGTTTCAGATTGCACCATGTAGACAAGCCCCATGCAGAAGAACATCTTCTAAAACAGTATCTCCAGAAGAGTAGTACCCCATTGCAAGAATAGTAGCAGCCCATGCTCACTCCTGAGATGCTCAGAAAGGGTCTACCATAAGTGTGAACTCAGGGGTAACCAAGGCAATGACCTGCAGATATTGCTGGACTGCAACTCCCATCAGCCCTAGCCAGTATAGTCCATAGTTGGAGGTGATGGGAGTTGTAGTCCAACAAACCTCTGGAAGGGTCAAGGAGCTGTGAAGCATGTCCAGGTCAACAACAGGACAGGGAAGCACAGGAGGCATGGAATGCAATTAGCTTTTTATTAACAGAAAATAATGACATAGTAGAGCCCTCTGGTTTGTCCTTTCCTCTCTAGTCTCTCACTCTGAATCACTCCCAAGCAGGCAAAGGCTGTGTTAAGGGGCTGGGATCCTCCTCTGGGCCTTTCTAGCCAAGCAATGTGCAGGACTCTCCTTGAGCAGGGTGTCCTGCTGCTGGGTAGCAAAGGCAACTGCTGACTCCTCTCTGTCCGCATCTGCACTCGCACTGTAACTCTCAGCCTCTAACCCTGTCCTGGAAGGCCTTCCTTCTGCAAATGCCCCCCATCCCCACTTGATTGCTCAAACATCCTGCTTCTAGCACCTCCCCGCTCATCCCAGACTGCTATTCAGTATCCCACCAGCATGACCTAGGATCTAAGTCTTCTTATTCTGTGTCTTTTTCTTCTCTTGGGCAGGAGCCTCCCACCACTCTTCATCATCCAGCCTGCCCCTGACAGGTAGGCACCATAGTGGCTGCCTCTGTATTATGTCTTCTAACCCCCTAAGCAAGGTGTGGGACGCGGATGACGCTGTGGGTTAAACCACAGAGCCTAGGACTTGCCGATCAGAAGGTCGGTGGTTTGAATCCCCATGACGGGGTGAGCTCCTGTTGCTCGGTCCCTGCTCCTGCCAACCTAGCAGTTTGAAAGCACGTCAAAGTGCAAGTAGATAAATAGGTACCGCTCTGGTGGGAAGGTAAACGGCGTTTCCGTGCGCTGGTTCGCCAGAAGCGGCTTAGTCATGCTGCCCACATGACCCGGAAGCTGTACGCCAGCTCTCTCAGCCAATAAAGCGAGATGAGTGCTCAACCCCAGTTGGCCACGACTGGACCTAATGGTCAGGGGTCCCTTTACCTTTTATGCAAGGTGTGCTCTGAGAGCTTTGAAGGGCATCAAGAATATCAAGCAATATAGTAAATAATCTCTCTCTCTCTCTCTCTCTCTCTCTCTCTCTCTCTCTCACACACACACACACACACACACAGTATGCATAGAACTAGACAATCAAAGTGGCTCAATCTAGCAGTCAGGAATCAAGATAAAAAACACATACTAGATTCCCCAGCTTTTGTTAACTAAACAACATAACAGTACACTAGCTGTAAAAACAGCATCAGGGCATCAGTTTAAAAACCAGCAGCAGATAAAAACCTGGCAGAACAGAAAGATTTTGACAAGCTTTCTAACCATCAAGTGGGAGAAAGGTACACAACAAGTCTACAACAGCCAGAGACAGTTTGTAAGAATTTGGAAGAGCAGAGTCTCTTGCTGTAAAATAAAATAAAATGCAGCACCAGGATCATGTACAGTGGTATCTTGTGTTGCATAATCTTCGGATTACGGAATCTTTGGGTTACAGCTACAGCAAACCCGGAAGTGTATACTTCCAGGTTTTACTGCTCACACATGCGCAGAAGGGCTCTGTGTGCTGTGTGCATGCGCTGAAGAACTCTATCATGCCGCGTTTGAGCGCAGAAGCGGTACCTCTAGTTACAGATTTTTGGGGTGCGCACAGCACCCCGAAATGAATTAAATCCATAACGAGAGGTACCACTGTACCAGGAAACAGAATGAATTGAATGGTTTCCTGTGCATGTTCTCAGTATGTGATGGCAGAAAAGGGGGCAAATTTCTCTTCCTGTCTCCCATATTCTGTGCATTTTGGTTCTTCCAATGAAATTCAAGGCAGGAAAATGGACCAACACTTTCACAGAACACAGTCTAGAGCTGCATACACACTTTTGTTTACTCTGCATCCAGTCTACTCCAACTGCAAGTGAGGTAGTCGTGCTGCTGACATATGGCTCTCTCGAAAAACAATGGAATGTGCCTCCAGGGTTGAAGTCAAACTGCTGCATTAGTAGGACTGAAGTGACCTCCATGGGGCGCAAGCCTGAGCTCTGTATGTGTGAAGGTCCAGATGACAAGACCCCACTCTCGGCCTTGCTGATGTGGCCCAAAGGAAAGCAGAGCAATATGTTTGACACCTACTTGGCTGCAGGAGTTGCCATCCAACCATCTTAGTGACTCCGCTCCAGATTTGTGTAGGGTTTACTCCTTAGTCTTTTCTTCTTCTGAAGATATCCTGCAAAGCACAAGAGGTTTAGGATCAAAGTTTTCCTTCTCCTGGATGAGCTACCTTCTCTTCCCTCTACACCATGTGCAGAAAACACCTTCTTCGCCGTTGGACCCACTATTAGTCTAATCCGCTCAGAACCTGTCTTCACATGCAGGGAAAATCCCTAACTCACAGAGGGTTCTAGGCCCATCGGTTACTTTCACCTGGTTTAGTTGGCCTGTTGAAGACACAGCGTTAGCCACTGTCCATATTTATCCCATAGTTTATTATGAAATATTGTGTTTTGATACATTCGCCCCAATCTTCAATCCAAATTGTGTAAAAGAATGGTGGGCATGCTTTTTAAGTGTGTCAGGTGCATTCAGCCTTAAAATATGGAATTTCCTGTCAGGATGCGGTGATGGCACAATGGCTTTAAAAGAGGATTAGGCAAATTCATGGAGGATAAGTTTACCAAGCTGGTATAAGATAAACAGTGATGGATATATCTATTGCCTTTATGTCCTGCTTCTAGGTTTCCCAGAGGTATGTGGCTGCCCTCTTGGACAAGGAAGACAATCTGTAATCCTCTAGATGTTGTTGGACAACAACTCCCTTCATCACTGAACACTGCCCCTGATGGCTGGGGCCTAGGGAATTGTAATCCAATGACATCTGTAGGGCCACAGGTTCTTCCTCCCTAGTCTAGGGGGACGTTTAGTCTGATCCATTAGGGCTCTTCTTATGTTTTTTAAATCCTTATATTCTCTTGGAATAATCAAGCTAATAGCTTTTTTTTTAAAGTGCATTAAGAACCCAAGCATTTTGAGTTTAAGTCTAATGCTTGGCATTAGGATGTATTTTCAGACAGCAGCCTACCCAATAGGTTGCAGTGCATGATTTGCTTATTAAAAATGTTGAGTGTGATAGTAGACAAAACATATTGGAAGTGAAGATTCATCTTCCGTTGGTGCTCTTCAGCAGGTAGTGAGTAAAATTTAATAGAGTGTTTGATTTACAACCCAAAGATAGGCCAAAATGAACACATTTATTTAAAAAGCACCTTTCACACTCTGAAAAAACCTTTGACAGCATTACTTAATAAAAAAAAACCTCAGTGCCATTGAAAATTCATTTATGAGTGGAATAGCAGTTAGCAGCTGACACCACTAATGTGTGCAAAGAATCTTTCCTCGGGTTTGTCCATCTCATCTTTCATCTCTGTCTCGACAAATGAACTGTTTTCATAGCATGATAATTATGCTGTCTTGTCTCCCCTAAAATACTGTGATTTCACTCCACTGAGAGAAATAAAAATGAGATGAACTATGTGAGTGAAAGGCTTGAAATACAATGCAGGTCAGGCATCGTTTGTAATGGTGGGGCAGGGGGAGAGAATATTGGTAGTATTAAAGCACAGTGCAGTTTTACTTCTTCTGACAAAAGTCATGAAAAGTGGCGACAACTGCTGCTGTTTCATTTATCAGAAGAAGCCAGAGTTTTGCTTTGCTTTTTAAAAGAAGGGTCAGTGTAAAATACCAGTTAAGCTTAAAGTATTGCAAGACAGAAATCATGAAAAGCAGTGACAACTGCTACTGCTTCATTTTTCAGAAGAAGACAGAGGTTTTTTTTAAAAAAGAGCAGCCCGTTTAAAATACTAGTTAAGTTTGAATTCTTGCAAAACAGGCCAAGAATGCGAGTTTATTTTGTTTGCCTTTATTGCTTTGCCAGCTTAAATCAGTTTTCTGCTGCATCAGCCAGAAAGAGGTCAGACACTCAAACAGTGCCAACGCTCTGCATCCTGCAGGTGAAAATACAGCTAGGTGGAAAGCAAAATCAAACAAAACTGTCACTCAGAAAATGCATAAATAAAGCTACACGTATCTTTAGATATACAGAACTGGGGGGGGGGAATAGGAAAGAGAATCAATATGCTTTGGGACATTGTTTCTTGCAGGGTTTTTGTTTGTTATTTTTACATGTTGAACAATATCCACTGGGAATGGATCAGAATTTAATGCTCAGCTTAAGAAAAACCACTGTCAATTATGCAGGGTGGTGGTTCATCCTTACCAGTGGCTCCCATAGGTGTATTTCAGGACCACAAATAGGGTGCTAATGACAACTGAGCTACAGCCTTGCAGAGATGTCATCTGCGTGAACTGGAACTGCCATGTAGGGGTTGTATGCTTAGCTGCTGCAATCCCCCACAGTGGGGTAGCACTTTTTGAAGCAGTCAAAATTGCACAAATCACACCAACCATACATATTGTTCCCCCACTGAACTGGTGGCTGACAAAAATGTTGTGCCTGGTAGAACAGCCAAGTTACAAGCCCAGGGGTACTTTTACAGGTGTCGCTGTAGTGGAAGCTGGTTCATTAGGACAAATGGAGTCTTGTTCCAGTATCCTCAGCCAGCCCCGACCTGCCTGCCTTACTGCAGATATTAATATCGTGCAGCTTGAAGTGACTGGATGCAGAAAAACTGACTCCTTTCTGAAATGAAACATTGTCCACTATATTGTCCATTAGACCCATAAGATTGTTCAAAACTTGACTTGCAGAACTTCCTTCAAAACAGAACAAAAACATTAAAGATACATCCAAAATAATTCCATACAAGATCTTGTGCTGTCCAGCACAGGCTCAGCATCTTAGAAATAAAATATAATTCCAAACAGACCTATAAGAAAAGATATTTCTCTCTCTTTCCTTACAGCCTGAAGCCATGTGCTCCTGGAGAGCTTCATTACATCCTTACTCCCACAGAGCCTGGGAACAAAGGACCCAAGCCACCACACTTCCAAGATGGCAAATTTGTACTTCAATAGCCTCCCATGTGATCTAAGGTTAAACACTCACATGTTAGCTAGCAGAGAACAATAACAATTATTATCAACCCATCAAGGAGCTCAAAGACCATGTAGTATACAGTGGAATTTTCCCTTGTTAAACCTTTTCAGCAATATATACTGTCAGTCTCCATTTCAGTGTCAGTTAAAAAATTATACTTAACATGCCTTCCTACTTACAAGAAGTCCAGTCATGGCTCCCTCAAAGAATTCTGGCAACCACAGCCTGTTAAGGGTACTTAACAGCTCTTCACAGAGCTACAATTTCCAGGTTGGTTTAATGATCAATCCCTCAGTGCCAGGGAATGCTGGGAATTTAGGAAATACAGGGGTTCCTAGAAAAGTCCCAGCACCCTTAACAAAAAACCTTTCTCAGGATCCTTTGAGGAAAGCCATGACTATTTAAAGTGTTATAATACTACTTCAAATGTATAGTGCAGATGAGGCCATCGCATTGCATTATTGTACAGCACACTTGAATCTGTCAGGATGAAGCATGGCTTAAAAACAAAAAACAAAAAAGCAACAACACCAAATTAATTAATTAATATAAATGTCAAATCAGGATGTGATGAAGCTTTCAGCATGCATCGTCGTAAACTCTTGCATGCCGTTACAGCTAGTCTTTGGAACAGAGCAGGCTGTCAATCTTTTCCCACCGTTGCATGTCTGCCTAGGCAACCTTTTACTTGAAGGGAATTTATCAGAAGGAAATTGGCTAAGACACAGTTCTTCCTTCTCTTGTGTTTAATTAGCATAGAAGGTTTGTCTCTGATAAATGCTCAAGATCAGACAAATCTGATTAGAACAATGATTGATGAATATGAATGATGGGGAAGGCAGGCAGGGAGTATTTTCTAGTATTCATTTTAAAACAAACTTGTGCCCTAAAACGTATAATAATTTGCAAGCGAAAAGGACATCTTCATTTTCTAAATGGGGTCTTTTTAAATGATAGGCAATAATGGGAGGATAAGTCCATTATTCATTTATAAGGGAATTAGCATAACAAAGCTGCTTAATGCGAGAGTTCAGAAAGCTCTGATTAATAAATTAATCCTTACATTTTACAATAGATCTCATTTTTGAATAATTCTTATAAGAAAATCTTTTAATAACTTCAGTGTTTTTCCACTCAGATTGTTAACCATTTGTTTGCTGCTGCACAAGCAAAAGTAAATGCCCAAGAGCAGACAGCACTCTTATTTTGCATTGTGCTTGTAGTGGAGAAACTTTGCTGTGAACAGTGCACATCTCATTCCCTAGGAGACAACTTGAAATGGGGGTGTGATATGTGCATATGTGCAAGAGCCAAAAAGAACAAGTCTCGATTTCAGCTTGATCCTTTACAGAGAAGCAGGAATCACTCAGTTTAGCAAGGCCTGCCTGCACCCATGATGAGGCTTGCACCTCATGCTCTCTCCAGAAAGCAAAGGGAGAAGAAGCTTTGTTGCACACTCTTATTCATCAAGACTTTATGGTTTGCTCTTACTTGAGAGCAGCTGCTACTAAAGTAAATAACAAACAACTTAGGTCACACCTTCGCCATATACTTAAAGGACTGTTGTAGCACTAAAAACAGTCTTGTGTTCCCCACACACAATGAATCCTGGAAACTGTAGCTTGTTAAGGGTGCAGGGAATTGTAGCTCTGGGACAAACTACTATTCTCAAGGTTCTTTTTGGAGGGATCCCATCACTGTTAAAGTGGTATATTTTCTGGCACCCACTAAAAATACTTTTGCATAGGCAAGCCTATAGAGACATGCAGAAGCTGTCATGTGTTTTAACCTGGTATTAGCTTGCTGTTGGTTTTATTTATTTTTGAATGTTTTACATATTTGCTTTTAGACTTTTTATTGTTTAAATTTTTTGGGGAAACCACATTGAAGTTTTATTGATTGCAATAATCGGTATATAGATGTGAAACAGAGGCGCTGGCTAGCCCCTGCTTTTGAGGGGGCTGGAGCCACATGATGTGCTGGCATGGCATGTGTGACATTGCATATGATGTTACCACTCCTTTAAGAACTTGGGGGGGGGGGTCCAAAGTGCCTTGCCCCCTGTTGTGAAATCAATATGTAAGTGAAAATGAAATGAGACACGGTCTTATTTGCAAAGCTAGCCACAATGCCAAGGATGGGATGTGGGGGTAGGGTTCTTCTGTGACTTTTCCTTTCCCCTTCCCAGGAGAGTTGTGGAGATGAATGAGTAATGCTGTGTTCCTGGGCACATGGAAGTAAACCCCACTTGTCTCAGTAAAATGACTGCAAATATGCACGGGATCAAGCCTCAAGCTAGCCTTCTGGTATATGCTCATAGAGAGACAGGATGAAACTTAAGCATTGGCTGCAGGCCTCTCATCATCAACACAGTAGCTATCAATGTATTTGAATATCATCTTTTGGAAGCTATTAATGGTGTGAGACCTTGGTATGTATAATGTATATTGGTTTGAATGCCACTGCCTAATTTGGAGGTGTTGTCTTTAAACTGGGGGGGGGGGGAATCCCTGCACCCAAATAATGAGGTGGCTTGAAATAACAGCATTATTAAAAACTATTATTAATTAAATTTCTATCCTGCCTTTTATCCCAAAGGAGCCCAGGGCAGCAAACAAGAAAGTAATATAATAATTTCAAGGTTGCTAGCAACAGCTTTTCAGTCTGCAAATGCCTGGGTGTGCAGGAATGTTTTGAAATTAAAAGCTGAGACGGACACATTTCACCAGGGAGGGTATTCAACACATATTGGGGAGGGGGGTGCATGGAGGCTGAATGCACATCCTGGTGTCAGAGGCTGTAGTATGCAGCAAGGTGCAACACCAGTCCATCTGTGCCCCTGCCGGCACCAAGTGATAACCCTTCTGGCAAGGGCAGGACTGTTCTTCCTACCTCAAATGACATGCAAGAGCAGCAGCTGGGCAGTGAGTTAGCTGCCCTCCATGCACTGCCTACAGTTTGAAAGGGGCATCCATTTAAGTCATGCCTGCCTAGCAAAAAGGACTCTGAATCACACTGATAGTATCCTTAATAATACAGCTGCTTGGGCAGCCAAGTCAGGGCTGGAATTATTTCTGAGGAAACATGTAGTATCCCAGAGATTCTATAGCTGATTGGTGGTTGAAACATCTGAGGACTGAGAAGGAGTCTACTAACCAGGACTGGCCCACCAAATCCCAAACGCCAAACCAAATCAGGCCAATTTGGGTACACCTGGGATTTGGCCAGAGCAGAGTCACCATTGTGCCTTTCCTCTGTTCAAAATGTGAAGAAGCATGGGCATTAAATCCTGCTATCCAGTGAAACTGGGGCATTCCTGAGGGGGCATGTTCAGTGTAATGTTCAGTCAAGCCAGTGCAAACAGGAATTGAATAGGAACTGGGTAGGAAGAGCAATTCATTATGGATTTTTGAAGGGGTATATGCTGGGATCTTCTACATGCACACTGTAGCCTGTCATGTTTGCGTCCCCAGTCTTAAATGCTAGCAAATTATATTTCCCATTAATCTTTGTGCTCAAGGCCTATGGCTGGTATGGTTTTCAGACCCAGTGAAGACAAAAGAAATAGCTTGCCTCCTTGCCACCTACTCACCACTGCTGCTTGAAAGTAGTTTCGGGGGGGGGGGGAAGAAAGGTAGCAGGGACATTTTGGAATGGCCTGAGCTTATTTAGGAGCAGAGACTAAATTCAAAGCACTCTTGGCTTAGATTTTTAAAAGCATATTTTTCCTGAACAGGGCATATTCAAGACTACCCAGTTTGCGAACAGTACCTACTAAGAAATTAACAGGCATCACTTTGAAGCAGGGCTATGCAACACAATCAATATATTAATATATATGGAATGATGCTTATTCTGAGCACCCACATAGCTATACCCCACATGCCTCATGATCTGCTTTGCCAAGAGCCTCAAAGGGATGCTTAAGCAGCCATATTGATACCCAGCAGCTAGCACCACTCTTCAGTCTTGTTAATTTCACTTCTTTTTCCTCTCCTTGCTGGGAAGGTTGCTAATATTCTATTTTTCTCCAGATATAGTAACAGGGTCCCTTCTCCCTTGACACTATGATAAGAGAACAGACACCATGTTTGAAGCTGTGGGGAATTTTAATACAATCCAGCATAAGAAGCAAGATAGGAACACAATTACTGTCACACAGATATGCTCTCTGGGCTGTTCCTAGCACTGCATTTTAGTGACACACATTTTTGAGTTCCATGATCTTTAGATGATACATCAACAACACTTAGGCATGAATATGGATGTTGCTACTGCACATGTCAAGTCACATGTACATCTGACTTGCATCTGGTTCTCTGTCACCCCCCAGAAAACTTTTGTTGTTAAGGATTTATTCAATAATTTATAGGAAAAGTGCTATGTAAATATTAAGTATCATTGTCAGTTACTATTCTTTCCACCTATCAGTGACAAACTAAGTCTGTCAGAAACCCACATACAACCAGAAACTTAAAGATAATAGGACAGGAGTAGCCAACATAGTGCCCTCCAGAGACTGTGAGAATACAACTCCCATAAGCCACTAATGACATGGCTAAGGGATGCTAGGAGGTGTAGTTCAGTGGCCTCTGGTAGATACCACATTGGTTCTCCATGCTCTGTGGTGCCTCATTCCCAGTCTTCTGGCTGAGAAATAGAGTAGTCCATCAGAGCTGGGAAGGTTCTGTGAAGAAGCTGACCAGCAACACAAGGCCAGAGAAAAAGGAGTCAAGCAACAAGAGAGCTGTTTGGGAGGCAGACAGCATTAGAAACTGGTCAATGGGTGGGCAGGGCTTCTCTTGTGGCTATACATTGTAGGGAAAAATCACTAGTGGTGGGCTGGCTATCTTTCAGGAAATGTTCTCACTGAGGAACCCCTGAGAAGCCTCCAACAAACGACAAGAGTTTCTTAGATCACAGTTTGTAAGTCATTGCTTTATGACATGCTTTAATAATTAATTCACCCAAGAGCAGAATGAAAGCATTGGGGCCTTGAGTCAAACTCCTGGCAGTAGCTTTGGCTGGGTGGGAGTTGTAGACCAAAACATTTGAGGGACACTAGGTTAGTGAAGACTGCTATAGACTTCAGCATAGAAAATGTGTTTTGTTCACCTAAAAGCTCTTTCTTAGTTTTGCCTGCTAATGTCAACAAGCTACTTCTTAAAGTTCTCAATTCATTCTTAGAATCTGCATTGCATTGATAAAGCTTCATTATATTTTCTCTGCGATTCCAGATGAAGCACGGTGCAAAATTATTTTCCCCATCATCTTCCAAAGAGTCAACAAGCAGCCTTCTTAATCCTCTTGCTTTAAAAGGCTTTAACTTTTTTTGTGTCTTCAACCTTTTAAACCTTGGTGAATCAATTTCTTTCATCCAGACCCATTTAAAAGGCTTTATTTAGAGGATGTTATTAAAACATCTGGCATAGGAACTCTGAATCTATGGAGAGAACCCAGGACAGTCTTTCTGCCTCCTAAATTTGATGTAAGGATCAAATCATCACACTTTAAGCCATCTGTTCATATCTGAAGTTTAGCATTATCTTCACAAATGTTTTGTGTTAGTTGTTGAACACCAAATACGTTGACCCATATCCACAGAAACATCACTGTACTTACATTCTACTGAAATTAGTCAGACTAGGCATGGCTAACATGTCCCATTGCTTTCAATGGGAATTAGGTGCTGGCTAATTGTCCAAGCACATCCATTTTGCGGTCCCCCGAGAATGGTGAAATAACCAAGACCAGGTGATGGGTATAATCAGGCCATATATTTATTGGCCAGCAGCATATGTGGGGTTGGCATGGCAAAGAGGCAAGGATCATTTTTCTCATTTCATTCAGCACCTGCTGATATAATTACATTTTGTCATCATTGGGAACTGCCTAAGCCCTTTCCTGGGAGTAGCTCAACTTTGAACCCTGGTGTGCTGCAAGCCAAGCATCCAGGGTTTAACTGAGCAACCACAATAAGAGACTTCAGCTAGACAGAGTCCCCAACCCGAACTTTGGGCATGCCATGGCCAATTCTCCTCCCAGGCCCCTTTTAGGGAGCCCTTCTTTGCCATGCTGATCCTGCCCTGTGCCATTTCCACTCACAGTTTAGAAAGCTTGTTAATGCCTGACATAACTTCACAGACGGAAAGGCAAAAAAACTCACCAACCAAGGTACCAATTAAGACTGATAATAAGAAGAAGAAAACATTTTTGGTCCTGTCACTCAGCAACCCTAACAGCTCAGTGAAGCTCTAACCCAAGGATGGACGAGTGGGGCAAAATGGCCCCAGAGTGAGGGCTTTTAAGGCCTTGGCTCCTTTCACCCTCTTGCAAGGCTTGAACTCAAACTGTGCTGCAAAGGAAGACTGCAGCCAATCTCAATAGGGCTTCAACTCAGCACTGATCAGCTATGGCCTTTTTTGAACATAGAAGACTTGGCCACTGTACTCCAAGACCTGCTAATTTCCAGACTGGATTATTGCAACCCACTGTACAGAGAGCTGCCTTTGAAGATGGCTCAGAAACTTCAGCTAGCCCAAAGTGCAGCAATCAGCTTACTCGCTGGGTTTGTACTTTTCACCGTATGCTGAAGACACATGGCTTTACCCTGCCTGCCCTTTGACATCGGAAACACATGTTTTAGGAAACACCTCATTCTCTTGATAATAACCCACTTTTACTGTTTTACTGTTCTATTTTTAAATTATTGTAACCTGCTCTGGGGCATCATTGTGAAGGGAGGGCAATGGCAGCAGCAGCAGCAGCAACAACATAGTAATAACAATAGAAAAAATACTGATAAATCAACAAAACATGCCTTGTACCTTTGTAGTGAAGGGCCATAGCTCAGTGGCAGAACATCTGCTTTGCATGCAGAAGGTCTCTTGTTCAGTCCCCAGCATCTCCACCTAGGGCTGGGAGAAACTTCTGCTTGAAACCCTGGATAGCTGCTGCCAGTTAATGTAGAATCTACACTGTAAATGATGCTGAGCTAGATAGAGGAGCACCAGTGAAGGCATATGATACTTATTGCAGAGTTGCAGACATTTCATTTCATGTTGCAAGATAAGATTTACCGATGGAACTAAATATACACATAATATTTACCAGTAGTTCTCACTTCCACTGCGAAGGTTCATTTCCAGGAATGGAAATACATGAATAAGAATTATAAAACTGAATTCCACACACACACACACACACACACACACACACACACACTTAAGCATAAGAAACAATTGTCACACTTTTTGGGCTCAGAAACGATGTTGTAGAGAAAGGAAATAATGATGAGTTCTATTCTGAATAAATTCAAATACAACCAGTGGGACCAATTCAGTGTGCACATACACACAGCATACCTAGAGTTGGAGCCATGCAGTACTTTTCACAAATTATCCTTACTTCAGACAGAATCCAAGAGCAGCAGATTTTGAAAGCATCTGATAAATTGCCTTTCCTAATTAAGTATCACTCTGAGAAATAGCAGGGAAGGCACTGGGGAACGACTCCTAATTCAGAGCTTACTGAAAATTAATAATCCACACTAGAACAAAAGAGGAGCTTCCTTACTTATCTGTATTATAGCTTTCTCCTGGACAGTTTTCATTTGGAAGCTCTTTGTAATTTGCATATTAGAATAAATGGGGTCCTGGGGTATGGTCTGAGGCCCCCATAGTGCTGAAGCTAAGCAGGTTTAGAGCATTAGGGTGGCTGTTTGGGAACTCTGCATATGCTGCCTTGAATTCCATTATAGAAGAAGTATAAATGTAAAAAAATTAATCCACTGTTATTTTCTTTTGTAGAGCATACTGTAAAGATGGTTGTAAAATTGAGTCGAAATCTTGCCAACAAACCACCTGTCCAACCAAATAGTAAATGGCATCACCAAAACTCATGAGTTAAGGAAGACAGGAGCTCATTTGCTCCCAATATCCTAATGGCACTGAAAAATGCTAAGGGGTTGATGAACCATTTCTTTGTGGAAATCATTCTACACCTTGCCTCCTCCTAATTAAAAAAATCATAGAATTGTAGAGTTGGAAGATACTCTGAGTGTCTAGTCCAATGCTGGAATCACAATACACTGTTTCCCATCCAATTTGAAACCATGCCAGACTCTGCTTACCTTTGCAAAGGTGCTAGCAGTTTTATTGCTGCACCACTAGACTCATGGACCCCAATAATTTCATCCCCCATTAATACACTAACACACTGATTCACTGTTCACTCCAAAAATGGCCTTCAACCATTAAACAAACTATGGCCTTTTAAATGCGAGGAGCCTGCTATTATAATCCCCCCCCCGTGATTCTTTTATTGTCTTTTATTATTATGCTATGCAAATTATGTTTGTTGTTGTTGTTGTTGTTGTTGTTGTTGTTGTTGTTGTTGTTGGTCTTGCATACCACCCTGGGATCTTTGGGTAAAGAGCAGTATCTAAATTACTACTACTACTACTACTACTAATACCAGCACACTGCATCCACAATCTCCATCAAAGTAGGGGCCATCAGACAAAAGACAAGGACCATTTTTACCCCAAAAGGCCTGGATACAGAAGGGCAGACATAGCTTAGACAAACAGGACATAGGGGCCTGCTTCACAGCACTAGAGCGATGCTGGTTGACCATGTAGCCATTCATTTAACTTATGCACAGTCATCATGGCTATGATGCCATTTTGCCTCAGACACTACCAGGTGGAAAGATAAAACCAGTTAATGGGACTTTCCCCTTCACTGTAACCTGTACCCAGAATTCTGGGTCAAAAGCCCACTTACAATAGGCCAAGGAAATTGGGGGTTTCTTTACATTAAGGCATACCTTTCATCACTCCTTCCTGCAGCAGCCATTCCTTCACCCTCAGAGATGTAATTGGGCTTGTCTGTTGAAGATGGAACTATGCTAGTGAAGAATCACAACCATAAGGGCCTAAAGTAGGGACATTGATTCACTGTTCGCTCCAAAAATGGGATACAAATTAAAAGCAATAAAATACGAGTTGCCGTACATGACGTTTCATCTCTGGCAAGCTAGTGAGAGTAATGCATTAGCTGCAGGCGGGTACATTAATCTCGCAAGCTGGCCCCATATGAAATCTTTTAGATAGCAGTGGCCTCTTCTTTATTGCATTTTCATTAGGACCTTTCCTGTAAAACTCTTTGTAAAAACTAAAAGGGGAGGTGGTGGGAAAAATACATGAAAATGAAATGTTAGTCATTTCGAAAAAGTTTTATTGTAGGCAAATGGTTGTTCCCATCCCAGATTTCAATGTGTTCTTATTCTTTTGTATCAATGAGTTTCCACTTTTGTATTCCTTGAGTTTCCACTGTAAAAGGCCATTGTCTGACTGCAAAAGGAATACCACGAGTGAAAGACAGTTTGTATTATTTATATTTTATAAATTATTATAGCTTGTTAACAGCCTTAGCTCAAAGAGGTTTACATATAAGAGCAAAACCAAGAAAATTACCCTCAAATTAAAAACAACAACTAAAACCTTAAATTCAAAAGGAAATCTTTTATTTATATATTTTAAAAGCTATGTGGAATAAATATGTTTCAATTGGTTACCAACATCATCAGGGATGGGCTAGTCTCATCTTCTTTTGGAAGGAATTCCACAACCAGGATGCTGCTACAGAAAAGGCCCTTCTTGCTCACCAACTGAACCCCTTTTGCTGTCAGAGATATATCAAGAGAGGTAAATGCAAAGGCTGTTTGTTGATTCATTTATTACATTTATATATCACCCTTCATCCAAGGAGATTGGTATGGTATACATGGTTCTCCCCCTTCCTTTATCCTCACAACAACAGTCTTATGAGGCAGATTTGACAAAGAGATTGCGATGGGCCCAAAGTCACCCAAGAATCTCCATTGTTGTGAATCCAAAACTCTCTCCAACTATTCAAGCTAGGACAAGGGGACCAATCTGAAGCTAAGAGGGAGGGGGCTCTCCTCACTGCTTGACAGCCCAAAACTGAGGTGATGCTTTCCAAACATAGGGAGACACCTGCTGAATTTCAGCTTGACATATAACTATTAAAGGTGCCAGGCCAGGCCAGGAAAAAATCCAGCAACTTGACTTTTCCAATATGAATTTCTCATACCTCCAGGACATAGTTACTTCATTTTATATCTCTGGTATCTTTTAAAAATTGTTCACAGCATATGACTCCTCTAAGGATGTAAGAAGGCAGTGATTTCCATTGCAGTCTGTAGTTCATCAAATACTTTCTCCCTATTATTTAGCTTAAGCTACATACAGAACATTTCCATTGCACCAGAAGCGGTTTCGTCATGCTGGCCACATGACCTGGAAAGCTGTCTGTGGACAAACGCTGACTCCCTCAGCCTGAAAATTGAGATGAGCACCGCACCCCACAGTTGCCTTTGCTTGGACTTAACCGCCCATGGGTCCTTTACCTTTACCTTTTACCTTACATCCATACATATATTACATAACTATTTACGCAAGTTACATAATACTCATTTCAAAATAAAGGAAATATCAAAGCAATGTAAAAAGGTCATTAATTACATATCATTTGTGGAGTTTTTTAAAAAACCACAACAATGTGAATGAACACCAATCATATCCGCTTGACTTGTTTCTGTTCCTGATCCTGACCACAGACAAACATACAAACCACAGCAATTTTTGCTACCCTTTTCATTTTCATTTGAATTCTCTGTCATCCCTAAGCCCCATTGGTCCCTTTCTCTGGCAGTACTTTAATAAGAGCAATATTGCAGATGGAAGCTCCTGGTACAACTGACCATTGACAAAGGGGTTAAAGAAAGTCATGCATGGGTGGAAATAATCCATTAATACCACCTTCAGATGCCAGATTCATACAAGAGGCAATGTTTGTTCCTTAGTTGCATCCAACGATTGTGTCTTTTTTTTATAATGATGTTATGTAAATTGTAGGCTAGATTTCTTTTATGTTTAACTAGGCGATCAAAGTACAGATGCTTGATCAAACAGACCTACATTCACTGCAACTTCTTTGTCTAATCAGTGATAATATATTATGACTTCTTAAAATTCTGCACATGAACAGACAAATCAAAAGAGACGACAGACAGACAAAACAAAGAAAGAAATGGAGAGAGTGGGAAAGCTCACTTCCTGCCTTTCTCTTTTTAATTAATATTCAAAAGCAGAACCAAAATCATGAGCAGTGAGGCAGGACAATCCCAAATAAGAACATAATAAGAGCCCTGGTGGATCAGCTGAAAGCCCTCTCTAGTGCAGCATTCCGTTCGCAAAGTTGCATGAGATACTGGGTGTGTGTGTGTGTGTGTGTGTGTGTGTGTGTGTGTTAGGGACTCATTTCCTGCCCTGCTCTGTGTCTGTTGCAAGCAGCACTCTTTCCATTCTGCTGAACTTCTCCTTCCACCAAAAACTCATTCTGCCAAATAACGTTCCCCTTTATTTGCCTTTTTAAACTGAAAAGCCCCAAATGCTATAACTTTTTCTCGTAGAGAAGTTGATCCAACTCCATGCTCATGTTCCTTCCCCTTTTCTGCACTTGTTCCAGCAAGCTCTATTTCTATGGGGGGGGGGGGAATGCAAGAAGTGAATTTAAGAATTGGGGGGGGGGGGGGAGAGAAACAGAAAATGACAGATTTGCCCATCTCTAGCTGCAGAGGCAAGATTTGGCCAGAGAAGCTCCCTATTTTTAAGCTCTGTCTTTTAGTCACTATTCTAAAATAACTGTGTGCATATTTTGCAGGCATGTCCCCAGATCTTCTTTTCTTAATTATATCAAATCAGATTGTGTGGCTCCAGATGGATGGGTGTTGCCTGATGCAGCTACACAGTACAAGCGTGCACCTTCTTTTTCTTTTTATACAATATGTTTTCAAATTAGGGAAGGGGAAGTCTGTTGCACACACGCAATATTAAGCCATCATCTTCTCTCCAGCTGTAGCTGTCACTTTCTCACTGAAGTGCACTGGCAGAACGCACGACACAAGTGTCTTGAGAAATCTCCTGCCACCTAAATGGCTAAATTTGACACACCGTATCAAAAACCTAAAAGGGGCGGAGGAGATCAGTGGCGATGGAGACCACATTCACTGTTTCAACAGCCTTTTCCCCTGAAGGTTAATCCTCCCTTTCTTTTGCTAAAGATGCAATCCTATATCCACTTACCTGGATATCCATCGAACTCAGTGGCACCTACTTCTGAGTAGACAAAATTGCTCTGTTAATCCTCTTGTCCTTGTCTCTTCGGAGTGACTTTGGGGAGTTTGTAAATTGCCTGTCTAAATGCAGGGGTCCCTCCCCTGGCTCAACTGCCAACTGCTAATCAAGGTATTTTGGGACAACACACAACAGTGTTTTAAGCCTGTAAAAGAAATACTGTGTAGTCAACAACTTTTAAATTATAGTATGTGGTGGGTGGTTGATAAGAATGTGCAACTTTTTTTTTCTAAAATAGAAACACTTTCCCAGCTACCCTTATCTGTTCTCCTCCTCTATTTATCGTTCCAAATGTTTCTAGGGACTATTAACATTCTTTCCCTTCCCTGTGCTAGTGAAATTGTTTTCTTTTCAGAGCATCTTCTATATATTTCAAGTTGATTTCATCTTCACCTGTGAGCTACAGAACAACAAGTTTAAGGTATATTTTTCTTGTCAGGCGAACTCTCTGTAAGAAAGAGAGAAACACCCAACAGAGTGTACGAGCGAGTGCACCATTAGAATAGCAAAGACACATCTGCAATGTGTTCCTCCTTTCAGTAGGCCCAGTATTAATAATTTTTATTATTATGGTGTCATCAGTCTATATGGTTCTTTTTATCAGAATTTCATAAAGATAGGTCCCAGCCCCCAAAACCTTACAATTTCTATTTCAACAAGGGGACAGAGAAATGGTGAGGAAAGGAGAGTCAGCTGGAACCAGGGATGTAAAAGAGCAGGTGCAGTCTGGTGTGCTCAGGCTTTGCTTCAGCTGGAGATGAGGACGAAGAGGTTAAGCCAAAGGCTTTGCTGTAAAAGGCAGTTTTTGAGCTAGGATTTGAAGGTGAAGCAAGGTGGCTCCTCGAGCTATTCCAGGTATGCAGGGCAAGCGAGGGAGAACAGATGGAGTTTCTTAGGAGAGCAAGGCAGCTGAGTCGCAGTTTACAAAATGCTAAACTTGTAGATGTGTGAGCCTTCTCAAACTTACAAAGCACCATGAGGGAAGTGGTGGCAATCAAGACTGTGGCATATAGTCCCCTACACTATGTTCCTGTCAAATATCATACACTGAGTGTTCTTAGCCTTGGGAGTAGTAACAGCCAGTTGGGCAGTGTGGGTGGGTCTGTGTAAACTGACCTGCTTTGCCAGCGCTGTGCAGTGCTGCCACTTCCTGAGAAGGAGAAGGAGAGGGGTAAGTCAGTGGAAAGCCAGTGTGGTGTGGACATAGTGTGGGCACAGTGAGCGAACATCAGATTGGCTCCTTCTGGACAAGGACCACGATAGGCTCCTGCTGCCTTTCCTCTCCCCCTTATGGTAAGCAACAGTGACGTGCAGCACTGGGGAGGCAGGTCAGCAAAGCAGCCCCACCTGCACCCCTCCTACTGGCTGCTACTGCTTGGGAGGAAAGCTTCCATTGTTGACAACAGAAACTTCCCTCCTGAGGCTCATAGCAGTTTTGAGGGACTGTGGATTTTTGTGAAGACCATGGTGAAGGAAGAAAGGGTCAATTCTCCCACCAACACCTTCTATTTACAACATCCAGGGCCTTTTTTCAGCCAGAACACACCGAAATTCAGTTCTGGCACTTCTCAGGTGGACGCCATTGCCATTATAACAGAACAAGGGAGGTGTTCATGGTGAGTTCTGGCACCTCTGTCTTCAGAAAAATAGCATTGACAATTTCCATAATATTCACATGACTACTAGTGACACATGGTACATGAGGGACCAAGAAAGTTGGCCAAAAGTACACCAAGCCATTGAGACCACTTGAACCTCTAGAGACAAAGCTAGCTGTAGGAATGCTTCCAAGTTTTTTTAAGGGAGAAGGCAACCATGTCTAGAGCAGGTAGTACTCATTCCTGTAAAATGGTGACCTGATCCACATACACTAATATAAATATACTTTCTAAAAGGCCTGCTGGTCAAATGAATTTATGCTTATTCTGCTTTATTTTTTTCCATCTAGAAATCCAGAGTCCTCTTTTTTAGTTCCCTAAGAGCTATATATTCAGCCTCAGTGCATGCCAAAATTGCTTTGATTTTTGTGTAAATAAACTGCCTCTCTTTCTCCCATAGGGTTCTTTTTATGTAAGAAAACAGGATTTCTTTCATCAGCGTAGTTTGTTGAATCTCTGTGAACATCAGTGTGTGCTTCTTTGAAATTTCAAGAAAATTACTTCTTATACATTTTACAAGAAATATTCGAACCATTGTAAATGGCAGCATGACTCATTCGAATGATAAACTTGGGTAACCAAGTAACAGAATCTTTTTCACAATGTTGTGCTAAGCAGGCCTGCTACCCTTGGCATCTGTTCTGAATGGTAACAAAATGCACCATACATTCAAGCATATTAAATAATACCCCTTGGGTTTTCATATGGTAAAAAGGTTTAAAGTGCACTCGGAATGCTCCCCCCCCCCCTGTTTTTGCACCCTCTTGCTATTCTAACTCAGGAGGTTGGGGTGGGAGAACTTCTAGAACAACATGTAGGGGGAGGAGAGAGCAGATTCTTCCACCAGGCAAGCAGAAATCCTTCTGCTGATGGAGTTATCTGCTTAGTACTATGCTGAATTCCGCATTTGACTTTTGAATAACAGTATTGTGTATCAAAGCCTCCTGGGTGCATCCAGACTTGGATCTTATTGCATTAGTTTTCCTGATTATAATTCTGGCACTTTTGTCATAGTGTCATTATGAAATTGTAGCTTCATGATCAATATACTTGCATATTCTGCTAAAATTAAGGGGCAGGGAACCGTATGCCAGGATGCTACCCCAAATTTTGCCCTAAGCTCTTCTGGGTTAACAGGGTTGCAAAGCGTCCCCCCTCCCAGGAAGCAGTTAACGTGAAAATGAACACCAGACTCCCACTAGATTTCCAGGAATGGCTTTTACATCATGTGAAAGATCATGTAAAACACAAAAATAACCAGGTAAGGAAAGGTGAAAATGGAAGAAATAGCTGTGGGAAAGCAGCATTTGTGAGCAAGCTGCTTCTAACAAAGAAACAGAATTGATCTTTAGTTAATCATTCACCCAAAAGATTAGGAAAAGTCAAGCCTACTTGACCCTGAAAGCCATTTTGGTTTATGAACTTTTAAATAGGGTTGTAGCTCGGTTTGGCCATGAACCAATTTGAAACAGCTTTTCTATTGTTATACAGCCATTTTGAACAATCACATAAACACTGTATGCCAAACAAATGGGAAGATTTAACTCCATCCCCATACTAGCAAAACTATGTTGTGTTGATATCACTATATCTTGCTTCAGCATCTATAAACCTTAGGAATAATTCTTGCATTGATTTTGACCTTGCAAAGTCACCATAGTGGGACTTCTAACTATTGTGGGACTTTTGTGTGGTAAATGCTTGTTTTAAAAGCCAGGGCCGGCCCACCCATGAGGCAAGATGAAGCAGCTGCCACAGTTGGCAAAAGCCTAAGCAGCAGCATCTCTTACAACACCACAAATGCTTGGGGAGGCTTCCTTTTATTCGTATCTTCCTATATTGCAGTGTTGATGTCTTGTAACGTTTGTTTGGTTGATTCTTCATTGGATTTTGTCATATTTTTACTGCATCTTCTGTCATATAAATAAGTTCCTCACCTCTTCGCTTCCCTGCTCCTCCACATGCAGCTGCTGGGTGACCTTGGGCTAGTCACACTTCTTTGAAGTCTCTCAGCCCCACTCACCTCACAGAGTGTTTGTTGTGGGGGAGGAAGGGAAAGGAGATTGTTAGCCGCTTTGAGACTCCTTCAGGTAGTGATAAAGCGGAATATCAAATCCAAACTCTTCTTCTTCTTCTCTTCGGCGGCCTTTGGGTAGATAAGCAGTATATAAATAATAACAATGACAATATTCTGGAAATAAGAATAAGCTTTTCAGTCCCCTGAGTGAAAAACACTCTTTTGGACAGCTTTAGCTTCAGTGGGTTCCCAATTTTACAGTAGATTCTGTATTCAGGAGGGGGAAAAGGTAAAAGAAAGGTAAAAGTGATAGAATCATAGAATTGTAGAGTTGGAAGGGACCCTGAGGATCATCTGGTCCAATCCCCTGCAATGCAGAAACATGCAGCTGTCCCATATAGGAATCAAATCTTCAACCTTGGCATGGCTCTAACCAACTGAGTTAACTGTCCAGTTCAACGTATGTAGCCATTATTGCACAAAAACTGAATGGGGTTAATTAGATGTTCTTCATTGTTTACAATTAAATTTACAAACCTACTAGAGTCTCCAGTTGTGGTTTTTAATTGAATGGCAAGGCTCTGAACCCAGTCCTCAAAATATGCCTGGGAAGGTTTAGAGGAAATAATTACACATGATTCCTTATCTGCCAAAGAAGTTTATGCTGAGGTTATCTTCCATTAAGATGCTGTGAGAGGATGTTATGATTCAGGGGAGCAATGCCTTCCTCAGCACATTTATAATAGTTATATTAGGAGAAGCATCTCAGAAAGACAATGAACAACATAAAAAATAATATGCCTGAGCTCCTGAACCAATGACATGATTTGACCCCATAAGGCTGTCATCTTGTCCTGGATGCTAGTGTTCATTAACTAATATAGTGCTGTATTACTATTGCAGTGCTGTCTCCTGTCACTATTAGAAAGGTCCAATCACTAAATAGCCTGTAACTTGTGTAGCTGAAGGACCAGCTGCTGCCATATGAACCTTCATAGACATTAAGATCCTCCAAAGTTTACATTCTCATCCATCAGTGAAAAGAAGGCCAATGAAGTATTCTTACTTTGCCTAACTCACACTTCCTGACTATCATGAAAGCTTTTGTGATCATGCAGCACAGAACATTTTTATTTGGACTGTTTTATTTGATGAGAGAGAGTTTGAATCTGTATGCATAGTTTTGTGGGACAATTTTAATTGAGAATCACATGTGTGATTGTTCATGGTGCTGAAATGTAAACAGAAAATTATGCTCACCCTTTAGATTTGTTTATTATCTGTCGAAATACCAGCGGCTTCTGCAAGCATTAAATCTAAACTGCACATTCTTGTGACCGAAGTGATGAATGCTCGTTTTAATTGGTTTCATCTAGATATACAACTGTCAGTATTTTGCTTGAGTTATTTCCTTATCATTCCTCTGTATATACTATCTCCCTTTCCCTCCACTTAGCATTCCATGAAGTATTCAAGTACCATA